TTGTGACCAAAAGCAGATTGTTACCCTGGGATCTGGGAGGTGTTCAGGAGAGAGGGAGGAGCAGGAGGCCAGGGTAGAAGAGGCAACTTTGGAAGTGATGGATGTATTATTTTTATTGTGGTGATGGTTTATGGGTGTACACATATATCAAAATTTAATTGTATTCTAAATATATGCAGTTTGTTGTGTGTCAAATATAGCCAATAAAGCTATTTAAAGGAATCCCAAGCCAAGCACTCCATACCACTTAAACTATCATTTCTGATGTTGGAACCTAGGAATGAGTATTCTTTTAAACATCTCAGGTGATTCCAGTAGGCAGCCAAGTTTGAGAATCTGCTATAAAACAGTGATACTCAAATTATGCTCACAGGCCAGCAGCATCAGCCTCACCCGGGAACTTAGGCCCGTGATCTACTGAATCATAAACTTCAGGACTGGGGCCTGTAGTGGTGGCTCATGCCTGTAATCCTGTAGAGCACCTGATTCTGTTGCTGTTCAGGATACCACTTGTAGCCTGCCAGGATCCCTGGGGGACCAAACAAAGGGGGATGAATGCAGGAATAAAGACAACAGACAAAAGAATATATTTGGAAGAAGGGTCAGGGGACACCTTGCCTCTAGTGGTCAAGGGCCCTGAGCTTTACACAGCCCTCCGCTGTTAGGCAAGAGAGACAGCAAGAAGGGGTGTGGAAGAAGAGGTCAGCTGCTCGGTCCAGAGCGGGCTTGCAAGACTGCACTCCTTGAACAATAGGCTCTAGATGTCCCAGTAGATAACCTCAAGGAGCCGGGGCCAGGGAGTGATAGCCCTCAGCAAACCCTCTGGGGCAGGCACAGAAGCGAGTTTGCTCACATTCTGTATTCATGATGAACAGTTTGCTCTTTGATCATATAGCCTTCAGTGGAGTGCTGAGTTGGTCAAGATTCCTTTGGCCTTTTCAGCTCCCAATATTCCTAGCACTTTGGGAGGCTGAGGCAGGCGGACCTGCTGAGGTTAGGAGTTCAAGACCAGCCTGGCCAACATGGTGAGACCCCACCTCTACTAAAAATACAAAATAATGGTGCCTGCCTGTAGTCCCAGCTACTCGGGAGGCTGAGGCAGAAGAATTGCTTGAATCTAGGAGGTGGAGGTTGGAGTGAGTTGAGATCGTGCCATTGCACTCCAGCCTGGGCAACAAGAGAGAAACTCCTTCTCAAAAATAAATAATTAAATAAAATAAATAAACTTTGGGATTGGGGCCCAGCAATCTGTGTTTAATAAGCCCTCCAAGGTGATTCTGATGCTCACTACTATACAGAGAAAGCCATGTACAAGAAGCCATCTGAAGACTCAGGAAAATGAGGATGTTAGAATGGATTACAGTTGTCCCTGGGTATCTGAGAAAAACTGGTTCCAGAGGCCAGGTGTGGTGGCACAGGCCTGTAACCCCAGAACTTTTGGAGGCCGAGGTGGGTGGTTCACTTGAGCTCAGGAGTTCAAAACCAGCTGGGCATTATGGCAAAAACCCATCTTTACAAAAAATATAAGTATTAGTTGGGCATGGTGGCATGCACCTGTAGTCCCAGCTACTTGGGAGGCTGAGGCAGGAGGATCCCTTAAGCCTGGGAGGCCGAAGCTGCAGTAAGCTGAGATTGCGCCACTGCCTTCCAGCCTGGGCGACAGAGTCAGACTTTGTCTCAAAAAATAAAATGGCATAGTATTTGCGTATAACATAGCACTATCCTTCTATATACTTTAAATCATCTCTAGGTTACTCATAATACCTAATACAATATGAATGCTATGTAAATCATTGTCATACTTATTTTTTATTTGTATTATTTGTTATAGTTGGTTTTTTTAATGTTTTATTTTTCAAATATTTCTGATCCTTGGTGGGTTGAATCTCAGGATATGGAACCTGCAGATAAAGGGGGACTGGCTATATTTATGTACATCTTATTCAGACACCCCCTAACCATAACTCCAAAGAGGGCCTGGAGGACACTCTTTTCTTTAAAGTCTTGGTAACAGAAGCATCAGCCTCTTCGAAGAGTTGATGCAGCCACTACGATGGCTGTCCTTTGCAGGCTGGAGATGATGGTGAGAGGTATTGCCAAGCAATTAGGTCCCCTGACCTCAGTGGGAATACTGGAAGAAGCCAGGCAGCAATGCCGAACTGTTTTAGACCAGATGGGCACAATTACTATAATAAGCCATAGCAAAGGATTGACATAGTGTATTTTTACATGTGGGGATCTGTGATGATGGCTAATTGACCCCAAGGTTCCTGTTAAACAGACTGACAGCCTTCTAAAGTGTTGCATGACACCTATAGACAAAACAATTCTAGGTCTGTTGTGCAAGAACCAAACTCGTCTCCACAGTGGAGACAGCCTCATATCCAGTTTCCAGACTAAATAAATCAGGTTATAGACCCAAAGTCCCTGGACTGAGGGGGCAGATGGGAGCCCCTGAGGAAGGATTTTTTAATTGTGGCTTCATGGGTATACCATTAATCTTCCCCCAAGCCTTCCGCAGATAGAACTATGGTTATTCATCAGGGACTTTGCACTAGGGAATCAGAAATACTCAGCTATTTCACGGTTATTAAGATAGTGACTCTGAAATGATACTGATTTCCAGAGAGCTGAAAAGCCTGTATGATCCGGTTTTCAGAGTGAAGGCTAATGGAGGTTGCATGAAAGATGGATTCTTGGTCTGACTTCTCACAGGAGCCCATCCTGTAATTATTTCCTCAGTCCCAGAATGCATAGAAGTAGGATACAGCAGAGTCATCACACTGTTTCCTTAACCCATGAGATAAGGCATTAAGGAAGGGCCAAATAGAAGGTTTAAACCACCCCCGTTCTCTGACCCACATAGTGAGTGGGATCTGTTGATGCCTACTACATTTCCATTTGACTCACCAGCTTGGCCAGTTGTTGAAGTCAGACGGGTCCCGAACAATGTTTCACATTTTTTTGTTTTGTGTGGTGTTGGTGTTGCACCTTAGAATCACCTGCAGATTTCTTTTTAAATGGTGATGTCTGACGTTCATCCCCAGGCACTGCGATGTGTGTGTGTGTTTTCTACTTATTTTGAGACAGGATCTCCCTGTCACCCACACTGGAGTACAGTGGCACAATCTCAGCGCACTGCAATCTCCACCTCCGGGCTCCAGTGATCTCCCACTTCAGCCTCTCCAGTAGCTGGGACTACAGGCACGCGCCAGCACGCCTGGCTGATTTTTGCAATTTTTAGTAGACAAGGGGTTTTGCCATGTTGCCCATGCTGGTCTCAAAGTCCTGGGCTCAAGTGATCCTCCCATCTCGGCTTCCCAAAGTGCTAAGATTACAGGCATAAGCCACTGTGCCTGGCCCTATTATTTTTTAATGTTTTTTAGCAACAGGGTCTCACTCTGTGACCCAGGCTAGCGTGATCATATCTCACTGCAACCCTGAGCTCCTGGGCTCAAGTGATCTTCCTGCCTCAGCCTCTCCAGTAGCTGGGACCACAGGCACACACCACCATGCTCTGCTAGTTTTTGTTTTGTTTGTAGAGATGAGGTCTCGCTATGTCTTGCCTCAGCCTCCCAAAATGCTGGGATAACAGGCATGAGCCACTGCACCCAGACACTGATTAACAATAGGGGATAGAACTCAGACATAGAAACTTTTTAAAGCTTCCCAGGTGAGTCTGATGTGCAATAAAGTTTGGGAACCACTGGTCTTGGGGAATGACAGTAAGTTATCACAGATTTAACAAATGATGATGTCAATCACAGCTGCAGTTCAAGATTGGTACCTTTATTAGACCAAATCAACACAACTCCTAATACCTGGAATAAAGCCAGTGGCATGAAAAAAATGCAACATTTTCCATTCCGGTAAGAAAAATTAAAAGAACCTGCGTTTTTATATGGCAGGGACAACTGATTTTACTTACTTCAAAGTGATATGAATACCCTCATTTTCTTTCAGAATATAGTCTGGTAAGACTTGTAATTTCTTGATTTTTGACAAAAAATGGAATGTGACATGGATAACATTATGCTAACTGGAGCTGGAATGCAGGACTTAGCAAGCAGTTAGATATCTTAGGAAGACATACACACGTAAGAGGTTGGGAGGTAAATCCTGCTAAAGTTCAGGAGCCTGTCACACAGGCAAATCTCCTAAGGGTCTAGTGGTCTGAGGACGTGGGATCTATTTTTAAAGGGAAGAACAAGCTACCGAGGCATGATGGCTCACCTGTCTGGGAGGATTGTTTGCACCCAGAAGTTCGAGGCTGCAGTAAGCTATGATCACGCCACCACACTCCAGCCTGGGCGACAAACTGAGACCCCGTCTATTAAACAAAGGCAGTAGGGAGAGGGTAGACAAGATTCTGCACCTTGCACTGGCCATCATGACGACAGAAGCAACAATGTTCGAAGAGGCCCTTTGAATTTGAGATAAAATATATTTGGGAATACCACCCCAACCTACTTCCTGGGTAACCCAGAAGACAGCCGACTGTTAGTGAAACCCAATGTAAGACAGGATTCTCCAGCAGATTCAGGATGCGATGCTGTAGCAAACAGAGATGCTGTGTGAAGTCTCTTCCAAATACTATTAGGACAATCACATTGCAGACTCCTACAGCTTTGAAATAAGGATATGCACACCTGTCAAAAACTTTTCTCCTCCCCACGAAGACAGGGTCATCTTCTGTCATCTAGGCTGGAGTGTGATGGGGCGATCACAGCTCACGGCAGCCTCAACCTCCTCCTGGGCTCAAGCGATCTTCTCATGCCAGCCTCCTGAGTAACTGGGACCAAAAGCACACCTCATCACAGTTGGTTGATTTTTAATTTTTTTGTAGAGATGAGGTCTCATTATGTTGCCCAGGCTGGTCTTGAACTCCTGGGCTCAAGTGATCCTCCTACCTCGGCCTCCCAAAGTGCTGGGATTACAGGTGTAAGCCACGATACCCAGCCAATTCTTTATTTAGTCATCTTAAAAAGACACAACAGAAATGGTATAAAATAACTTTTATTTACATAATTTATATATATACAACTGCTTTCTTTAGAACAAGAAAATTTATAAATGACATGATATTGCTTTTTCTGTCGAAGACTTCTTCAAGCAAGAATAGTATACATGGTCACTTTTGTTTCAAATAACATGATGATAAACAGTGGATATTAGTATTTTTGTCATGCCTCAACCATTTACCAACAATTAGGCGTTCAAACCCTCATGCTGACCACTTGCTAAGACATAAGTGTTCAGGAGAAAAAGTCAAGAAAAGATAAAAACTTTTACTCACATCTCCTTTAAGATTTGTGAAATAAATTCTTTGCAACATCTTCTTTACATGAATCAGACCTAACATAGTTCTTTCCACCATGTAAGGTAAATACACTGATTAACTTTCTCTTTTCCAAAATCAGGTTTAAGGATATAACAGTAGGATAATTTAGCTGGCTGACTTGATTCTCTAATACAATGAGTCTTTATATTCTTTATATAGTAAGAAATTCCATCTTCCATAAAACTAGATTATAGATTAAAAAGAGACAGATGTTAAGGTTAAAAATTATATTACACAAGGATAAATAACAGTTTAATCATGGCAATCTAACTCCCAAACTAACACTAAGAGAATGAAATATTTTCAGAATACGAGTTTTAAAAACTTACATAAACAGGGTATTAAAATAGCAATGTGATTTACTACCGTAATTTCTGTGACATATCAATCATGAAATAAATGCCTACTTACAATTTCCACTCCAAATTATATAGCCTCCTCTCTGACAAAATGTTATGTCATAAATTTTACTAAAAGACAATGAATAAGAAGTGCTCTAACAGCAGTAGTTTCAATAAATTAGCATTACTGTTATACTTGCTGAGACATAATTCTCTTCTATTAAGGAGCTTAAAAACTGGCCACCATTTTTTCAATATACAAACATAATTATCTAGACTCTAAAATATCTTCCCAATTGAAATACTGATCATTATATAATTCAATCAACAGTTTTAACTTTTAGGCACAACTCATAACTTTAGTGACAAATAACTCATACATACAGATATCAGCACCTCAGGGTAAGAAAATTTGGGGCCTAATGCAGGGGTCAAACTAAAAGGCCAATCCAGCCACAGTCCTTCATTCAAGTACTGTCTATGGCTTCTTTCACACTGAAAGTGCAGAGCTGAGTAGCTGCCACAGAGACCATCTGGCCTGCAAACCCAAAATAGTTTGCAGAAAGTTTCCAACTCCTGAGCTACTATATTATCATTCCAAGAGGCTTTTCAAATAAAATCAGGATAAATTTGCTGTTTGAGAAGTCTAATTGGAACCACTACAGATCTGCTTGGGTAGATAATAGAAATACACATGTAAATCATTAAATCTTGAAATTAAAACAAATCTTAAATTCATATTGATGATAATCATTAACTTTATAAAGCCTTATTTTCTGTTTTTAACATCACTATTATGTTCCACGCTTAAAGATCTAAGTGTTCTTTGAGAATTGAGAAAAAACTATGAAGAAGTTGGCTTTTTAAAAACTAATATATGTCTGTGTGTGTATAAAGGAGATTGAACTTTGTATGGAAATTCCGTCTAATAAATAAAGTTGAGGTCCCCCACCCTCATGAAAATCCTGAGATTATCCAAGAAAGAAGAAAAACAGAAAAATTCACAGTACAAAGTCAATATACTAAACTGAGGGAAAAAAGGTATTCAAAACATATACATCAAACATTTTTAGTTATAGCATTTCAAATATCTTTAAAATTAAAGAGAAAAAGGAGACAAACATAAATTTGTTAATGCCTTCCTTATCTACAATCTGAGGGGTGAAAATAGCTAAAACTGAATATCCTTTTAAATAAAAAATTTAAAAATAAATAAGCTCTTTGATGTGTCATCTTTATAAATAATTATGTTTAAATACTAGTTTTTCAAGGAGGACTAATGTTACATCACCATGAATTAGAAAAATATGTATTTTTTAGTCAGACAAACAGCTGATAATAGAAAAGTTCTTTAACATTTACCATACTAAAGTGAAGTGTGACAATTTGTTTTCACATATAGTCACGTGTCCCTTAACTGTATGTTCTAAGAAATGCCTTGTTAGGTGATCTTGTGTGGAACAACACAGAATGTACTTACAAACACTGAGATGGTACAGACTGCAACACACCCTACAGACTGAGGCTATGTGGTATATCTTAGAGATTCTAGGCTACAAACCTCTACAATGTGTTACTATGCTGAATACTGTAGGCAGTTGTAACACAATAGTAGTATTTGTGTATCTAAACATATCTAAACATAAAAAAGCAAAGCACTATGTTATGATGGCTATAATGTCACTAGTTGATAGGAATTTTTTATCTCCATTTTAATTGTATGGGACCACTGTCATATATGTGGTCCATTGTTGACTTAAACATTATTATGCGATACATGACTGTACATAGAAGCAACGGAAAAGGCTTCATCCTTCATCATCTCCCCCTAAAAATAAAAAATCTTCACAAAAGAAGTTGCTAAATGTTAAATACGATACAATTAACCCCCAAATATGTCTGCACTGCAATTCATACAGAGACATATATCCACAACATTCCCAAATGTCCACGTGTGCTTAGCACAGGAAGAGTCAAAATGTAAACAACATCTGTCTGAGAAAGCAGTCTCAATTGCTTGCTATTTGCAAAATGCTGAATCAATCAGAATGAGAGGAACCTCAGAAATGTTTTCCACTGATTATAAAAGCTTCAAATCAAGTTCATTAAATATTCAAAATCAACCTAAAGAAAAATAGACAGTGATAGTTTGTCTAAATACTGTTTTGTTGATGTAATTGACTCTGGAAATCCTAGACCTAATTTAAAAAAGAAAAAGACAAAAGACTGTTTTATTCTGTTTCATCCACTTCAATGAAGATATCATTGAAGAAATATTCAGAGACTGTGGTTGGCTCCCCTTGAGGGGCCCGCTTTTGGGCACTTTTATGTCCTTCTTTCAGTAAGGGCTGATCACAAGAAACCTAAAAAGGTAATAAAAATAAAGTAAAATAAAACTGTAATACATTTACATATATATGTGTGTGTGTATATAGCAGTCTAAACTGATATGATCTGTTTGAAAAGCAATGTGGCAATAAATACTGAGCTTTAAATATGTTCACAATCACTGACCCAAAAATTTCATTTCTATGCTGTTACATAGAGTAAATAATCCTAAATGTAGTAAGTTTTATGACTAAGATAACCTTTGTAGCATTAGTTATAATAATAAAATTGGAAGCAACCAAATATACCACACTAGATATAATTAGGTAAATCATAGTGTACCCATAGTCCATTACTTCATCCTAATTTCCATGAACAATTTTAATAAAGAAAAATACAGTTAAATTTGTCACTAAATGATTAAAGTAAAAATACTTCAATTAGTTGCATAAGAATAGACAGACCCGGCTGGGCGCGGTGGCTCAAGCCTATAATCCCAGCACTTTGGGAGGCCAAGATGGGCGGATCACGAGGTCAGGAGATCGAGACCATCCTGGCTAACACGGTGAAACCCCGTCTCTACTAAAAAATACAAAAAACTAGCCAGGCGAGGTGGTGGGCGCCTGTAGTCCCAGCTACTCAGGAGGCTGAGGCAGGAGAATGGCGTGAACCCGGGAGGTGGAGCTTGCAGTGAACTGAGATCCGGCCACTGCACTACAGCCTGGGCGACAGAGCGAGCCTCCATCACATTAAAAAAAAAAAAAAAAATAGACCCATGAAACAAAACAGCACCTAAAGATAACATATCAAAGATACCTCATCAGAAATTAGCATACTTATAAATCTATAAACAAATTAAGACAGCATGGTATTGGCACGGGAATGACAGATTTATCAATGAAACAGAAGACTAGAAATAACCCCAATATATATAGAAACTTAGCATCTGATAAAAGTGCTATATCAAAAACAGTTATATTATTAAATAAATGATGTTGGACAACTATATAACCATCTCAGGGGGAAAAAAGTCAGACGTATAGCTTACCAAAACAAATTCTAGATGGATCAAAAGATTTAAATATAAAAGTATTTTTTTAAAAACTCTACTGTAAAAAATGCCATGGAAAAACACTTTTATAATTCTGGACGGAGGTAGGTGGGGAAGGGTATCTTTTTATTTATTTTTTTATTTCAAGACAAAGCCAGGCTATAGTGCAATGGGATGATCTCAGCTCACTGCAACCTCCAACTCCTGGGTTCAAGCAATTCTCTTAGCTCAGCCTCCCGAGTAGCTGGGACTACACGCGCATGCCACTATGCCTGAATAAATTTTGTATTTTTGATAGAGACAGAGTTTTGCCATGTTGGCCAGGCTGGTTTCGAACTCCTCACCTCAGGTGATCTGCCGCCTTGGCCTCCCAAAGTGCTGGGATTACAGGCGTGAGCCACTGCACCCAGCTGGGAAGAGTACCTTTTTAAACTACCTGAAAGCAGAAAGCTATAAAAGATTGACAAATTAATCTAAACAGAAATAAAAAATGTCTGCTTGGCAAAAACCACCATACACAAAATCAAAAGACAAATGACATACGGAGAAAAAAAAAATTGCAGTCTTTATCACAAAGGGCCTTTTTCCCTGAATATAATAAGAACTACTACAGGACAGGTGCAGTGGCTCATGCCTATAATTCCAACACTCTGGGAGGCGAGGCGAGCAGATGGCTTGAGGCCAGGCATTTGAGACCAGCCTGGCCAACATGGCGAAATCCTGTCTCTACTAAAGATACAAAACTTAGCTGGGTGTTGTGGCATGCATCTGTAATCTCAGCTACTCGAGAGGCTGAGACAGGAGAATCACTTGAACCCAGGAGATGCAGGTTGCAGTGAGCCAAGATCATGCCACTGCACTACAGCCTGGGTGACAGAGTGAGTGAGACTCTGTCTCAAAACAAAACAACAACAACAAAAAAACTCACAACTTTGGCAATGATAAGCAAGACTGATAAAATCTATGATCTCAGAAAATAATTCTAACAAATAATACAAAATGTTTAAAAAAGTTTAAAGATATTCTTTACAAAAGTACCCCTTTCAAAGGCTCATGCTATTCAATAGATGCTCACCAGCCTTTTATTTGTTGAGATCTTAAGTCACCCCAGTATTTTTACAAAGTCTTTGATACAAGTTTACAGATTTTTCCATCCCAATACTTGCCATTGGATAGCTTCAGGAGACATAGAAATGAAACATGTGAACAAATTCTAGTTTTACAGTTCCTTAAATTCTTGTGGGTGCCAGCACTGCTTCCTTTTGCTTCCACAAGTCAGAAGGGTCTCTAGATTAAAGGAATGGCTATTAAGTGTCCATTTATGGTTAGTTCAACGGCTCTGTACTAACTTAACTGTAACTTCCTGACTCAACACCTTTTCTTCTTCCATTATGGAGGAACACGATGGAGAGAAGGATGGGAGTTGCCCTAAAATAATTTCTGACATCAAATAAAAATAACAAATTACTATGTTTTCCCTAGTTGAATCTCATAACCAACCCATCTCATACAAACAATAAAATACAGTAGTTATCACATACCTGAGTTGCTGAGCTGCTAATATTCTTAGATTGAGTATTAATAACACTTGGAGATGGAAGCGGATCAGAGGAATCTTGATTTTTTTTCTGGCTTTCATTGAATGGATTAGATCTTTTCAATTTCTGTCTTAATGCAGGTATAAGAGGTTTTAGGCGTTTCTTACTATAGACCTGCATAGGTTCGTCAGACTCCAAACTATTCTTTGAACATATTAAAGATAAAAATCCCAGGGGTCTTCTGCCAGGTCTAGAAATACAAATGTAAAGATATTCAAGAATATCCAGGAAGACACATTCCTTTGTTTTTTTTTTTCTTTTGAGACACAGTCTCACTCTGTCACCCAGGCTGGAGTGCAGTGACACAATCTCGACTCACTGCAACCTCCACCTCCCGGGTCCTAGATATTCTCCTGCCTCAGCCTCCCAAGTAGCTGTAGTAGAGACGGAGTTTCACCATGTTGGTCATGCTGGTCTTGAACTTCTGACCTCGTGATCTTCTCACCTCAGCCTCCCAAAGTGCTGGGATTACAGGCGTGAGCCACTGTGCCCGGCCAAGACACATCCTTAATAACTGCTTCTGCTTCGCAAGGCTAAGGTGGGAGGACCGCTTAAGGCTAGGAGCTCAAGAACAGCTTACACAAAATTAGCAGGACCCTGGTCTCTAGAACATCTCTAGCATTCAAATCACTTGGTGATCTTATTAAAAAGAAGATTCGCACAGTTGGTAGTGGGCATGGCCTGAGTTCTGCATTTTAACAAGTGTTCTCAAATGATGTCCATACTGCTGTTGTCAGGACTACACTTTGAGTAGCAAAGCTGTGGAACAGTGGTCAGCATAGTATGCTCTACAGGCCATATGCAGTCCCCGACCCAATTCTGTGAGTACGTTTTACTGGAACACAGCTATGTTCATTTGTTTACATATGGTCTGTGGTTGCTTTTGTGCTGTAATTGCAGAGTTGAATAGCTGTTAACAGAGACCATATGGCTCACAAAGCCTAAAATGTGTACAAATGCCATTTTACAAAAAATGCTGACTTCTGTTCTAGAACACTGCTTCTCAACCTGTTTTAATCCCAGCTCTCATGATGGTTCCCTCATTTTATTTATTTTTTCTTTCTTTTTGTTTTCTTGAGATGGAGTTTCACTCTTGTTACCCAGGCTGGAGTGCAATGGCGCAATCTTGGCTCACCACAACCTCCACCTCCTGAGTTCAAGCGATTCTCCTGCCTCAGCCTCCTGAATGGCTGGGATTATAGGCATGTGCCACTATGCCCAGCTAATTTTGTATTTTTAGTAGAGATGGGGCTTCTCCATGTTGGTTAGGCTGGTCTGGAACTCCCAACCTCAGGTGATCTGGCCACCTCAGCCTCCCAAAGTGCTGGGATTATAGGCATAAGCCACCACACCCAGCCTTTTTTTCCTTTTTTCAGAGACCGGTCTGGCTGTGTTGCCCGGGCTGGAGTGCAGTGGCTATTCGCAGGCACAATCATAGCTCACTGCAATCTCAAACTCCGGCCTCAGCCTCCTGGGTAGCTGGGATTACAGGCATGTGCCACTGTACCTGGGAATCATTCTATTTTCAGCGCATCTCTAAGGCCAGAAGAGATACTACTGAGCTTTACTTTCAATAATTTAGATAACAAAAACAACAGATCTATTAAGTATGTCTTTTAAGCTACATGTGTCCTTTCCCCCAACCCTTCCCCTTAGTGGAGACTAGTGCATGTTCCCCCACCTCCTTCAATTCAGCAACACCACGTTAATCTTCTGGATGCTGCTGACAAGCCAATAATTATTGATAACCATTGTTTCTAGAATATGAGAAAAATGTGAGAGAAGTTGGCTTTTGCTTAAATTCCAACACTTATTCTTATGGACAGAAAGCCGTAATTTACCTCTTTGGTTTGTTACAAGGGAGAAAACTGACACATTATTTGAGACTTCAATAAAACAACGTCTGATGTCAGCATCCATATATATGTGCATTAGTAGCTACTGCACATGGTAGAATATGTAATGTAATGAATATGTAATGATCAAAATAACCATGAACAATCTAAAAAAATAAGTGTATAAAACATTCTAAAGATTTTCTATCTAAAACAAAGTTTCAGCACTTAAATTTAAGCTCTTATTGTACAAAACGTGTATCTGCAATATTACTGTATTTCCCTGGCTGAAACTTCTTCCTTTACATTACTGATGGAGGAATATGTTTATTAAACACCATCCTTAGTACTGGATCTAATCTTGATATATATATATATCTGTTCTGTATAGGTTATATTTATTAAGACAGAGAGCACAACACTTATTAAATATGTTTTCATGGTACCTGGATAATGGGGCTTTAGAAGACGATGTTCTGCTATCCATTTGCTCAGACTTAGGAGCAGCATCAGTTCTTTCTTCCTTATCAGACACAATCATTTCACCCTGAGGTAACTGAGGCACATTCTTGTCTATGCATGCATCAGGAGATCTAGATCCTCTACTCTGAAAAGCTGGTTCAACTTGCTGTCTTTGAGGTTCTGGAGTTGTCAGTGTGCTTCCCGAGGTAGGAAAAATATCTTGTCCTTTGTGAGACTCCCCTTCAAAAAAAAGAGCAAATGGAAAGCAAGGATATTGATGTTAATACATTCCATGTAATCCCAAAATTTGACCAAAAAACCCATGGTATTCTATAATAAACCTACCCTAATAAGAGTAAGCTAAATTATCATTAGTGGAGTTATCTGGATTATTATTATTATAAATGGTTAAAAGGTATGCTAACAGCTTCTGCATTCAGAAACAAAATAGTTGTATCAATATATTTTGGCCTAGAAAATCTTTTCCCAGAAATATTTCTTGAGCAATCACAACGGGAGTGATTACTTTCTAAAAAATCTAAGGTTTGTTAAAATTTAGAAACCAAACCAATCCAAAATATAGGTGGTAACTCAGGTACCTGTGGTCTCCTGAAAAGTAAAACCTACAGACTCTCAAATACTCAAGTTTAGCTAAAGAATTCTCTTTCCTTAACTAAATAGCAGACAAAACCAAAGTAGCCAAGGATTAGGACAAAATAACTAAAGCTTTCTTACTTAATAAAAAAACCTGTTTTCCCTTAGTATAGCTAAGGCCTTGTTCTCAAAGAGAGCGCTTTAGCTCTGTGAAGGGGGAATGAAGTTGATAAGTACACCTGCTAAAAGAAACAACCTAATTAAAGACAGCATATAACAAATTCACTAACACTTCATTGTATTGTAGTTTGCTTAATGCTTTTATTGGAGAGCAGATGGATGGGAGCAATCTTAGAACATCTCTAGACGCTGTAAACTGTAACCATATTACAGTTTCACAGTCAAAGTTGGGACAATTAAGTCTAAGACTGTATTAACATTATAAGAGTTTTTTTGTTTTTGTTTTTTTGAAACAGAGTCTTGCTCTGTCACCCAGGCTGGAGTGCAGTGGCGTGATCTCGGTTCACTGCAACCTCTGCCTCCCGGGTTCAAGCAATTCTCTCGCCTTAGACTCCCGAGTAGCTGGGATTACAGGCATGCACCACCACGTCTAACTAATGTTTGTATTTTTAGTAGAGACAGTATTTCACCATGTTGTCCAGGCGGCTCCCGAACTCCTGACCTCAAGTGACCCACTCACCTTGGCCTCCCAAAGTGCTGGGATTACAGGTGTGAGCCACTACGCTCGCTACGCTCAGCCCATTAAATGTGTGGGTTTTTTGGTTTTGTTTTGTTTTTGAGACAGAGTTTCGCTCTTGTGGTCCAGGCTGGAGTGCAATGGTGTAATCTCAGCTCACCGCAACCTCTGCCTCCCAGGTTCAAGTGATTCTCCTGCCTCAGCCTGCCGAGTAGCTGGGATTACAGGTGCCTGCCACCACGCCCAGCTAATTTTTGCATTTTTAGCAGAGAGGAGGTTTTGCCATGTTGGCCAGGCTGGTCTCCAACTCCTGACCTCAGATCATCCACCTGCCTCAGCCTCCCAAAGTGCTGGAATTACAGGCGTGAGCCACCACGCTCAGTCAAGTATTTTTTGTTTGTTTTTTGAGACAGAGTTTTGCTCTGTCACCGAGGCTGGAGTGCAGTGGCATGATCTTGGCTTGCTGCAACCTCCATCTCCCAGGTTCAAGCAATTTCCTGCCTCAGCCTCCCAAGTAGCTAGGATTACAGATGCCCACCACCAGGCCTGGCTAATTTTTTGTATTTTTAGTAGAGATGGGGTTTCGCCATGTTGGCCAGGCTGGTCTTGAATTCCTGACCTCGGTTATCCACCCACCTCAGCCTCCCAAAGTGCTGGGATTACAGGCATGAGCCCCTGCGCCTGGCCCATTATTAAGTGTTTTTAAAGAACCAGAACCATGATAGGTTATCAAACCCTTCCATCTTGTAACTCTAACTCTTGTAAGATGCCATCAGCAACATTTTTATTCTTGAGTGCCACTGTCATGGTAAAGCAGTGGCTATATGTATGAATGGTAAGCCTAAGTTTGAGAGAAAAGAGAAATGATGTCATAAAAGAAATGAAAAATAAAGAGTTGTACAAAACACAGGATAAATGTGACTAGCGCCTTTAGTCATGAGGGAAATAGACCCTAAGTGTTTTAATGTCCCACAGAAATTTTAGATTCCTATAAAAATAGAAGACTCTAAGATCTTTTCAGCTTCCGTAGGTGGCTTAAGCCTGAAAAGATCTCTAGAACAAAACTAATTTTCCGGGTAAAGAACCTATTATGAATGCCATTATAGGCCACACGTGGTGGCTAATGCTTATGATCCCAGCACTTTGGGAGGCTGGGGCAGGCAGACTGCTTGAGGCCAGGAGTTCAAGACCAGCATGGGCAACATGGCAAAACCCTCTCTCTACAAAAGTACATTCAAGACCAGGCTGGGCAACATGGCGAAACTCTGTCTCTACAAAAAATACAAAAATTGCGAGGCAGGCAGATCACGGGATTAGGACATTGAGACCATCCTGGCTAATACAGTGAAACCTTGTCTCTACTAAAAATACAAAAAATTAGCCTGGCGTGGTGGGGGCGCCTGTAGTCCCAGCTACTAGGGAGGCTGAGGAAGGAGAATGGCGTAAACCCGGGAGGTGGAGGTTGCAGTGAGCCGAGATCGCGCCACTGCACTCCAGCCTGGGCAACAGAGCAAGACTCCATCTCAAAAAAAAAAAAAAAACAAAAAAAATTAGCTGGGCATAGTGGCACATGCCTGTAGTCCCAGCACATGCCTGTAGTCCCAGCTAGTTAGGAGGCTGAGGTGGGAGGATTGCTTGAGCCTGAGAGGTGGAGGCTGCAGTAAGCTGTGATTGTGTCGCTGCACTTCAGCCTGGGTGACAGAGTGAGATCCTGTCTTGAGGTGGGGGGGGGGGGGGGGGGGGGGGGGAAAAGCCATTACACTCAGCTAACTCCTAAAATGTAGTTATTGAGCTTATATAGAAAATACTTGTAGCCACATAGTCTTCAACTGATGACAGGATGAAAAGAGCTTCTTTTGCCTACCAAACTGCCAAATCCAAGGCCTTTGCAGGAAAGAAGTGCTAATAATACAAGTATTACTCTTACAGAAAAGTAATATTCAGTTTCAATCTCATATTTGAACAAGGTATATCCCAAATAATCAGGAGTATTTAGCAAAATGCAATCATGTTAAAATGTATCTCACCTGTTTCCTCAAAAGCATTTGTTAATTCCTCTGAGTGCACCTGTTTTAAGAAAATTTACAAAAAAATTTAGAAATCCATTTATCAAGTAAAACTGAAGTTAATTTTATTTCCTTTTTTTCTTTAAGTAAAGAAACCATGTTATCTCCCAAAAAGCTCTTACAGGAAGTCTACTAAACATTTATGGCAAAAATATTGCTACTATTTTAAAGTGTTCCAGAGCCCACTGGAAGAGAAAAAGCTGCTAAATGCTTTTTATAATCAGTTTCAATATCAGTGCAAAAGTATCAAAGAAATAGTACAAGCAGCACATCAAAAGACTACTACATCACAAACTTCCATTGTTTATTACGTGGGGTGCTAGCTTTTAGATTGCAATAGTTATATTTTACAGTGTTAAGAAAATGTCTATTCCATTTTATAAGTTTTTTCCAAGAATGAATATTATTGGGTACCTTTTCTGTAAATATAGATGATTTTTCTCCTCAGATCTATTGGTTTGTATTAGATTTCATAATGTCAGATCATCTTTGCATTCTTTGCATATTCACACCACTGTATAACTATCATTTTTAAAATGGCATATCATAGTCTGGTGACCTAGTTTTGTACTTAGTAAAGTACTATGGTCTTTTGTCCATGTCATTAAGGATATTTTTAAAACAAAACAAAATAATGTCTGCATGGAATGCTAACAAATTATCAAAACTGGATGACTGGCACATGGGGACATATTATACCCAATCTATCTTTTAATATGTCTGCAAATGTTCATATAAAAAGTTAATTCAAAAGTTCTGCATGAGAAAACAACAACAAAGAAAGCAGAGTCAAGAGACAAATGACGAACTGGGAAAAAAGATTTGCACCTCATTACCACAGACATATATAACAGAGTTCTGCCAGTTCTATAAGAAAAAGATCAATAATCTAATTGAAAAATGGGTAAAGGAAAAGTCAGTTCATAGAAAAGGAAATATACATGGCTCCTAAGCATATGAAAAGATGTTCAATCTTACCCATAACAAGACAAAATATAACAATTCTGGGATATGCCATTTTTTGACTCACCAAATATATAAAAGTACATTTGCTCTTTATCAACTATTAATCAAGAACTATTGGTCTTTAACTTTCTCTTTGAGAACACAGATTTTAAATGGTCTTTTCCATAGTGTAGTTATAAATTATGAGGCATACTAGGTGAGTACAAAAATAAGAGGGTACTAGGAAATCTACAACATAGAGGTTGGTGATTGAATTTGCATGGTCTGGCTGGACTTCCCTAAGGCAGCAATGACTGAACTAAAGAAGTTTGTATGTTTTTCAAGGGAATGTTGCACACACAAGGTACATCAAATGAAGTGTCCTGGGACATTTAAGGAATTGAAAGATGGCCAATGTGGCCAGAAAGTGAGGCAGAAGCTGGCACAAAATGAGACTAGAGACGAAAATCAGCAAGACAATACGGGGCACTAAACACTATGGTTTTACTCCTAAAAGTAATGGGTAGCTTTAAGCATGATGATGATGATACTAGTATTACCATTTTACACATTAGGAAACCTGATCAGAGAGACAGGTGAAGTATCTTGCCTAAGGTGTTTCAACTACTAGGTGGTAGAGCCAAGATCCAGACATATATAATGCTTTTGGTCTTATTTTTAGACACCAATACAGAGCTGGGAATAAGTTTCTTGATTACTCTCCATCAATTTTCATTTATCACTGGTTAAAAGTGATAATCCAAAACCAGTTTTACTTGAATAATTTATGATGATAAATGTCAGAACTAACTTTATACATATCTAAAAGTTTAAAGAGAATAAAGGAAAAAATAGAAACAGATCTGTTGCAATATGGCCATCTTACTTAATGATTCTACCTTACCTCAGAGGTATATTCTTGACAATTATCTCTTAAAGTGAGCAAACATTTTTTGGCAGGAGGAATGTGGTCATTTTCATCAAGCCTGCATTTAAATCTCTTCCTAGATATAAGATCCAAATTATCAGGAGGCTTTTTAGAATTATCTCTTCCAGAAATAGATAAACCCACAGCATCCTGATCAACTGAAGTTGCTGGTAAACAAACACTGCATAGAAAAGAAATACATATTAAATCACTGAATTATAAGTTATTTAATACTTTTTTTTTTTAATGATCCTAGAAATCCTTTCAATAACAAGGTTAAAGGCTGAGGTATTCCAATGAAAATTCCAATAAAACCAAAAAACTCCAAACTAACAAAGAGATACATGGCCATGGCCACAAAAATGCTATTAATAGTTTTGAGCTCCATTCATACTTAAAGACTTATAACTTAAATTCCATAATATTGAATTAAATCTGAATATTTAATAGTATTTTCCCTGATTGTAAAGTTAAACGTTTAACCTAAAATGTCCCTTCTAGTCCAGGCGCAGCGGCTCACGCCTGTAATCCCAACACTTTGGGAGGCCAAGGCAGGTGTATTACCTGAGGTCAGGAGTTTAAGACCAGCCTGGTCAACATGGCGAAACCTCGTCTCTACTAAAAACACAAAAAATTAGCCAGGTGTGGTGGCACACACCTATAGTCCCACTACTTGGGAGACTTAGGCACGAGAATCACTTGAACTCAGGAGGCGGAGGTTACAGTGAGCTGAGATCACGCCACTGCACTCCACCTGGGTGACAGAGCAAGACTCTTGTCTCCAAAAATAAAAATATAAAAGTCTTCAATTTCTAATGCTACACTATGGACAATTATCTTAATTAATGGTGGTTAAGATACAACTTACTTCCAAAATAAAGAATTAAAATAAGAGTATCAAAAAATAAAAATTAAAAAAAATAAGAGTATCAGGAATAGCTGGACACAGTGGCTCATGCCTGTAATCTCAGCACTTTGGGAGGCCAAAGTGGGAGGAATGCATGAGGCCAGGAATTCGAGACAAGCCTGGGTACCAGAGCAAGACTCCATCTCTGAAAAAAAAAAAAAAAAAGTTTAAATTAGCCAAGCATGGTGGTATGCACCTGTAGATGAGAAGCTACTTGAAAGGCTGGGGCAGGAGGATCTTTTTTTCTTTTTTCTCACTCTATCACCCAGGCTAGAGTGCAGTGGTGCAATCTCAGCTCACTGCAACCTCCACTTCCTGGGTTCAAGTGGTTCTCCTGCCTCTGCCTCCTGAGTAGCTGGGATTACAGGCGTATGCCACCGTGCCCAGCTAATTTTTATATTTGTAGTAGTGATGGAGTTTTGCCATGTTGACCAGGCTGGTCTTCAACTCCTGACCTCAGGTGATCTTCCCACCTCGGCCTCCAAGGAACTGAGATTAAAGGCGCAAGCCACTACATCCAGCCAGGAGGATCTCTTGAGCCCAGGAGTTCCAGGCTGCAGTGAACTATGATGGCACCACTACACTTTAGCCTGGCACTCTAGCCTGGGCACCAAAGCAAGTCCCTGTCTCTTAAGTAAAAAATCTGTATTTATTACCACTGTACTATTTTCACAACTTTCTGTGAATGTATATTTCACAGTTTCATACGTGTGTCTATACAAAGTAACCACACTTCTAACAGGTATCATTTTACGATCTAGACTGTTAATATTTTTAGCTTTCAAAATAACTTAATAAACAAGTTTCATACAAAACTAATACATGAAACATTTAAGTGGCATCTTTATCAGATATAAAATCTACCACATTACATTTCTTCTCTAACTTACCACATAAATGATAAATAAGATTTCCACAACAAGATAAATAAGATTTCCACAACAATAACAACTAATATTGGTGAATGGTTTGTTCAATCAATACTACTTAATTCATAAATCACTTTTCCTCCTAGCGAAAACAGTTTTGCTCATTCATTACCTCATGTCACCTCTTTCTTCAGTATTCACTGATTTGACCAATATGGGAGCTGGCAGTAAAGGGTTTGGCATGAACTGTGCAGTGGCATCAGTAAATTCTTCTACTGCATTGGTTGGAATTTCCACCAGAGTTAAAATAAAGGCTTGTTCATCTTCTCCATCTTGAGGTACATTAGCAACTAGATTCACTATTAAAGTTTAAAAGTTAGTAATAAAAAAGCTCAACTATGAAATAACAGAATATCATTAATTTATTTCATTTCTAAAAAGACAGTTTCAGGACAACTTATCATCAAGATTAAATAAATAAATGCTCCCCGCCACGACCCCCCAGCCTGAGGAAGTAAGTTCCCTCCTTTTTTTTTTTTTTTGGGAGACAGAGTCTCACTCTGTCGCCCAGGCTAAAATACAGTGGCACAATCTCGGCTCACTGCAACCTCCGCCTCCTGTGTTCAAATGATTCTCGTGCCTCAGCCTCCCAAGTAGCTGGGATTACAGGTGTGTGCCACCATGCCTGCCTAGTTTTGTACTTTTAGTAGAGACGGTGTTTTGCCATGTTGGCCAGGCTGGTCTTGAACTCCTGGCCTCAAGTGATCTGCCCACCTCAGCCTCCCAAAGTGCTGGGATTACAGGAGTGAGCCACCATGCCCGGCCCAAGAAATAATTTCATAAAGGATAAAGGTGATATACTATGGGAAAGATTTATGACTCTGAAAAACAAAACTGATATGCAAAATACTTCAAGGTGTTTCTATAAAACTTTTTAAATTTAAGGCCAGCATAGACTAAAATAAAACTGTTTTGTGTTTTTCCATAGTTAAAGAAGGGGTAAAAATCATACAATTAGGTTCTATGACATGTCACTGAAGCATATTATCATACCTGTTAGGTCTTGAGGATTGATTATATTCTCTTGTTGGACTTCTGGAATACTTGTTGGTGTATACTGCTATAAAAAATTAAAATGAAAGAGTGAGGTTGGCCAAGTCAATATGATATAGTGAAGAGATTAACTCAACAACATCTAACCATATATACTTTTCAAGTGTTTGAAGCTTTAGGCTGTTTCAATAAACTTTTGATTCATTTAAATATTAATACAAAGAATCCTGACTATATTGTTAAATATGTGCATTTTATGAAATGATTTTTGAAGTGACAGAATAGGGAGACCCAAACCCCACAACTTTTTCTCTACTCCCATCACACCAGCCTTTGTACTATTAGCAGGTGACATGTGAATGGAGGCAAACTGCTTTCCCTGAATCCAGTATGGTTCCCTCCAATCTGTTTTCCAAAAAACCACAAACATGGTTTTTCTAAAATGCAATCCTGACTGTAATTCTCTACTGCTTAAAATCTCTTAGCTCACTACAACCTCCACCTCCTGGGCTCAAGCGATCCTCCCACCTCAACCTCCTGAGTAGTTGGGAGTACAGATGCATGCCACCACACTTGGCTAATTTTTTAAAAATTTTTCGGGGGTAGAGATGGGGTTTTGCCATGTTGCCCAGGCTGGTCCCAAACTCCTGGGCTCAAGTGATCCGCCCACCTGAGCCTCCCAAAAGTGCGGGGATTATAGGTGTAAGACACTATGCTGAGTTTCTACTGCTTAAAATCTTTTATTTTATTTTATTATTATTATTATTTTTTTGAGACAGTCTTGCTCTGTCGCCAGGCTGGAGTGCAGTGGCGCAATCTCAGCTCACTGCAGCCTCCGCCCCTCCCCGTCCTGGGTCCAAACAATTCTCCTGCCTCAGCCTTCCGAGTAGCTGGGACTATAGGTGTATGCCACCATGCCCAGCTAATTTTTGTATTCTTAGTACAGACGGGGTTTCACCATGTTGGCCAGCATGATCTCGATTTCTTGACCTTCTGATCTGCCCGCCTTGGCCTCCCAAAGTGCTGGGATTACAGGTGTGAGCCATTGCGCCCAGCCTGCTTAAAATCTTAAAACTCTCATTTTGCAACCAACAATGTCAATAATTCATTAAGGCAAGAATCATCAATGGATATTAAAACTACAGGGTGACAGCTTGCTGCATTGGTCCCATTTGACAAATTACTAATACAGAATGGAAAAGATGCCACTATAATGAAGAAATCTGGCAGGTATCATTCTAGCCAAGTGATCAGTCAGCATCACCAATAATGGGACAAACTGACATCATGTGTCTCCCGATGTGATATAAAAGTAAGAACATGTCATTACCTATATAATAATCTTGCCCTAAAATATGTAAGTTGAATCTAGTAATGAGGAAGCAATTAAAAAAAAGAAATCCAGATTGTAGGCCAGCCTAGACTGTTCTAAACTTTTCTTGCTTTTTCTTTTGTGAACAAAAAGACAAGAAAAATACTCTAGATTAAAGGAAAATAAGGAGAAAGGATAATCAAATGCAATGTGAGAGCCCTGATTGGATCTTGAATTGAAGAAAAAGAAAAAAAAAGCTGGCCAGGCGCGGTGGCTCACACTTGTAATCCCAGCACTTTGGGAGGCTGAGGTAGGCAAATCATTTGAGGCCAGAAGCTCAAGACCAGCCTGGCCAACACAGCAAAACCCCATCTCTTCTAAAAATATTATACAAAAAAAATCAGTCAGGTGTGGTGGCGCACATCTTTAATCCCAGCTACTCGGGAGGCTGAAGCACAAGAATCATTTCAACCTGGGAGGCGGAGGTTGCAGTGAGCCGAGATCGTGCCACTGCACTCCAGCCTGGCTGACAGAGTAAGACTCTGTTTAAAAAAGAAAAAAGCTATAATGGACAGGATTGGGACAACTAGGGAAACTGGAATGGAAACTGTATATTACATATCACTGAGACAATGTTACAAGATGAGGTATTTACGGACTCAAGTTACTTTCAAATGATTCAGTTTTTTTGGTTTTTTTTTTTTTTTTTTTTTTTTTTTTTTTTTTTTGGAGACAGAGTCTTGTTCTGTTGCCCAGGCTGGAGTACAATTGTGCAATCTTTGGTCACTGCAACCTCCGTCTCCTGAGTTCAAGCAATTCTCACACCTCAGCCTCCCAATTAGCTGGGATTACAGGTGCATGCCACCACGCCTGGCTAATTTTTGTAATGATGGGGTTTCACCTTGTTTGCCAAGCCGTTCTTGAACTCCTGACCTCAGGTGATCTGCCCGCCTCAGCCTCCCAAAATACTGGGATTACAGGCATGAGCTACTCCACCCAGCCAAGTATTTATCTATACAGATGGAGAGCAAGGCAGAGTAAAAAAACAAATGAGGCAAAGTATTAACTATTGATGAATCAAAATGAAGTGTATGGGATAATTCTTTGTAAGATTTTTGTAACTTTTCTCTAAGTTTAAAATTATTTCAAAATAAAAAGCAAAAATTAAAAAGTCAGGGTGGGGTGAGGAAACTCATAACTTCAAATGTAACCAAACTCCTTATCAAGTCATAAAAATCCTTTTATAGTCTGTCTGCAGGTTACCTTTCTAAGTTCATCTCTAATCACTTTCTTCATTAATATTCCACTCATACTACTTACATGCTATTTCATACTTGTTTGTTCTTGGAGACAGGGTCTCACTCTGTCTCCCAGACTGGAGTGCATGGCGACCACAGCTCACTGCAGCCTCTACCTCCCAGGCTGAAGTGATCCTCCCACTTCAGCCTCCTGAGTAGCTGGGACTACAGGCAAATGCCACCATGCCTGGGTTTTTTTTTTTTTTTTTTTTAAATGGCATTATAGGTTTGAGTCACTGTACCTGGTCCACACCTGTTCTTTACACACACATGTTCCTTTCCCTTTAACTGGATAATGCATACATGTTCTTCAAGTCCAAGGCTTCTCTCAATTGGGGAACTTTTTAATGGAACTGTTCATGTATTGGTTATATGACTGCATAGTTATAAAAACCTGAAGAACTGTACACTAAAAAGGGTGAAGTTAGCCAGGTGCAGTGGCTCATGCCTGTAATCCCAACACTTTTGGAGGCCAACGCAGGCAGATCACTTGAGGCCAGGAGTTCAAGACCAGCCTGGCCAATATGGCGAACCCCGTCTCTACTGAAAATACAAAACCTAGCTAGCCGTGGTGACACATGCCTGTAGTCCCAGCTACTTGGCAGGCTGAGGCAGGAGAATCTGTTGAACCTGGGAGGCAGAGGCTGCAGAGAGCTGAGATCATACCACTGCACTCCGGCCTGGGCAACAGACCAAGACTGTCTCAAAAAAAAAAAAAGAAAAGAAAAGAAATAAAGAAAAACGAACATAAAAGAGGTGAAGTGTATTGTATGTAAATTATACCTTTTCATTTATTTATTTTTTTTAATGGAGGGAAACACCTTGCTATCCCTTATTATATTGTACATTCTTTTACCTCTGGCACAGGAAGTGTAAGCACATTGTCTCCTTTAGAGTCTTTTACCTGGGCCTCTTCAACAGAATTTTCACCAAGACCCCTATCCAAACCAAGTGTGCAGGGCCCTGTCTCAGAGGAAGCAACTGGAGCAACTGATAACATGTGAACCTCCTGAGAGCTCTCTTCTTGATTTTCATTTCTGAAAGAGAGTTTAGAATGCATATCATTTGAAATTGGGCAAATCATGGAATTATTTTTAGAGCTAGGTGTGTAAAAGATCATCTAATTCAATGGTTTTCAAACTTTTAAAACATACTTAATGCAACAGAACTTCTTTTTCAAATTCTTAGAGTCACAACTTAAGGCTATCGCTGAAACAATATAAACTGAATCTCAGAATCCCTTCCCTCTTTTACCTTTCAGTTAGGTTTACTTCTGGAGAAATACTGGTCCCTTTGATACCATGTACACATGCCAATTTGCTCTGATCCTTATTCTCTGCTGTTGTAACTGGTCCGAGGTTTTTATCTTCCAATTCTGTTGCTTTGGAAGCATTTTTCTCTGTTTCTTAAACAAAAAGCAGACTTATGATACAGATCAAAATAATACAGCTAAAATCCCTCTATTAGAAACATATACCCTCTTAAAAGGAAGACCCCTATACTGTGACTCTTCCAAACTTCTCTCATTCCACAAATCAGGCTTACACACACGGCAGAAAGTCCTGGCTAATAGATTTTTGAACAGTAAAATAGATGATTAATAAATCATGTTCTGCAAGTATTTCACTCCTGGCTGCCATGATAATTGTATCCGCACTTTACAGTACTAGCATCAATAACTAGAAACTCAACATACAAAAGAGACTTAGAGCTGGGTACGCGGAGGTTTGGCTAGTTCCACTTTAGAGGAAGTCTTCGGGAAGGAGCTGCACTGCAAAGAATAGCATCACAAATGGGGGAAAAAGAGATTTCTACATAGAAGAGGTAATTTGAGCCTGCATGTCGGCAGAGGTTTTAGAAAAGGTGACCTCTCATGGTTCTCCTGTATTTTTCATCATGTTTAGTGCAATACTGTGAATAACACCATGGGACCCATACAAAGTGCCATTAATGATGCTGGAAGCACTCCCAAGAAGCAGAGGAAAGTCCTAACATTATAAGAAAAAGCTGAATTGCTTGGTATGTATTACAGATTGACACCTGTAGTTGGGGTTGCCCACCATTTCAGACAGATGTTTCATCTTGTAAACAGCTGACATAAACTTTTGGTACTGATAAATACAATGCAGTACTGAAAATGTTTTTTCTCTTCCTTATAATTTTCTTCCTTTTATTTTTCTTTAAGACAGGGTCTTGCTCTGTCGCCCAGGCTAGAGTGCAGTGGCAATATCACAATTTACAGCAGACCTGATCTTGCAAGCTCAAACCTGTGAGTAGCTGGGACCACAGGTGTGTGCCACCACGTCTGGCTAACTTCTTAAAATTATTTTGTAGAGACAAGGTCTCCCTATATTGCCCAAGCTGGTCTCAAAACTCCTGCGCTCATGTGATCTTCCTGCCTCTGCCTCCCAAAGGGCTAGCATGTCAGGTGTGCACCACCACCGTGCCTAAACTGACTTTCTTTTTTCTTTATTTGATATGGAGTCTCACTCTGCTGCCCAGGCTGGAGTACACTGGCATGATCACAGTTCACTGCAACCTCAACCTCCCTGGGCTCAGGTGATACTCCCACCTCAGCCTCCTGAGTAGCTAGGACTACAAGCATGCACCACCATGCCTGGCTAATTTTTGTACTTTTGTAGAGATGGGGTTCTGCCTTGTTGCTCAGCTCCATCTGGTGTCAAGTGAACTGCCTGCCCTGGCCTCCCAAAGTGCTGGGATTACAGGTGTGAGCCACTGTGCCCAGCCTCAGCCTTACTTTCTTAATAACATTTTCATTTCTCTATGGCTCAAGGACATCAGTTGAAAAAACAGAAAAAGAAATTTTTAAAAAAAAAATTTCTCCAGCCTATTTTATCATAAGAATACAGTATATAACACATCTAAAATACAAAATATGTGTTAATTGACTATCTTATCAATCAGGCTTCTGGTCAACAGTAAGTCATTAGTAGGTAAGTTTTTGGGGAGACAAAAGTTATACACAAATATATATGTGTGTGTGCTTTCAATTCATAAGAGACAGGGTCTCACTATGTTGTCCAGGCTGGCCTCCAACTCCTGGGCTCAAGCCTCCCAAAATGCTGGAACTACAGGTGTAAGCCACTGCACCCAGCCTATACACAAATTTCTGACTGTTTGGGGAGGTCAGTGCCCCTAGTTAAAGGGTCAACTATGAGAGAGAGAGAGAGAATAAAAAGACAAAAAATTGATCAAACAAATATAGCAAACTGGTACTAATTACTAAAACCAATTGGTAGATTTATGGATATTTATTTTATAGCTCATCTTACTTTTTAATTTGAAACTATTTTATTGTAAGTTAAAACAATTTAATGACCAAATATTTCTTTGAAATGTTAATGTAATTTCTTGTGCCAAAATGATTTTGCAACATATTAAGAGAATAAAATTTACCTCTTTGAGTTTCCATTTCTTCCCCTTTGGTTACACACAAACTGGAAATTTCCTGATGATCATCAAACCTGTTGGTCCCTAAAGTCTTCTCAAGATTTGGCTTAGGCTTGGCAAGTCTACTTCTTATTCTCAAATTACTGGTCACTTCAGAAATTGTATTCCTAAAAACAGAAGATAGAGAAATTTATGAATCACGTTAGATCTTACTCTCTCACATTAATACAGTCTGTCTAGCACTGATAGAGTGAACGACCTGTTAGATGCCACATTGTCTACAAGTGTTCATTTCTTAATACTAAAATTACAAAGTAGTAACTTTACTAGAAGTCTTAAGATGAGAATTCAGTCTGTATTTGTAAAACAGAGACATTTACATAAATCTATTTCATTAAAGCTTCAAAGATATACAACATTTACTACTATAATTTAAATATGCAAACCATTAACCTAAAATCAAAATCAGTCCATCTTTAAAGGGTAAGAAATTAGCATTGCCTACTTTACATTTACAAGCATTACTCAAAGCTATTAACTAATTTGATGGTGGTTTTAGTAATATTTATTAATTGAATACTAAAATAAACCTGGTTGGTGTAGCATTCTCCTTTACTTTCTCCATTAAACTTATTTCTTCTCTGGAACTTTGTTCCTCCAATACAATCTTGTTTTCTTCAAATGATGCAGGAGATGTAGTAATGACAGGTGAAGAAAGCTCCTGACATTCATGAACAATTTTGTGATTTACATTATCTAGGCTAAAAGGAATATGGCTTTTATCCTTTGAATGTACATGAGGAAGTATACATACCCCTACTGAAGAAAAAAAAAAAAAAATTAAAATGGACCAAATTAGATGCTCAAAATAAATTCTTCAACATTTAGTAACTGTAAAATTCTGTATTATTAAAGTTTGCTTCATTTGTGCGGCAGCAATAGAAAAAGATTTTAAAAATAAATAAAGTTTGCTCTTGTTGGCTATAAATTTAAATTTATGATCTCCCTATTTCATGCCAGGGATTTGACCTATTGTGAGCTTAATAATCCTTATAGACTGAAATTTTATGCAATTATTAGTAAAAATGAGTCCTTTTGTTATTTTGAGTAATTATATAATCTCAGATGGATTTCAAGATAGACAGCACTGCCAGCATTTAAGATTTTTAAAACCTTTATGTTCTATGTGTACTTTATGTTCTATATGTTTCTGACAGGCTCTTCTGCAATACTCTGCCACTAAGAAAGGAGCCCTATACAGAACACAAACCAGAGACTTTCCTGATAAATATATGGTTCCAAGCCTAAAAGTCTAATACGTTTTTACCTATCTACTTTGGAGACAGGGTCTCACTTTGTCACCCAGGCTGGAGTGCAGTGGCACAATCTCAGCTCACTGCAGTCTTGACCTCCTGAGCTCAAGCGATCCTCTCACCTCAGCTTCCCAAGCAGCTAGCACTACAGGCGTACACCACCATGCCTGTCTAATTTTTTGTATTTTTTATAGAGACGGAGTTCCACTCCTGAAGTCAAGCATTCACCAGCCTTGGCCTCCCAAAGTGCTGGGACTATAGGCTTGAGCTGCCGCATCCGGCCCAAAAGTCTATTACTTAAAATGAATGGAGGCTAGCGCAGTGGCTCATGCCTGTAATCCCAGCACTTTGGGAGGCCAAGACAGATGGATCACCTGAGGTCAGGAGTTCGAGACTAGCCTGGCCAAGATGGTGAAACCCCAACTCCACTAAAAACACAAAAATTAGCTGGGCATGGTGGCAGGTGCCTGTAATCCCAACTACTCAAGAGGCTGAGGCAGGAGAGTTGCTTGAACCTGGGCAGCAGAGGTTGCAGCGAGCCGAGATTGTGCCATTGCACTCCAGCCTGGGTGACAAGAGTGAAACTCTGCTTCAAATAAATAAATAAATAAAGATGAATGGTAGACTACTCATAATCAAACTCCGTCTCAAATAAATAAATAAGTAAATAAAATGAACGGTAGAGTACTCATAACCAAGCAGAATAATTACTAGGAATAGTATAATTACTCATTTCATGCACTTAAAAGATAGTTAGATAGTAAAGATTTATCGCCTGTCTGATTTACGTCTAATAAATTAAAAATCTTGGTTGATAAATCTTTTGGCTCTGTCCAAACTGAGAACAGTTTAAACTAAATTATTTCAATGAATGCTATTGTCTCTTTGTACCGTATTTGTCATTTAATTGTGAATACCATCCCAAGTAGCAACTCCTTGGCTAAAGACACATGTATAAAGTGATCAGTGATCAATGAGCTCAGTTAACCAACGACATTCACGATTGTAATGGCAGTATTCACTAGAGCAACTATTCCATGAATACGAATTATTCTTTTTATTTATTTATTTATTTATTTATTTATTTATTTATTTATTTTTGAGACACAGTCTCGCTCTGTTGCCCAGGCTGGAGTGCAGTGGTGCAATTTCGGCTCACTGCAAGCTCCACCTCCCAGGTTCCAGGTTCACGCCATTCTCCTGCCTCAGCCTCCCAAGTAGCTGGGACTACAGGCGTCCGCCACCATGACCGGCTAATTTTTTGTATTTTTAGTAGAGATGGGGTTTCACAGTGTTAGCCAGGATGGTCTTGATCTCCTGACCTCCTGATCCACCCGCCTCGGCCTCCCAAAGTGCTGGGATTACAGGTGTGAGCCACCATGCCCGGCTTGAATACAAATTATTCTTAATAAACCAAGTGTACGATCTTGAATTGGCTGTCACTATACCTAAACAGTAGTAAAATAGTGGATAGATCAATATATACATATCACATTTTATGGAAGAACAACAAAATGGAGACAAATTCAAATGTAAAAGGGTTATTACTCAAATGTGGGTATAACTTCTTAAAAGTTAGGTTTTAAAAGTTTCTATTTTTGGTAGGACTTAGCTTTCATTCTTACCATCACCCTGTTCAATACTGATCTCTGACTGCAATACTAGATCTCCCATTGTAAGTAAAGTTATTGCAGCTTCAGTGCTTCCATCACTGGTACCTTGTGAGGAAATACATCAACATTAAAACAAAAGAATGAATCTGGAAATCTGTTCACTTAAAAAATATTTTTAATTGAGGTATTTATCTCCTAGTAGCAGATTCCAATATCCTCTGAACCATTAATCCCTTAATAGGGTAGTCTTTTGTTCAGGTTATATGTTACAGATAAATAAATCATCACTGTTGGTTTTGACTCACTGACCATGCCTCCCTCCCATTAAATAATATGTTCAAGGAAAATGCTCTCCCATTTGTACAGATCCAGAGGAAACGCTCAAATATTTCTTAAACATTTAACTTTTAATTCACCTTCTAAAATAACATTCTAAGAATCCACATTTCTCACAGAGATAACACATTCAATAGCTGAATCTTTTTGTTAAACTCTCCAGCAAACTGATTCATTTATTATCCCCACTATTAAATCATTGTACTAGTGTTAATCAAGGTAGTCTTAGCAGTTTCCTTGATAACAGTTACCTGGTTCATCTTGGATATGTTCACCTGTGGTCATTTCCTAAAAATGAAAAAAATAAGTAATATCTTAAATATTTCTCCAAACATGTTCTGTTTCTCAACACGCACTACATTTTTAGAGGTCTTTCCATACTTTGAGTTACAATAGCATAAACTGGTTTGTCTTAATTTATAATTATTCACAAAATTTCACCAGCAAGAACAGAAATAATTTAAAGGCAAAATTCTTGTGTCTCTTGCTCCTGATTTTATCTTTATATTGTATTATGTGCAAATTTTAACTCTTATCATATTGTTATGTATGTCTACCATTCTTACTTTACTTCTTCATTTTCATAATCCTTCAACTCTAGTCATATCTGCTGCCAATTTTTACCAATGGAAACCAAGGCCTGAAGGGTATTGCAAAATTTTTATAATCCTACGTAGCTTAAAACTTAAACGCATTTTAATAAATTAAGAAGTTACAGAACCAATGTCCAGAGCGACAGCTTGAGAAGCTTCACTGACCCACTCCTCAGTGAAACCGATTTTAAAAACAAAACATTTAACAGCCTCTGAAAATGATCCTAGCGACAAAAAGCAAACGAAGAAATATCTGTCCAAGAAAATTTGAAAATTTGCTAACAAAGGTGAGAGTCTATGTGAACCAAAACTGCTCTCTCTCTCCTTCCTTCCAGCTCAGCATGGCAGAGACTCCACCTCAAACTGCTGCACCCAAAAATACAAGGCCCCCAGTCCCCAAGGTCCCACCTGGAGAGCATTTTTCCCTAGGGGAGTAGGACTTCAGCTCCTGACATCACAAGAAAAGTACAGACCAATATTTATTATGAATATGGACACAAAAATCACCAATAAAATACTAGCAAGCCAAATCCAACAATGTATAAAAATTAGACATTATGACCCTAGAATATTTCCTGGGGAAGCGAGGTTGGTTTAACATCCAAAAATCAATACAATAAAAAACAAAATTCACATGATCATCTCCATAAATGCGGAAAAAGCATGACAAATTCCAACACCCTTTAATGAAAGAAACATTCAACAAACTATGAATGGAAAGTAACATCTTTAGCCTGGTAAAGGACATTTATGAAAAACGCACGGTAACATTACACTTAATGATAAGACAGGATAGGAGAAGTGGTAGCAGCCAGGCAGCCCAGCTTTGAGAAGGCTCTCGGCATGGTGTGGCTCACAGGCACCAACACGCACACTCCCGGCTGCAAGATGCCCAAGAGAAAGATCAGCTCAGCAGAAGAGCGGTGAAGGAAAGAGCCCAACATGAGATTGGTATGACTGTCAGCTAAACCCGCTCCTGCATAAGTGGAAACAAAGCCAAAAAAGGCAGCAGGAAAGGATAAATCTCCAAACAAAAAAGTGCAAACAAGAGAAAAAAGGGGAACAAAGGGAAAACAGACCAAAGTGGCTAAGCAAGAAATCACATTTACCTACAGAAAACAGAGAAACAAAAACCAAGGAAAGTCCAGCCTCTGATGAAGCCGGAGAGAAAAAGCCAAGTCTGATGAATATCATATACCATGTCTTACCAATAGTCCTTGTCTCCCTTCTTGTACATTCCAGAGGAATATTTTTATCAACTATTTCGTAAATGCAAGTTTTTTAGTAACTCTAGAAACATTTTTAAGAAGAAAGGAATCCCACCACATCCCATTTTTTAAGTGTAAATGCTTTTAAGGGTAAAAATCATTTGCCAGTTGTTTATTTTTTGGTACAACCAGAAAACAGTGTGGAATATTGAATTATGGGAGGCTTCGACTGTCTTCGGTATCAGCTTACCCTTCCACTATATTAACTAGCAATATGGAGTCACAGTCCTGCATCTGATGTCTTGAAATTTTTTAGTTACTTTTATTCCCATGGTCTGGTTCTGGTTCTTTAGTTTGCTAGTTTGTTTGTTTTGTTTTTGAGACAGAGTCTTGCTCTGTTGCCTAGGCTAGAGTGCAGTGGCGCAATCTCCACTCACTGCAACCTTCACCTCCTGGGTTCAAGCGATTCTCCTGCCTCAGCCTCCAAGTAGCTGGGATTACAGGCATGCGCCACCATGCCCAGCTGATTTTTTGTATTTTTAGTACAGATGGGGTTTCACCATGTTGCCCAGGCTGGTCTCAAACTCCTGACCTCATGATCTGCCCACCTCAGCCTCCCAAAGTGCTGCAATTACAGGCGTGAGTTAATGCGCCCGACCTGGTTCTGTTTTGTTTGAGACAGAGTCTTGCTCTGATGCCCAGACTGGGGTGCAGTGGTGGCAACAACAGCTCACTGCAACCTCACCCTCCTGGGCCTAGGCGATCCTCCTGCCTCAGCCTCCAGAGTAGCCGGGACCAGAGGCGCATGCCAACATGCCTGGCCAACTTTTAAAAAACGTATTTGTAGAGACAGGGTCTCCCTCTGTTGCCCAGACTGACCTTGAACTACCATGCGATCCTCCCACCTTCCAAATTACTGGGATTACAGGCATGAGCCATCGCGCCTGGGCCCATGTTGTTTTTTAGTAGAATTGCTTCCTAAAGAAAACCACTCCTTGATCATGGCTGTAATCCCAGTAATTTGGAACCCCTGTCAGAATTGTGTGCACTCTATAAATCTTTGGTTGTGGTAGTCCTGTTTTCCTAATAACTTTGTTAATGTGCTGTGAAAGACTGAAAATTTAAGTATGTAGTATATATGCTATTTAATTGCAAATTGTGGAAGTATGTAACAGTTTATCAATATGTAAGGATACTAGCACTTGATAGCCTTTTAATGAAAACTTGCCTCCAAATTTTAAGCTGGAAAGTCACTGGAGTAACTTTTAAAAATAATTACAATACATGGCTTTTTAGATTTTCAATATAAATGTGAAGAATTGTGTACTGATCCTTAACACAACCAACAAAATCTCAATTATGAAAAAATAAATGATGAAGGACTGGATACTTGCCCCCTAAGATCAGGAATAAGACCAAAATGCCCACTCTCGCTTCTATTAAACATTGAACTATAGGTTCCAGCCAGGGCAATTAGGCAAGAAAAAGAAATAAAAGGCATTCAGGTAAGAAAGTATCAAAGGTTGAATTGTGTCCCCTAGAAAGATACGTCAAAGTCTTAATCCCAAATAATGTGAACATGACATTATTTAAAAATAGGGTATTTGTAGATACAATCAAATTTAGATGAGGTCATACTGGATCAGAGTTGGTCCTAATCCAATATGACTGGTGTCCTTTCCTTATAAGATGACAGGATACACATACAGAAAGGGAAAATGCCATATGGTAATAGAGGCAGAAGATGGAAGTATGCTGCTGCATGCTGAGAAATGATAAGGACTGCTGGCTACCACCAGAAGGCAGGAGAAAGGCATGGGATGGTTCTTTCTCAGAGCCTCCAGAAGGAACCAACATTGCTGACACCTTGATTTTAGACTTCTAGACTCTAAAGCTGTGAGAGAATAAATTTGTTTTGTTTTGTTTTGTTTTTCTTATCTCTGTAAGTGCCTGGAGAACTTTTGTGGGTAAAAGCTACCAACTTGGTAGTTCAAAGAGTACCCGACTTAAATTTTTTATTTTAGGCCGGGCACAGTGGTTCACACCTGTAATCTCAGCATTTTGGGAGGCCAAGGTGGGAAGATCACCTGAGGTCAGAAGTTCGAGACCAGCCTGACCAACATGGTGAACCCTCATCTCTACTAAAAATACAAAAATTAGCTGGGTGTGGTGGCAGGCACTTGTAATCCCAGCTACTCTGGAGGCTGAGGCAGGAGAATCACTTGAAACTGGGAGGCGGAGGGTGTAGCAAGTCTCCGAGATGGCACCACTGCACTCCAGCCTGGGCAACAGAGTGAGACTCTGTCATTAAAAAAAAATAAATAAATAAAAAAAATATATATATATATAGAGAGAGTTATTTTATGATAGATTTATCAGGATGTAATCTCCTCATAAGTTGAGGAGCATCTGTACTTTGTTATAGTGAACCTAGGAAACTAATAAAGAACGAGGTAAAACTATCTTCATTTGCAGATGACATGATTTGACATATAGAAAATCCTAAGGAATCTACCAAAGAAGTTGCAGGATATAAAGCTAATACACAAAAATCATTTTTATTTCTACACACTTTTAACGAACAATCCAAAAATGAAATTAAGAAAACAATCCCAGGCTGGGCACAGCGGCTTATGCCTGTAATCCCAGCACTTTGGGAGGCCAGGGTGGGTGGATCACCTGAGATCAGGACTTTGAGACCAGCCTGACCAACATGGAGAAACCCCATCTCTACTAAAAATACAAAATTAGCAGGGTGTGGTGTCACATGCCTGTAATCTCAGCTACTCGGGAGGCTGAGGCAGGAGAATTGCTTGAACCAGGGAGGCAGAGGTTGTGGAGAGCCAAGATGGCACCACTGCACTCCAGCCTGGGCAACAAGAGGGAAACTCCGTCTCCAAAAAAAAAACAAAGAAAACAATCCCATTCACAATAGTGACAAAAATAACATACTTGGAAATAAATTTAACAAAGAAGTGCAAACTTTATATGCTAAAAACTACAAAACATTGTTGAAAGTAAAAGATCTAAATCAGCCAGGTGTGGTGGCTCACGCATGTGAGTACTTTTGAAGGCCAAAGCAGGCAAATCACTTGAGGCCAGGGAACCAGTCTGGCTAATATAGTGAAACCCCATTTCTAATAAAAATATAAAAAAATAGTTGGGTGTAGTGACACGTGCCTGTAATCTCAGCTACTCAGGAGGCTGAGGCAAGAATTGCTTGAACCCAGGAGGTGGAGGTTACAGTGAGCCGAGATTGCACCACTGCATTCCAGCCCGGGTGACAGAGCAAGACTCTTGTCTTAAAAATAAAAATTAAAAAAAAAAAAAAAAAGTAAAGAAGATTTAAATAAATGGGGAAAGATCTCATATTCCTGGATCAAGAATCTCAACACTGTTAAGATTGCATTATCCCTTAAACTGATCTCCAGATGCAATGCAATCCCACTAAGATTCCTAGCTGACTGCTTTGCAGAAACTGACAAGTTGATTTTAAAATTCATATGAGGCAAAATTCATACGGGGCCAGGGATAGTGGCTCATGTCTGAAATTTCAGCACTTACGGAAACTGAGATGGGAGAATCACTTGAGGCCAGGAGTTTGAAACCTGCCTGGGCAACACTGTGGGGCCCTGTCTGTACCAAAAAAATGTAACATAATAAAAATAAAATACATATGAAATTGAAAGGGACCCACAATAGCCAAAACCATTCCGAAAAACAATAAAGTAAAACTCACACTTCTCAATTCAAAAACTTACTACAAAGCGGCCAGGCACGGTGGCTCACGCCTGTAATCCCAGCACTTTGGGAGGCCGAGGCAGGCGGATCACAAGGTCAGGAGATCAAGACCATCCTGGCTAACACAGTGAAACCCTGTCTCTACTAAAAATACAAAAAAATTAGCTGGGCATGGTGGCGGGCGCCTGTAGTCCCAGCTACTTGGGATGCTGAGGCAGGAGAATGGCATGAACCCAGGAGGTGGAGCTTGCAGTGAGCTGAGATCGCGCCACCTGGAGTGCATCCAGCCTGGGTGACAGACCAGACTCCGTCTCAACACCAAAAAAACAAACAAACAAACAAACAAAACTTACTACAAAGTAACAGTGATCAATATAGCATCACTAGCATAAGAATAGACATATAGATCTATGCAACAGAATTCAGAATTCAGAAATAAACCCATACAGCTATGGTCAGCTGATTTTTGATAAGAGTGTCAAGACTACTCAATGGGGAAAGAACAGTCTTTTTGAATAAATGGTGATACGACAAATGGATAGCCACATGCAAAAGAAATAAGTTGGATAATGAGGTTATCCATGTACAAAAATTAACTCAACATGGACCAAAGACTTAAATGTAAAAGCAAAAATCTCTTTTAGAAGAAAAATGGGTAAATCTTCATGGCCTTCGGTTTGACAAAGGACTCAGATCTGACAACAGAAGCATGATCAATAAAAGAAAAAATAGATTAATTGAACATCAAAATTTAAAACTTTTTGCTTTAAAGGAAATCATCAAGAAAGTGAAAAGACAACCCACAGTAAGGGAGGAAATATTTGCAAATCATATACCTGATAAGGGACTTTTATCTAGAATATATAAAGACTCCTTATAACTCAATAATAAAAAGACAAATAGCACAATAAAAGAAAAACGGACAAAATATTTGAACACACATTTCTCAAAGATGATACACAAATGGCCAATAGGAACATAAAATGTGCCTGACATCATTAGTCACCAAGGAAATACAAATCAAAACCACAGTGAGACACCACTTCACACATACTAGGACAACTAGATCCAAAAAGTCAAGCCAGGCACAGTGGCTCATGCCTGTAATCCCAACACTTTGGAAGGCTGAGGGAAAGGTATCACTTGAGGACAGGAGTATGAGACCAGCCTGAGCAACACAGCAAGACCCTACCTCTACAAAAAAAAAAAAAAAAATTAGCTGGGCATAGTGGCACACACCTGTAGTCACAGCTACTTAGAATGCTGAGTGGAGAGGATCATTTACACTCAGAAGGTCAAGGCTGTAGTGTGCTACAATTGTGTTACTGCACTCTAGTTTGAGGGACAATGAAAGGCCATCTAAAAATAAATTAAAAAAAAAAAAAAGAACAAAAAAACCAAAAAGTGAAATAACAAGTGCTGGCAAGGACATGGAAGAACAGAAACCCTCATAAACTGCTGGTGGGAATGTAAAATGGTATAGCTACTTTGGAAAACAGTTTGGCAGTTCCTCAAATGATGAAACATTGAGTTACCATAAGACCCAGCAATTACATTCCTAGAAATGTACCCAAGAGAAATAAAAACATATATCCACACAAACACTTCTACGTGAATGTTTACAGCAGCATTATGTATAACAGACAAAAAATAAAAATAATCCAAATGTTCATGAATGGATGAATAGATAAACAAAATGTACCACATCCATATGGAATATTATTAGGCTACAAAACGTAAGAAGTGTCACTACATGCTGCAACGTAGATGAACAGTAAAAATGTTACATTAAGTGAAAGAAGCCAGACACAAATGACCAGATTTTATAATTTCATGTCTAGGAAATGTCTAGAACAGGCAAATCTATACAGACAAAAGACAAATTATTGGTTCCCGAGGCTGGGGAAGGTTGGGAGGAAATGAGTAGTGACCGCTAAAAAGGTTTCTTTTTGAGGTGATGAAAATGTCCTAAAATTGACTGTGATAATGTTTGCACAATACTAGAAATCACTTACTTGTACACTTTAAATAATGGGTAAATCATATGGTGTGTGAATTATATGTCAATAAAGCTGTTTTTAAAAAGTTACAATTTCAAGCCTCCATTTGCAAAGGCAAATAAATATCAATAATGGAAGAGTGCCAAATAAAATGCAACAAAATATATTTTAACTTGTTTATACTTAGTATAAATTTAATGCAACTGAATGTTAATGTAAAAGTCTATGAGGATATTAAGAGCTCTGCCCAAAAACAAACAAAATCAATGCTTTCACTAGTTTTTACTATTCAGACTAACAGCCCCTTACAGAGAGAAATTAGCTAAGAAGTGTTTGTAAACCTAAAGCTATCAAAATGAACCGCCAGTCTTTTCAAAGTAAACAAAGAATAAAAGGCCAAAACATATTAAAATGGATGCTTACAAATGATGATGCATTCAAATTTTCTTCTTGTTTCATTTCTTCAGTAGTCACATCTGTGTTAGGGAGCTCATGTTCAACAACAGCTATGCATCCTACATCTGGGACATTCACGGTTATTTCAAGCTGTCAAAATAAAGTTTTATCATTTCATTTTGGCATATTAAAAACAGCAAAACAAAACCTCATCTTCCACATGAGTAAGTAAGATGAAATGCCAAAATAAAGAAATAATCCACATTCATATATAACTTAAAAAATGAAATGGAGTGGCCAGGCACAGTGGCTCACGCCTATAATCCCAGTACTTTGGGAGGCCGAGGCGGGCGGATCACAAGGTCAGGAGATTGAGACCATCCTGACTAACATGGTGAAATCCCGTCTCTATTAAAAATACAAAAAATTAGCCGGGTATGGTGGTGGGCACCTGTAGTCCCAGCTACTAGGGAGGCTGAGGCAGGAAAATGGCGTGAACCCAGGAGGCAGAGCTTGCAGTGAGCCAAGATCGCGCCGCTGCAGTAATTATTTTATTGACTGACAGCAACTTTGCAGAAGTAAAACATTTAAATTTTTTGAGAGGGCTGTGACTATTACAACCAGTAAGCAAACTTTCTAAGACTCATCTTCTTAGTGCCTGGCATTTCATTTTCCATTTTCTTCACTTTCTCTTTACTTTCCCCTAATTTCTCTGTTCAGTCTGTTAACATTTAGAGAGTGTTCAGTCTGTTAACATTTATAGAGGGCTAGGGGTAGAGCGATATAAAGTCAAATGAGACAAGTTTGATCCCTATCCTCAGTGAACTCAGAATCCAACAGAAAAGTAGACATGTAATCAACTAATTATATACTGTCATAAATGTAATCTATAATGAGTTGAAAGTCCTTAAAAATATTTATCCGACCGGGTGCAGTGGCTCACGCCTGTAATCCCAGCACTCTGGGAGGCCGAGGCGGGTGGATCACCTGAGGTCAGGAGTTCAAGACTAGCCTGGCCAACACAGTGAAGCCCCAACTCCAATAAAAATACAAAAATTAGCCAGGCATGGTGGTGCCTGCCTGTAGTCCTAGCTACTGGGGAGGCTGAGGCAGGAGAATCACTTGAACCTGGGAGGTGGAGGTTGCAGTGAACCGAGATTGCACCGCTGCACCCCAGCCTGGGCAACAGAGTAACACTTCATTCTCAAAAACAAATAAATATATAAATAAAATATTTATCATACCACTGCCCCCACCCCAACTCCCTTCTTCCAAAACCCCAAACCCTGCATGATTCTTGATACCCAGGGCAACAGCCATGTAAAATAAGAAGTTCACTCACATTTACTCTCCATTTCTGAGTCCTATTACTTAAAGAGCCCTGTAATCTGAGCACTAAAAAAGTATTTACCTACTAGAATATATACAATACAGTCTGGTTCTTATTATCTTTTTTGTTTGTTTTTCTTTTGTTATTCTGAGGCAGGGTCTCACTCATGTCACCCCAGCTGCAGTGGTGCGATGACAGCCACTACGCCCGGGCCAATTCTCTTATTAACAGAAAAAAAGAGTATAAAATATTGTATGGCTGAGTAGAAACTGTGAGTAAAGAGTCAAGTCTGAGAATCTGCCTTCAAGACATATCTTTTTTTTTTTGAGACTAGGTCTCACTCTATCGCCCAAGCTGGGATGCAGTGGCACTATCAGGGCTCACTACAGCCTTAACCTCTCACGCTCAAGCAATCCTCCCGCCTCAGCCCCCCAAGTAGCTGGGACTACAGGCATGTACTGCCATGCCTAGCTAATTTTTGTATTTTTTGTAAAGACGAGGTTTCACCATGTTGCCTAGGCTGGTCTTAAACCCCTGCACTCAAGTGATCTGCCCACCTTGGCTTCCCAAAGTGCTGGGACTGTGGCCATGAGCCCCTGTGCCCCGACTTATCTGTTATAATTACATTTGTATGTACCACCTCTGTTTCCTCAGATACAAAATTTAGAGAAAAATCTTTGACAATATCTGATAGCACTGGGATGAACTAAAAAATTCAAGTGAGCGCAGGGGCACATGCCTGTAGTTCTAAGTACTCGGAGGTTGAGGTGGGAGGGGCGCTTGAGCCCAGGAGTTTGAGGCCAGCCTGGACAATACCGCAAGATCTTGTCTCTAAAAAAATGAATTTAAAAACAATAGGCCGGGCACGGTAGCTCACGCCTGTAATCTCAGCATTTGGAAGGCCGAGACGGGCAGATTGCTTGAGCTCAGGAGTTTGAGACCAGCCTAGGCAACATGGTGAAACCCCGTCTCTATTGAAAATACAAAAAAAAATTAGCCGGGTGTGGTGGTATGCACCTGTAGTCCCAGCTACTCAGGTGGCGAGGTGGGAGGACTGCTTGTAGCAAGCTGAAATCATGGGAGGCTGAGGTTGCAGCAAGCTGAAATCATGCCACTGCACTTCAGCCTGGGCAACGAAGTGAGACCCCGGGCAACGGAGTGAGACCCTGTCTCAAAAAAAATAAAAATAAAGAAAAGAAAAGAAAAGAAAAGAAAAAAATAAATAAACACAACAAAAAATGTTAAAGTTCAGGTGATTTGAGAAGAAAAAATTCTTCTTAAAGAGTTGGGACTGGATGGGAAAAGGGAATATTCTATAAAGTAAAAGTTGGTTTTTTAAGCATCATACAGTTTCGTAATTTTAAAAAAGACTTGTAATTCACATAACATACAATTCACCCACTTAAGGTGTATAATTCAACGTATTTTGGGATATTCACAGATATGTGCAATCATTACCACATTCAAATGTGGAACATTTTCATCACTTCAAAAATAAACCTTATAACCACTAGCTATCTCTCCCTTAAACTACCTCTCTTCCCTATCTCCCAATCCCTAAGCCACTACTAATCTACTTTCTGTCTCTGTGGATTTCCTTATTTTGGACAGTTCATATGAATGGAATCACATAGTATGTGACATTTTGTAACTAGTTTCTTTCCCTTGGCAGAAGGTTCCCAAAATTCATCCATGTTGTGACACATATCAACACTTTATGTCCCTTTAGGGCAGAAAAATGTTCCATTGTGTTTCAATGCTTTCGTCTCCTCCTGTTGTCCAGGCTACAATGCAGTGGCATGATTGTAGCTCACTATAACCTCAAACTCCTGGGCTCCAGCAATCCTCCCCACTCAGACTTCTGAGTAGCTGGGATTATAAATATGCACCCACACACCTCGCTAATTTATTGATTCAATGCAGACACAGGGTCTTGTTATGTTGTATAGGCTGGTCTTGAACTCCTGGCCTCAACTGATCCTCCCATCTCAGCCTCCCAAATCACTGGGATTACAGACGTGAGCCGCCAACACCTGGCCTTTCAATGCTTTTTTGTTTGTTTGTTTGTTTGTTTTGAGACAGAGTTTCGCTCTTTCGCCCAGGCTGGAGTACAGTGGTCCTATCTTGGCTCACCACAACCTTTGCCTTCTGGTTTCAAGGGATTCTCCTGCCTCAGCCTCCCAAGTAGCTGGGATTACAGGAGCCCACCACCATGCCCAGCTAATTTTTGTATTTTTAGTAGAGATGGGGTTTCACCATGTTGGCCAGACTGGTCTCGAACTCCTGGCCTCGTGATCTGCCCGCCTCAACCTCCCAAAGTGCTGGGATTACAGGCGTAAGCCACCGTGCCCAGCCTCAATGCTTTTTAAAGAAAATTTTTTCTAACATATATATTTTTTCTAACATATATATTTCCTTGTTTAGTATGCTGGCCATAAGGAATAGAATTTAAGGAAAGCCTTGTTCAATTACTATGATTACTGCTATTTAAAAAGATAGCCTGTATTAATTCAGGGATACAGTCTGGAATCTAATTTTCAGAAATTAATTACTGATCATAGTTTCACTAGCAATTTGGCTTCACTTAAAGAAAGAAAAATGCAAAATAGATAGCTAAATGAACTCTCATGTAGCATTAACCAGACGTCTTTCCACAAAATTACCCTTCCTTCTGCATTTTCTTGTTTCACATAATGCTCACATTCACTATCTTTACTTTGAATTGTAAGAAACAACCTCATTTTGCATCATTTAAATTAGCTTCAACCATTTTATTAGTTCATTTACTCTAAAACATTTACCAGTTTATTATTAACACTGAATAAAAGTAGGTTTTGACTTCCCTTCATATATGACTTTACAGATTCAGATAATCTGTTAATTCTTAATGGAATTACATTAACATTTAAAGTTTACTTTAATTATCTTAAACATTACTTGAATTGTTTAATGTTTCTTATTGCTTCTTTTATTGTTGCCACTATCTTAGTTAACTCTGATTCATTTCAAATGACTCAGAAACTATCATGAATGCTTACCCAAAACTGACTCAGATAAGCTCCTCAGTAAGCCAAAGAAGTGACTGAAAATTGAGGCAGAACAGAAAACTCTGAAGTTACAAAGTTGGAATGGCAGACTAAGAGGCAAAAGTGTAAGGAAGCTAAATACGTTCAATATGTTCCTCTAGTTCACAACCCTTAGGATGGTTACTATCAAAAGTTACGACATGGCTACTACCGGTGAGGATGTAGCAAAACTGCAATGCTTGTACGCTGTTGATAGGGATGTAAAATGATATAACCCTGTGAAAAACAGTATAAAGGTTGCTTGAAAAGTTAAGTATAAAATTAACATACAATCCAGGCCGGGTGCAGTGGCTCACACCTGTAATCCCAGCACTTTGGGAGGCCCAAGTAGGTGGATCATTTGAGGTCAGGAGTTTGAGACCAGCCTGGCCAACACGGTGAAACCCCACCTCTACTAAAAATACAAAAAAAATTAGCTGGATGTGGTGGCAGGCGCCTGTAATCCCAGCTACTTGGGAGGCTGAGGCAGGAGAATTGCTTGAACCTGGGAGATGGAGGTTACAGTGAGCCAAGATCGCATCACTGTACTCTACTCCAGTCTAGGTGACAGAGACTCCATCTCAAAAAAAAAAAAAAAAAAAAAAGAATTTACATACAATCCAGCAATTCCACTTCTGGGTATATCCCCCAAAAAGTAAAAGCAGAGATTCAAAGAGGTATTTATACAACTATGTTCATACCAGCATTATTTCTAACAGCCAAAAGGTGGAAGCAACCCAAGTGTCCATTGATAATAAAGGAATAAACAAAATGTGATACATGCACACAACGGAATATTATTCAACCTTGAAAATGAAGAACACTCTGACATAAGCTACAACATATATGAACTATGAAAACACTATGCTAAATGAAATAAAATGGTCACACAAAAAAGTACTGTATGATTCCATTTATACGAGGAGTCAAATTACAGAGCCAAGATGTAAAAAAGTGGTTGCCAAAAGGTTAGGGGGAGGAATGGAGAGTTATTGTTTAATGGGTATAGAATTTCAGTTTTAACAAAATAAAAAGTTTGCCAGGGGTGCAAGGCAGACCTGGGAGTGACCAGGCCAGACAGGACAGGAATAGGGCTCGAGGGACAGGTGTTGAGTGTTTGTATCTTGTATCTTGGTTTTTTGCCAGGCTAGGGGACAACCACTCATTGCAGGATGTCTTAATCATCTTAAAAAAGAACACAGTAGCTCATGCCTGTGATCCCAGCACTTTGGAAGGCCGAGCTCAGGAGTTTGAGACCAGACTGGGCAATGTAGCAAAACTCCATCTCTAAATTAATTAATTTTAAAAAAGATTTCTGTGGATGGATGGTAGTGATGGTAGCATGACAACATGTACATGTGAAAGTTCTTAATGCCACTGAACCATACACTTAAAAATGAGTAAGATGGCTGGTCACGGTGGCTCACACCTGTAACCCCAGCAATTTGGGAGGCCAAGGCTGGTGGACTGCTTGAGTTGTTCAAGAGTTCAAGACCACCCTGGTCAACATGATAAAACCCTGTCTCTACCAAAAATACAAAAATTAGTCAGGCGTGGTGGGGCACACCTGTTAGTCCCAGCTACAGGAGGCTGAGGCAGGAGAACCACTTAAACCTAGGAGGTGGAGGTTGCAGTGAGCCGAGATCCCACCACTGCACTCCAGGCTAGGTGACAGAGTGAGATCCTGTCTCAAAAAAAAAAAAACAGAGAGAGAGAGAGAGTACATTTTAGGTTACATGTATTTTAGCACTTTTTAAATTTTTATTTTATTTTATTTTTTTTGAGATGGAGTCTCGCTCTGTCGCCCAGGCTGGAGTGCAGTGGCGTGATCTTGGCTCACTGCAATCTTCGCCTCCCAGGGTTCAAGTAATTCTCCTGTCTCAGCTTCCCCAGCAGCTGGGACTACAGGCACCTGTCACCATGCCTAGCTAATTTTTGTATTTTAGCAGAGACAGAGTTTCACCTTGGTCAGGCTGGTGTCAAACTCCTGACTTCAGGTGATCCATCCACCTTGGCCTCTCAAAGTGCTGGGATTACAGGCGTGAGCCACCACGCCTGGCCCAATTTTTTTTAAAAAAGAAAACAAGTAAATCCCTTCTTGCTTCTCTATCAACCAGAAAACACCTGCCAAAATGTTTGAAAGATTAATCAGAAAGTAGACTAAGCAGCTTCTAGGTACAAGTATAAGCAGATTTCTCTCATTGTTGTTATACTGACTCCCTTGCTGGGCCTGGGCCATAGGGTCTGAGCAATCACAAAAGGTTATACAGAGCCCCAAATTATATTTGGTAGAGATTATTTAGAGAAAGAACTCTTCAAATCCTAATAATCACTAAGAGAAGAAATAACGATCCCCTAAAAGAAACAAGAGGTAAAAACCAAGTAAGATAAAAGTACCAAGGATTAAAAAAAAAAAAAAAACCAAACCTCTTCCATTGTTTCCTCTATCTGAGCAGAAACAGGTTCAGGAGATCTGAGACCAACAGGTACAAATACTGGAGCTTTGTTTACTTCTTCAGGAGCAAGATGACAGCTTTCTTCTTCATAGTCAGACTCAAAATCATCAGCATCATCTTCTTCTTCCTGGGAAGCCCGAAGAGTCACCAGTATGGCCTTGGAAGCTCTAGGTTCCTTCTTGGAGGTCTTACCCCGAACTCGTTTTGATCCACGACCTCTGGTGACATTTGGTTTGATCTTTCTGTGACTTCTCCTTTCACCACGATTTCTCTCATACTCAGATGCAGAAGAGATAGTTGTTTTCCCATCCAGTGCAATTTTAGAGTAATTTGATTCTTTTAACGGTTGTGGACAGCTAGACGTTTAATCAAAACAACAAGGTCATATGCATGCAAGGATAATTTCAATGAAAACCAAACTTTTAGAGTGAAACTCCGGTTCCAGTCATTAAAATGAAAATGCCCACCACCCATTCTTTTAAAAGCTTATGCTGTGAAAATAAAAAAGGAATTAACTACTAGTTTCTCATTCAGAGTTAATTCTTAGTTATCTACCTACAAATTTTTCACAGTAAGTTTTTAATTCTGGGCCATTCTTTCCTGTAATAAGAAAGTGAAGATAAAATAAACACAAAACTGATAATTATTAGAAGAAAAAGGGATAAAAGACACAGAACCAGCTGGGAGCAGTAGCTCGCCCCCGTAATCCCAGCACTTTGGGAGGATGAGGCAGGCAGATCACTTGAGGTCAAGAGTTCAAGACAAGCCTGGCCAACATGGTGAAACCTGATCTCTACTAAAAATACAAAAATTAGCTGGGCGTGGTGATGCATGCCTGCAATCTCAGCTACTCGGGAGGCTGAGACAGGAGAATTACTTGTACCTGGGAGGTGGAGATTGCAGTGAGTCAAGATCACACAATCGTACTCCAGCTTGCACGAGAAGAATGAAATTGTCTCAAAAAAACAAAAAACCAAAAAAAACAAAACACACACACAGGACCAATAAATACAGAATATGAGATCAAAAGGTGGTACTAGTTTATCCTACTGGGTAAACAGGTTAAAAGAAAAAGGAGGCAGCAGAAATCCATTAGAGCAGCGCTGGTTTCTAGAACTTAAGTTTCTTTCCATTTTCTTTGATAACTATAGAAGTAGGGTATTCTTCATTTTGTTTGTGACTCCATTCAAATGAGCACTTTAATTACTTAGCTTAATTACTACTCTTTGGTCAGGTTTCTACCTATGTCTAACAGACTCAACACCCAAAAATTTCGTTCTACCAGTAAGTTAAGGTAAAAGTTAAGTGATTTTTATTTCCTATTGTGAAACATTTTGTTAAATAAAATGTTACCTTGTTAGTTTATTGAGATATTGCTCTTCAACAACTGAAGATAGAGAATTATCTCCTACAGTTTCCTCTCCAACCCTTCTTGATGGTCCAGCTTCTTCTAATTCAGCATCTATTTTTGCCAAAGCAGACTCGTTGGAACCTACACCATCTTTTCTCGCTGAAACCTCCATAGACGTCAGAAGCTCAGCTTTTTCCTTAGATTTAAGAAGAAATTAAACAGTTATTACTACAGAAAAAATCTCCATGTCAATTTGGTTTGTTAGTTTGGCCTAAATCTCCAAGTTTACACATATATTACAAGCAATTGGTTGCTCATCTTTTATAACACTAGAAAGTCACTTTTCATGAAAATGGTTACAGTAAGGAAGGAAGTCAAAACTATATTTTACTCATGCTTTTCATGATCTTGACAAAATAGACCTCATTGAGAATTTTTTTTTTTTTTTTTTTTTGCCCAAACTTACTTTTAGAAGGAGCTGGGTGTTGGAAGCTCCTTTCTGCAGCAAATGATCTTCTGGCTTGCCTTCCTTGCTCTGATCTGTTGTGCCTTTTTCTAAAATTGGTTCCTCTTTCTTACTGTGTGCTCTTCCCAAATTTGGCTTAGCCTTTTGGAATTTCCTTCTTGTCATTTGTGCTGAACTAGGAACATACAGTTTATTTTCATGTCTAGAATGAAGTATGAATCATTGAAGAACAAAAATCAGAATTTCTTGTTGATACAACAGCTGTTACATCAAACAATTTTGGATACAAATCAATTCTATGTTCAAAGGATTATATATAAATTGGCAACAAAATCAAGTATGTAAAATGAAACCACACATTGCTGATATGAAAGGAAAAACTTACAAAGCTTTTGTAGCTTCCATTTTCTATATAGCCTGAAGAAGTTTTACAATAATATTAATCTTTTTAAACTTTCATTTATTCATTCTATGATGTGATTTCATGCTACTTTAATTTTCAGAGAAATCACAAGATCAGAAAAAAAAAATGCAAGTAGCTGAAGATGGATTTCATGATGGCACTTTAAACAAATGCCTTCAATTGGACCCCCAAAGCATGGACAAATATATGACAGTTATAACCAGCTTGATCCTTCTAGTTCTAAAGTAGGCTTGAAGGGTAGAGTCTATTCTCCTACCACATGCCTGAAATCTCACTAAAAAGGGTTTACTGATAACCAATGTCATAAGCTTCTCAATATAATCCATTTGTATCTGCCAAATCCGAAAAAGACAATGTTTTAGCATTCAAGAGAGTAGCCACAGCTCCCAAGGTAACCTGAATAGCTATCTAATGTTTCCTGGAAAATATTTTACCCACTGGCAAGGATCTGAATTAGGAAGCTTAAAAACTAATATAGGCCAGGTGCAGTGGCTCACACCTGTAATCCCAGCACTTTGGGAGGCCAGCGTGGGCGGATCACCTGAGGTCGGGAGTTTAAGATCAGACTGGCCAGCATGAAGAAACCCCATTTCTACCAAAAAAACAAAATTAGCCGGGCATTGTGGTGCATGCCTGAAGTCCCAGCTACTCAGGAGGCTGAGGCAGGAGAATCACTTGAACCTGGGAGGTGGAGGGTGCAGTGAGGCGGAGGTTGCAGTGAGCTGAAGTTGCACCATTGCACTCCAGCCTGGGCAACAAGAGCGAAACTCCGTCTCAAAAAAAAAAAAAAAAACTAATATAAACCTGGATATTTATAAAGAATAACTGGATATATAAGTACCTATCATGAGTTCTCTGAAAGATCTGCATTAAAAACTAATTTTTTTTTTTTTTTTTTGAGACGGAGTTTCGCTCTTGTCGCCCAGGCTGAAGTGCAATGGTGCCATCTCAACTCACCCCAACCTCCGCCTCCAGGTTCAAGCGATTCTCCTACCTCAGCCTCCCGAGTAGCTGGGATTACAGGCATGCGCCACTATGACTGGTCAATTTTTCTATTTTTAGTAGAGATGGGGTTTCACCATGTTGGCCAGACTGGTCTCAAACTCCCAACCTCAGGTGATCCACCTGCCTCAGCCTCCCAAAGTGCTGGGATTACAGGCATGAGCCACCACACCTGGCCTAAAAACTAATCTTAAGCAATATTCCTAAATAAAAATTACTAGGAGTAGTTACCACATTTCCAAATGTACTAACCCTCCTACATTCTTCTGGCAGTAAACAACACGGAGGTTCACAGGAAATTCTAACAAGGTTACAATGCTGGCTAATGTAGACTAATTAGATGGGAAAACAAATCATATTTAAGTATAAGCTATTTACAATCAAATGTGATTCTGCAGAGGTATTTAAGAATAAAATATAAATAAGCCCAACGTGCTACTGAAGTCAAAAGGGACAACAAAACGCCAAATTGGCTGGGTGTGGTGGCTCAAACCTGTAATCCCAGCACTTTGGGAGGCCAAGGCAGGTGGGTCACTTGAGGTCAGGAGTTCAAGACCAGCCTGGCCAACATGGTAAAACACGATCTCTACTGAAAATACAAAAATTAGCTGGGTGTGGTGGCAGGCGCCTGTAATCCCAACTACTCAGGAGGCTGAGGCACGAGTATTGCTTGAACCTGGGAGATGGAGGTTGCAGCGAGCCGAGATCATGCCAGTGAACTTCAGCCTGGCGACAAGAGCATAACTCTGTCTCAAAAACACAAAACAAAACAAAAAAACAACCTACAAGATGCTGAACCTAAGAATAAACTAACTGTAAAACTATACAGACAAGAGGCCAAGCTCACTAGTTCATGCCTATAATACCAGCCCTTTGGTAAACTGAGGCAGATGGATTATTTGAGGTCAGGAGTTCAAGACCAGCCTAGCCACATGGTGAGACCCTTTCTCTACTAAAAATACAAAAATTAGCCAGGCATGGTTGCAGGTACCTACAATCCCAGCTACTCAAGAGGCTGAGGCAGGAGAATCACTTGAACCCAGAAGACGGAGGTTGTAGTGGGCCAAGATCACGCAATGCACTCCAGCCTGGGCAACAGAGCAAGACTCCATCTCAAACAAACAAACAAAAACTATACAGAGATAGTTACTTTCAATTACTGTACGGCTAACAGCTGAAATATACTTCACGAACTAGAAAAGGTTAAAAAACAGTGGGGTACAATGGGCGTGACAGGTTTCCATACAGAAAGTTTTTTTTTTGTTTTTGTTTTTGTTTTTTGAGATGGAGTCTCGCTCTGTCGCCCAGGCTGGAGTGCAGTGGCGCAATCTCAGCTTACTGCAAGCCCCGCATCCCAGGTTCATGCCATTCTCCTACCTCAGCCTCCCGAGCAGCTGGGACTACAGGCACCCGCCACCACATCCGGCTAATTTTTTGTATTTTTAGTAGAGACAGGGTTTCACTGTGTTAGCCAGGATGGTCTTGATCTCCTGACCTCGTGATCCACCCACCTCGGTCTCCCAAAGTGCTGGGATTACAGACATGAGCCACCACGCCTGGCCCCATACAGGAAGTTTTAAAGTCAGATCTCTCTCATCAAGAAATACAAAGGCTAAGCACAAAATAATCTGAAACACAGAAAGTTTGTTTCAAGAAACACTGCCTATGTAACTGCAGAATCTGCTAGTCTGAAAGTTATAAATCTTGAAAACTAAACTGCTTGGCCAGGCACAGCAACTCATGCCTGTAATCCCAGCATTCTGGGAGGCCAAAGCAGGACGATCACTTGAGCCCAGGAGTTCAAGACCAGCCTGGGTGACATGGTGAAACCCTGTCTCCACAAGAAATAAAAAAATAGCCAGGTGTGGCGGTACACACCTACAGTCCCAGCTACTTGGGAGGTTGAGGCAAGAGAATCACTTGAGTCTGGGAGATTGAGGCTACAGTGAGCCATGACTATGCTACTGCACTCCAGCCTGGGCGACAGTATAAGACTCTGTCTCAAAAAAAAAAAAAAAAAGCTAAACTGCCAATATTACTTTGTGTAAGTCACTTAAGCACTCTAGATCTATTTAGTCAATTATAAATGAAAGCATTAGGGAAGGCTGCCCTCAAGGTCACTAGTGTTTTAAAGGCTCACTTGGAGTAAAAATCAAAATCCTTGCAATTGCCCTATATAATCTATCCATCTCTATCCTCAGCCTTTACCTCTCATACATCTACTATTCTTCCTCTTTTGCACTCTGTCCTACGTTGGCCTCTTTGCTGTTCCTCAAGCATGCCAGCATACTCTCCTCTTGCCTTAGTGCTTTGAATTGTTTCCTCTTCCCCAGGACATCCCCTAGACTCAACCTACTCCTTTACTTCTTTCTTTTGTTCTTAAAGGTGCACAGCACCCCACTTGGCTAATTTTTGTATTTTTTTTGTAGAGACAAAGTTTTGCCATGTTGGCCAGGCTGGTCTCGAACTCCTGAGCTCAACTGATCTGCCCATCTCGGCCTCCCTAAATGCTAGGATTACAGGCATGAGCCACCACAGCTGGCCCTTCACTTCTTTTCAATGCATCCTTTCTATTTTTAGAGTGACTTTTGCTCTTGTCACCCAGGCTGCAGTGCAATGGCACGATCTCGGCTCACTGCAACCTCCGCCTCCTGGGTTCAAGCGATTCTCCTGCCTCAGCCTCCCAAGTAGCTGGGATTACAGACAGGCATACACCACCACGCCTGGCTAATTTTGTATTTTTAGTAGAGATGGGGTTTCTCTATGTTGGTCAGGCTGGTCTCAAACTCCCAACCTCAGGTGATCCACCCGCCTCAGCCTCCCAAAGTGCTGGGATTACAGACGTAAGTCACCGCACCCGGCCTTCAATGCACCCTTTTCAGTGATGCTTTCTCTGGTCACTGCTGATTAAAAATTGAATCCCCAATCACAATACCCCCTACTCAAAACTTTATTTTTCTCTACTTATTTATCACTTATTTATTCAACTTATTTCTCTTGTTTATAATCTGTTTCTCAATTAGAATATGAACTCCACAGTAACAGCATTTTTTTTCTTTGTTCATTCGTATATGATCAGCACTTAGAACAACACCTAGCACACAGCAGACACTAAAACATTTGTGGAATAAATGAGTATGTAAGGTTATTTTCAGTGGTAAAATTCTAATTTTTTTTTTTTTTTTTTTTTGAGATGGAGTGTCACTCTGTCGCCCAGGCTGGAGTGCAGGGGCACGATCTCGGCTCACTGCAAGCTCCTCCTCCCGGGTTCACACCACTCTCCTGCCTCAGCCTCCGGAGTAGCTCAGACCACCGGCACACGCCGTCACTCCCGGCTAATTTTCTGTATTTTTAGTAGAGACGGGGTTTCACCGTGTTAGCCAGTATGGTCTCGATCTCCTGACCCTGTGATCTGCCCGCCTCAGCTTCCCAAAGTGTTGGGATTACAGGCGTAAGCCACTGCACCCGGCCAAAATTCTATAATTCTTTAAGATCAAAAAGGGATTATACATAGAAAATAATCCCATAGTAATTAGGAGAAGTGAATGATGTAAACAAATTCATTTGTAATGTTTCCTAGACATTATCAGAGTTAAATTGCTCTGGGATCAATCATAAACCTAATCCAATATAGCATTTGTAATATAAGTGTAATGAATTTTAGTAAAAAAAATTTGCGGTGGCTCAAGCCTGTAATCCCAGCACTTTGGGAGGCCGAGACGGGAGGATCACGAGGTCAGGAGATCGAGACCATCCTGGCGAACTCGGTGAAACCCCGTCTCTACTAAAAAATACAAAAAAAAAAAAAAAAACTAGCCGGGCGAGGTGGCGGGCGCCTGTAGTCCCAGCTACTCGGGAGGCTGAGGCAGGAGAATGGCGTGAACCCGGGAGGCGGAGCTTGCAGTGAGCTGAGATCCGGCCACTGTACCCCAGCCCGGGCGACAGAGCGAGACTCCGTCTCAAAAAAAAAAAAAAAAAAAAAAAATCTCAGCCGGGGCGGGGGTGAAGCAGGGCGCCTGTGGTCAGGAGGCAGCTGCCTCGAGAGGCTGGCGAGGCAGCTGCGTGAACCGGGGCAGTGAGGCCTGCCCCAGCCCGGGCGTGGGCGGAGACTCCGTCCACCTCCAAAAATTTCAATAAATATCCAGTTTTAAAAACTGAAAAGATGGTTTAGTAAGGGAACCTAAAATTAATGTGGAAATAAAAATTGGCAAAAAAAAAAAAAAAAAAAAAAAAAAAAAAAAAATTTCAATAAAATATCCAGTTTTAAAAACTGAAAAAATGGTTTAGTAAGGGAACCTAAAATTAATGTGAAATAAAAATTGGCCTTAATTTTAAAAGCAATATGGAAAGACTTTTCAATGCACAGCACAGGAAACAATCAAAAAAGTGAAGAGACAACCTACAGAATGGGAGAAAAAAATTCCCAACTACCCATCTCACAAAAGTTAATAACCAGAATATATAAGGAACGAAAACAACTCAATAGCAAAAAACAAATAATCTGATCAAAGAATACGCAAAAGATCTAAACAGACAGTTCTCAAAGACATACAAATGGCCAACAGGTGTCTGACAAAATGTTCAACATCATTAATCATCAGGGAAACACAAATCAAAACGGCACTGAGATATCATCTCACTGCAGTTAAAATGGCTACTATTAAAAAGACAAAAAATTACAAATACTGGTCAGGATGTGGAGAAAGGGGAAAACTCATATGCTGTTCATGGGAATATAAAGTAGGAATGCCATTATGGAAAAAAGTATGAAAGTTCCTCAAAAAACTAAAAATAGAACTACCATTTGATTGAGCCATCCTACTGCCAGGTATATGTCCAAAAGAAAGGAAATCAGTATATCAAAGAGATATGTGAACTCTCATGTTTACTGCAGTGGTATTCACAATAGCCAACACATAATATCAACCTAAGTGTCCAGCAACAAATGAATAAAAAAAGTGAGAAAGTGTGGTATGTATATATACAATGGAATATTATTTAACCATAAAAAAGAATGAAATCCTGTCATTCACAGCAACATAGATGGAACTAGGGGTCATTATGTTAGGTGAAATAAGCTAGGCACAGAAAGACAAATATTGCATGTTCTCACTCATATGTAGCAGCTTAAAAAGTGGATCTCATGGAGGTAAGGATTAGAATGGTGCTCACCAGAGACTAGGAAGGAAAGAGGGAAGGGAGTAATGAGAAGCTGATTAGTGTGTACAAAAACACAGTTAGATAGAAGGAATAAGTTCTGGTATTCAACAGTACAGTAGGAAAATTATAGTTAACAATCACTTATTGTATTATTTCAAAATAGCTAGAAAATTATGTTGCCAATATAAAGATAAATGTATGCGGTGATGGATATCCCAGTTACTCCGATTGATAATTATATACTGTGTATAATGTATCAAAATATTACATGTAGTCCAAAAATACGTATAACTATTATACATTCAAAAAAAAAAAAAAAAGTAAGGCTTTTTAAGGCAAAAAGCAGGGGGAGGGGGTGGGGGCTGTAATATTGGAAAGAAAAGTAATCCAGACTGGGCACAGTGTCTCATGCCTGTAATCCCAGCACTTTGGGAGGCTGAGGTGGATGGATCACCTGAGGTCAGGAGTTCCAGACCAGGCTGGCCAATATGGTGAATCCCTGTCTCTACTAAAAATACAAAAATTAGTAGGGTGTGGTGGTAGGTGCCTGTAATCCCAACTACTCGGGAGGCTGAAGCACAAGAATTGCTTGAATCTAGGAGGCCAAGGTTGCAATGAGCCACAATCCAGCCACTGCCCTCTGAGACTCTGTCTCCAAAAAAAAAAGTAATCCATACTAAAATAAAAACTTCACATTAGAAACTTGTCTAAATGAAAGCAAACTGCTTCAAGCATCTAAAATTAAGAGGTCGGGCATGGTGCTCACTGTGTAATCCCAAGATTTTGGGAGGCCGAGACAGGCGGATCACTTGAGCTCAGGAGTTCAGGACCAGCCTGGGCAACATGCTGAAACCCCATCTCTCCAAAAAGATACAAAAATAATAGCCAGGCATGATGGTGTGCACCTGTGGTCCCAGCTACTCGTGGCTGAGGTGGGAGGATCACTTGAGCCCAGGAAGTTGAGGCTGCAGTGAGCTGTGACTGCACCACTGTACTCCATCCTGGGCGACACAGTGAGATACCTTGTCTCAAAAAGTAAATATAATAAAAGAAAATATAAATCAATAGCACCTGTTTCGACAGATGACCTAACATGCCCCAATTCTAGCTTTACCCAACTAGAGAGGGTAAAAAAAGGATACAATAACATCTCCTCTGCATTTCCCAGAAAGCCAAAGTCACTCTACCTAATTAAAGGAAGCTGAAATATTTAAATTATATTCTTAAGTGCTGAAAACATCCTGGAGGAAAATTAATAAATACTTCACTAAAACATGTTCTAGTTACAAAGACGGTAAATTAGATGGACCAAGAACTATACACAGAAAGGAAAGGCGTTTTTACTAAAGAACACATCTTGCTTTAATATCAATAATAATAAGGCAGATAGCAAGTAATAAATAAAAGTGGTAATGTTAAAACTTCTTCATCCTACTAGCTCATCTCATGTAAAAGATATCATTCTTACCATTTGGCTTTGATACAGTTACCTCTAAATATAGTATACAGTAAGTACTTTATAGCACTACCTATTAATGAACTTTAGTCACTAGGTTATAAACATCTTTTATTTTGTATTTGTTATTTTTATAGAGACGAGGTCTCACTATGTTGCCCAGGCTGGTCTTGAACTCCTGGACTCAAGCGATTCTCTCGTCTTGGTTTCCCAAAGTGCTAGGATTACAGGCGTGAACCACTGCGCCTGGCCTGAATTTCTAAAAAAGATACAAAGAACTTAAGAATCTTTGACTACTATTAAAAGTTTAGTTTCAGTACCAAGAAGTAGGATGCTTGTCAAACTTTTCAGAGAAATTACATATACTTAAGAGAATATCATATACTTAAGAGAATATCAGCCATGCAATTCATACAGTATTCGAGAAGCAGATTTAAAAGACTCTAGTATCAAAAGTATTTATTACTTCATCCTTTTAACATTTTCAGGATGTGAAGTTATTAATATACAAAGTCAACTATGCAAAAATATAACTTTTATCTTTGAAAAGTCTTATGTTTTTCTCATTAAAAGCAAACTCACCTGATTGTTTCATCTGTTTTGTTAATACGAAGGTTTTCTACAAGAATCACCTGACTTTGATTTTCACACATTCTGTGTTCTGAAACTGTGGAGGAGGGAACTTCAATTTCAGTTTCAATTTGAGGATTTGACTGAAAAGACAAAATCATATTAGTATGTTATTTTTATAGCAGAATATACCTCTTAAAATATTTCCATCATTAAGAAAGATATTTGGTTTTCTAAAATCCCTTTTCTTTTTTAAATTTTTATTTATTTATTTCAAGATAGTCTCATCATACTGCCCAGGTTGGTCTCAAACTCCTAGGCTCAAGTGATCCTCCTTCCTCGGCCTCCTGAGTAACTGGGATTACAGGCACATACCACCATCAGTGGTTAATTCTTTAAAATTAGATTCAAACTGGATATGTAATGTTCATATTCTGTTGCCAAAACAAGGATGCCTAGTTCAAAGAAAATTTTCAAAGATTACTGCAATGATATGTTTACATAATACTTTGAAACCTGTAATAGTCACCTGCTATGAAATTAAAAATAAAGTTTAATTTTTTTTAAAAAAAAGAGCTTTTTGGTTCAAATAAAGATTATTTTAAATCCAGACTTTGCACTGCTAAACAGAAAAATAAGAACTACCTAAAATGAACATTTTTAGGCATTATATTACTTAGACTTTTTTCCTAATACCAAAAGTCCCATCAGTAAGAGATTAAACTGTCATTCAAAACAGCATGTTATACAGCAAAAATGATGTAACTAACATATTTATTGATCCAGAAAGCCACTTAACATAGTATTAAGTGAGTAACATAAAGTTATAATATGTAATGACTTTATTGCTTAAATCTGCATAAGTGTGTACATATGTGTGCATGGAAATAGATGCAGTAAGATATGTCAAAAGGTTTTCAGTGGTTATCTCAGAGTAATATCTGTGGTATTTATTATATTATTTTGTCTTTTACGATGAATAGCTTCATTAATTCGAAAAGAAATACATCTTTTTCACTTAAAAAAAAAAAAATCCAGAAGAGCAAATCTGAAACAAAACTGGAAACTGTATTCATTGAGTAGAATAAGTGTCAGATACCTGTATTTCTAAGCCATGTCTGAGCTGTAACTTATTTTAAATGCATTAAAAGGCTCAATTTAATTACATAACAATAACTCACCGCAGTTAAGATTTTCTTCTCGGTTTCATCTTTTTGTAATATTGTTCTTTCTTCCTTAATTATGCCTTTGGCGTCACCTTTGTCTACTATTTGCCTCTGTCCTGTCTTTCTTACATTTGGTCTTGGTCTCTGAAGTCGGCCCCTTACTGGTTGAGCAGTTTGGATAACACTTTCCTTCATTTCTTGCTGGAAAGTGTTTATATTATTAGTCCTAAACAAGGGCACAGGGAGAAAGTCAGGGCACTTGACTGTAAAAAGTTGAAAACTAATGTAAAAATGTAAAATTTGGATCTCCTCTAATAAATGCTCTAAAAAATACTTTGTACCATCAAAGGGAAATTGCTTTCTGATTATAAACATCTTACTTTACAAAAGAAAACAGTTATTTCAATTCTCAAAAGGTATTAAACTTATATAATATGCCTAGAGTAGCTAAATATACAGACAGAATGGTGGTTGCCAGGAGCTGGAAGAAGAGGAGAATAAGTTAATATTTAATGGGTAGAGAGTTTCATTTTACGAAGATGAAAAATAAAGTCTAGAGATCAATGGTGGTGGCAACGGGACAATAATGTGAATACACTTAAACCCACTGCACATTAAAAAATAGTTAAAAAGGTAAATTTTATGTTATGAGTATTTCACTAATTTTTAAAAGGTAATGAATATATATAGCTCATATACATACAGGCTGAGAAGCCCTCATCCAAAATGCTTAGGACCAGAAATGTTTCAGATTTCAGATTTTTTTAGATTTGGAAATATTTGCATTATACTTATCAGTTGAGCATCCCTACTTTGAAAATCCAAAATGCTCCACTGAGCATTTCTTTTGAGCATCACATCAGCTCTCTTTTTTTTTTTTTTTTTTTTTGAGACGGAGTCTTGCTCTGTCGCCCAGGCTGGAGTGCAGTGGCCGGATCTCAGCTCACTGCAAGCTCCGCCTCCCGGGTTTACGCCATTCTCCTGCCTCAGCCTCCCGAGTAGCTGGGACTACAGGCGCCCGCCATCTCGCCCGGCTAGTTTTTTTTGTATTTTTTAGTAGAGACGGGGTTTCACCGTGTTAGCCAGGATGGTCTCGATCTCCTGACCTCGTGATCCGCCCGTCTCGGCCTCCCAAAGTGCTGGGATTACAGGCTTGAGCCACCGCGCCCGGCACATCAGCTCTCAAAAAGTTTTAGATCATGGAGCATTTCAGAATTTTTTATTAGGGATGCTCAGCCTGTAGTTTTTAAATGCATTGCTTGATATAGGCTCTTACACAGCTGACAATGCAGATAAGCAGGCAACCATTAGGTGGTGTAGAATTCAGTCTGATATTATATTTTAGGCAGTCTGCTATATCAATAAAATTAAAACAATATTCTTTATGTTCACTTTTTAAATGAATTAACATATCTCAATAAAAATGAGAAATATTTAAAAGAAGTATCTCTCTTATTTTATATTTTCAAAGAAAATCACTGTTTACCCCACAGAAACAACTAAGTCATTTTCCTGGGCTTGTGCTGACTGAGACTCCTCTTTAGGTTCACAAGAATCTGAAGGTGAAAGGTTCTTTTCAGTCTGTGTACATGGCAATATCACAGCCTCCTCATTCCTGTGAACTGATGTGTCTTTTTCTCTTGATATCATTAGGGAAGCTTCATCCTAAAAGGTAGAAAACAAAATTTCATTCAGGGTTGCTAAAAGTATAAGGAAATAAGAACTTTCTTATTCCATTAGTACAAGTATAAACCGGTATCATCTTTGTAAAGATAAGTTAGTCTATACCAAAATTCTAAATTCCCAGCAATTCCACTTCTAGAAATGTATCTTACAAATACTCAACAAGTACAAATATATACACAAAAATATTTATTGTAATAATTTAAGCACCACCTCCCTCACCGGAAAAGACAAACAAAAAATCAGAAATAAGACAGATCTATCATTAGGGGACTGAATAAATAAATTTTAATTTCTTTACAATGCAATAGTACCTGATCATTTAAAAGAAGATATATCTCTTTGTACTGATCTAAGAAGAAGCTCACAATAGTGTAGGTGGAAAAATCAGAAGGCAAAAATTAATGTCATTTTGGAAAACAATAAAAATACCTTCCCATTTTATTATTTTAAAACTGTAAGACCAAAAAGTATAAGTGGATATATTCAAAATTGCTGTATGATTAACTTGGGGGAAAGGGATGTGACATTATAAGACTTTCACTTTTTAGAATACATATATTTTTCCAAATTGAAATTTCTACAATCAGAAAAGCGTAGGAGAAAAAGTACAAATGTTGATGCACAGTAAAGTACTGAGCTGTTTTAAGATGTCAAATAAGAGTTTTAATTCTAAAAAGGACTTTATATGTGGAAAACATTCAGTTTATAATTATTCATTTCATTTCAACGTTTTTGATGGTATATCACGCAATTTTAATCTGTTATGGACCAAGTTAATAAAGTAAATAAAATATCACCTTTAACTCAAATCAATCTTTTAACTCTTCATTTCAACTACACAACAGACTGAAATAAAAAACTATTATTCTCGCCAGGCACCGTGGCTCAGCGTAATCCCAGCACTTTGGGAGGCCAAAGCAGGTGAATCACGAGGTCAGGAGTTCGAGATCAGCCATGAACCTCGTCTCTACTAAAAATACAAAAAAAAAAATTAGCCGGGCATGGCGGCGCGTGTCTGTAGTCCTAGCATTCAGGAGGCTGAGGCAGGAGAATTGCTTGAACCCGGGAGGTGGAGGTTGCAGTGAGCCAAGACTGCACCACTACACTCCAGCTTGGGAACAGAGTGAGACTTCAACTCAAAAAAAAAAAAAATTTTTTTTTAAAAAACCTATTATTGTCATTTTTTCTATGAAGAAACACTGTTTCGTCAATGGTCATATAGCCAGACCTGGAACCAGAGCCCAGACCTCCTAAACGCTTTCCCACAACACGCTTGCCCATTATCAGGTATCTGAGATTCTTACACAAATTATGTGGAACAATGAGGCAAATTAAGCACGGGAGCAACATTACATGCAGCAAAAATTACACAGAAATATTTGTAAAATTTTAATGCCAGGTGCTTTTATTAGCCCTAATAATTTAAAAAACAAAAACAAAAACAAAAACAAACCCCACACACAGAACTTCCATCTTAAATACCACTCACATGTTGAGAAGGGAGAGTATCAGCTTGTTCATTATTTTCTTGCATCACAATAGTCTCCATTTTCTTGGTTTCTGATTTCTTCCCACATATATATTTTTCTGATTCTGTAGTCTCTCTCTTCAAAGCTGCTCTTGCTAAGTTTGGTTTTGGTCTTTTGAATCGACTCCTCACAAAAGGTGCTGGTTTAATTTCAAGTGACTTCTGTTCTTGAGGAAGAGATCTGCTTTTGGAACAAGGATTATCAAGCTTTAGAATGAACTGAAGGGGCAGGGGAAACAGAGTCTCAGTACAACCTTAGAGACTGGCAGTAAACATTTAATTATTTTTTTTTTTTGAGACAAAGTCTTGTTCTGTCCCCCAGGCTGGAGTGCAATGACACAGTCATACCTCACTGCAGCCTTGACCTCTGCAGGCTCAGGTGATCCTCACATCTGAGTCTCCCAAGTAGCTGGGACTACAGGCATGTGCCACTACACCCAGCTAGTTTTTGTATTTTTTGTAGAGAGAGGGTTGCTACAGCCTGTTGCCCAGGCTGGTCTCAAACTCCTGGGCTTAAAGGATTCACCCAACTCAGCCTCCCAAATTGCTACGATTAGAGGTGTGAGCCACCATACTTGGCCTAATTCAAATTCTTAACAGGAAAACAAATCGAACTACCTGGCAGATCCTGAAAACCATGAATGGTACAATCCAGGTATGAGCCTAGGAATTATATCATCTCTGCACAAAGAAAACATAAGTCTATCAAACCTGTATTGATTTAAGACTGTTACAATTTTGTATGTCAGTAACTTTCACAACTGACTTGTCAGAGTGACCTCAATCCTCTCTCCCAGTCTTCCCAAAACTATCTTAAAATCTCTAACACTATCCTGTATATGTTATACCTTGAAACCTCACTTAGTTTAACATAATCTGCAACTATAACTTAGTATCTTTTTCTTTAAAAACACACTTGTACCTTAAATTAATATCTGAAAACGGCTCTGGAACATCTGGAGATCGAATCCCCAGGACTTCTGTTTTATCAGACTCATGAGTCTGTGAAGAAATCTTGAAATGACTGAAGTGACTTGATACTTCTTTTACAGAATCTCTTTTTTCTTCTACAGGTGTGTGCATCAACAACAGTACTTCACTGCTAATGTTCTAGAGAAACAGTCATAGTAAATCAGCACAAGTAAAAGATTATTTAAACATCTTATATACTTAAGACAAAAGTCTACTAAATTCTGAACACTTTCCTTTAACAATTTAGAAGTTTTTAATTTTTAAATAAAATTTAATTCCCAAATGGTAAAACTAGGAATTCAGGAAACCCTTTTAACATTGCACATTATTACTTTTCCAAACCACAAATGTCATTACCTATTTTTAAAAGTTAGGAAAAAAAAAAAAAAAGTCCTTGAAAATGTTAGAAGATCGTGAACTTCAAAGTAACTTGCAAAACCAAAAAGAACTTTTAGAAGTGAAGTCAGGTGGGGCAAGAAATAAAAGCAGATGCAGATGTGGCCAAAATAAATAATGTGTGTTCACGCTAGGGTTAGTACCAAGTCAGCCTAATTTCCTATTATTTTACCTAAAAGAGTTACTTCAAATGACATTAAGAACAGTAACATTTTTGGGATCTCAAACCTAAGCCAAAAGAAAAATTTGATCCTTGCCCATCTGACTTAGAGAAAAAAAACAATAATAATAGTGACTTTTTCACAGTTAAAAATAGTTGTTTTTTTTTTCTCATTTCTTTTTGAGACAGGGTCTCACTCTGTCACCCAGGGTGGAGTACAATGGCACAATCACAGCTCACTGCAGCCTCAACCTCCAGGGCTCAAGCAATCCTCTCACCTCAGCCTCCCAAGTAGCTGGGACTACAGGCTTGCACCTCATTATATTATATTTTATTTTATTTATTATTATTATTTTCTTAGAGACAAGGTCTCCCTATGTTGCCCAGGCTGGTCTCAAACTCCTGGGCTCAAGTAATCCTCCCATTTTGGCCTCCCAAAGTGTTGGGTTTAGAGGTGTGCCCAGCCTAAGTTATCTTTTTAAAAAAGAACATACAGTTTCTTCAAGGCACTGAAACACAGAAACTTAGGGCTACAAAAGACTTCAGACTTTTGGAGATTTTTAAGTGCTGTTGGACTTAAGGACAAAATAATCATGGAATTATTTTGGTAACTTTCCTCTGAAAAAAAGCATTCAAAAAAACTTTTAAAGGACAGAAAAATACATACTTTAATATCTAGTGAAGGCACAGCACTGCAGTCATTGCTACCGCTCTGCATTAAATGTGTCTCAGTTTGTCCTGAGGTACTGGTCTCCTCTAGTTCATTTTCCCTTGGAGAAATGTCTGTTTTTCCAGTTTTTTTCAATTCCACCACCTTTTCCTCAGTAACACAGATCTCTTCAGATCCTCTCTCTCTAAAATTTTCTCTTCCAGTTTCTTTCATATCTGTCTCCATTTCTTCAATGACAGCCATCTTTCCTGATACTTTCTCCATCATGGAAATGTCTCTTTTTCCAGTTTCTTTCAAATCCATTTCCTTTTCCCTTACAGCACTGATCTCCGCTAGCACCTTTTCCCTTTGGGAAATTTCTTCTCTAATTTCTTTCAAATCTGTCTCCATTTTACCTACAGGCCTGACCTCCTCTGGGCCACTTTCCTGTGGGGCTATTTCTCTTTCAGTTTCTTCCACATCTATCTCTATTTCCTCAGCAGCATCAATCACCTCTGGTGTCTTCTCCCTTGGGAAACTCTCTCTTCCAGTTGCTTTCAAATCTGTCTCCATTTCATCTACAGGCTTGACCTCCTCTGGGCCATTTTCCTCTGGGGATATTTCTCTTCTTCCGGTTTCTTCCAAACCTTTGTCTGTTTCCTCAGTGGCATCAATCACCTCTGGTGTCTTCTCCCTTGGGGAAATCTCCCTTCCAGTTGCTTTCAAATCTGTCTCCATTTCACCTACAGGCTTGACCTCTTCTAGGCCATTTTCCTGTGGGGATATTTCTCTTTCAGTTTCTTCCAAATCTTCTATCTCTATTTCCTCAGTGGTATCAGTACCTCTGAGTATCTTCTCCTTGGGGAACTCTCTTCAACTGCTTTCAAATCCGTCTCATTTCCCCACTAGAGGCTTGGCCCTCTGTCTGAGCCATTTTCCTGTGGGGATGTTTCGGCCATTTTCCTGTGGGGATATTTCTCTTTCAGTTTCTTCCAAATCTATCTCTATTTCCTCAGTAGCATCAATCACCTCTGGTGTCTTCTCTCTTGGGGAACTCTCTCTTCCAGTTGCTTTCAAATCTGTCTCCATTTCATCTACAGGCTTGACCTCCTCTGGGCCATTTTCCTTTGGGGATATTTTTCTTCTTCCAGTGTCTTCCAAATCTTTGTCTATTTCCTGAGTGGCATCAATCACCTCTGGTGTCTTCTCTCTTGGGGAACTGTCATTTCCAGTTGCTTTTAAATTTGTCTCCATTTCACCTACAGGCTTGACCTCCTCTGGGCCATTTTCATGTGGGGGTATTTCTCTTCTTCCAGTTTCTTCCAAATCTTTGTCTATTTCCTTAGTGGCATCAATCACCTCTGGTGTCTTCTCCCTTAAACAAATCTCTCTTCCCCTTGCTTTCAAACCTGTCTCCACTTCCCTGGTGACATCAATCACATCTAGAATCTTCTCCCTGGGAGAAATGGCTCTTCTTCCAGTTTCTTTTAAATCTGACTGCATTTCTTTAGTAGTATTAATCTCTGCTGGTACCATCTCCTTTGGTGAGGTGTCTAGTCTTACAGTTTCTCTCAATGCTGCTGTCATTTCCCCAGAGGCAAGAATCTTCTCTAGTACTACTTCTTTTGAGGAAATTTCTCTCCTTCCGGTTCCTCTTCTGATATTTGGCTTTGGTTTCTGAAATCGAGTCCTTAGAATTGGGACTTGATTAAGTTTATTTGCTTTATTATTCTCTTGAATGCTATAAAAAAAAAAAAAGGAGGGGCACACAATCAAGTTTTAAACCAGACTGCCTGCTAAAGAGATGATGTTTGAGAAATCACTACAGAAACACCAGAAACTCTCAAATCCAAAAAAATTAAGGAAGCCCTAGGAATCTCTGGGTAAAATTTACAAATTAAAAGAAAAAAATCCCACCTTTTGAAATCAAAGCAAAAAGTTTAAATATATATACCTAGTAAAGTCAATCAGTATAGAAGCTATTTGATCCTAATAATCTCTTTCCAATTGTCATTCACACTACCATTTGCAAATACTGACTGGGAAAGACTCTCCAGTTCCCTGCATTGGAGCCAGATTAATGTATGTCTGCTATTTCTACCTCTTCATCCCTTCTATCTTTTACACAGACAAACGCTTTGCCAAAATAGACCTGACCACCTCAAATACCTGGATACAAATATGACTTGACTAAGATTAAATCTTAGGACTACAAATGAGGTCTGCCCTCCTCACCTTTTAAAATCAACTTTATATGAGATTTCCTATACACGTTTCCCTAAGAGCTTATTTCATAATATAAGTAAAGAATAAAAGGAAAGACTAAATACACAATAATGTTTTGCTGAATGCTACTTGGCAGACAATCACTATCCAAAACAAGCACCTTGCTCTCCAGAAAAGCAGCAGCACTTTTTGTTTTGCTTTCTGTTTATTATAATAGATGGTGAAATCAATAAACATATAAATAAATGAAAGAGCTTTTATATGACTGGTAAAGAAAAGCTATTAATATTAGGCAAAAGCTAGATCAAATGAAACACTAGATTAGATTTATTCAGCCATGTCAGACTGAACAGGTATGTAACTATACATTCAACAGCTTAAAAAAACACGAGTGAGGCATGTTGCCTCATGCCTGTACTCCCAGCACTTCAGGAAGCTGAAGCAGATGGCTTGACCCCAGGAGTTTTTGGTAGAAATCCCATCTCTACCAAAACAAAACAAAACCCAACATTAGTCAGGTGAGGTAGCGTGCACCTGTAGTCCCAGCTATTCAGGAGGCTGAGGTGGGAGGCTCACCTGAGCCCAGGAAAGATGACAGTGCAGTAATCCATGATCATGCCACTGCACTCCAGACTGAGCAACAGAGGAAGATCCCGTCTCAAAACAAACAAACAAAAAACAAAAACAAATAAGCAAAAGATTTACTTAAAAGTATTCTAGGCTGGGCATGGTGGCTCAGCCTGTAATCCCAGCATTTTGGAAGGTTGAGACAGGTGGATCACTTGAGGTCAAGAGTTCGAGACCAGCCTGGCCAACATGGTGAAACACTGTCTCTACTGAAAATACAAAAATTAGCAGGGCATGGTGGCGCACGCCTGTAATCTCAGCTACACAGGAGGCTGAGGCAGGAAAATAGCTGGAACCCACGAAGCGGAGGTTGCAGTGAGCCAAGATCATGCCACTGCACTCCAGCCTGGGCGACAGAGCAAGACTCTCTCTCAAAAAAAAAAAACAAAACAAAAACAAAAACAAAAAAACAAAAGTATGCTATTGTTGCTACTGTTTGTTTCAACTTCTTTAGGTCCTAAACTATCCTTCCTCACTGAAATAACTGTTTTCAATAATGCAATTTTTGATACTACAAGACAGGTCCTTAGGAATAAGATTGCTTTTCAAGTTGTATTTGTTTACATAACTTAAATGTTTATATCCATCATTAACGTTAGTAATTGACAATGTTAAATGTAAAATTAACAGCAATCAATGAAGGAAATTTAATTTGATTAGTACAGAATGGACTGAATTCTATTTTCTGATTTATGACACTTCTCATCTCCATCCAGAAACATCTAGCTTTTAGTGAGATTACTATGCTAGCAATCTTGGTTTGGGTATCATGGGAAGAGATAAACCATCTTTACAAAGTCACATTTTGAAAACAGGCATATTATTTAAACACATAAATGCTTTAAGCAAAGGCTTTATTAATAATTTCATTATTTCAATATCAGTTCAGATTGTAAGACACAGATACACAATGTTATAACTATATTCTATGTGCTTAGATTTTTTAAACTGCCATTCCAGCAAAGCATTAGATTGTTTCTAAGTAACAAAAGAAGTACAGCATTAACTGAAGGGCAGTATCTGAGACTGGATATCAGATATAAAATTGAACTAGATTATTTCTCAAAATATGCAGTGGATCTACAAACTTTCCTCAGATCACAAATTTGAGAAGGAAGGCAAAGCAAGAGGACCACGAATGGAGAAAATAAGATATGGAATGAGCACAGAACTATAAATGTGCTTTAAGGTCTGCATATGTGTTTTTCTAAAACACAGAGTTTAAGAATCTATAAAATATTCATGGCCAGGCGCGGCGGCTCACACCTATAATCCCAGCACTTTGGGAGGCCGAGGAAGGAGGATCCCTTCAGCCCAAGAGTTCAAGATCAGCCTGGGCAACATGGCAAAACCCTGTTTCTACAAAAAATTTAAAAATTAGCCAGACGTGGTGGCATGCACCTGTTGTCCCAGCTACTTGGGAGGCTGAGGCAAGAGGATCAATTGAGCCCAAGAGGTCGAGGCTGCAGTGAGCCATGATCGCACCACTGTACTCCAGTCTGGGTGCAAGAGCAAGACCCTGTCTTTAAAAAAAAGCATGTGTCTCCGTGTGTTTCAAACATATAAATGTGTGTATATATATGTTTCAAATATATATATATATATAAACCTCCAAAGGAACATCACCAATCATGACAAAAATCTTAAAATATTTATATGAAGTAGATAAGATGCAAAATTAACCTAGAAGATTAAATTTCAAAGAAATATTCACTAGTTTATCTAATAAAGTACCTTTTTTATATAGAGATGGGGTCTTGCTATGTTGTCCAGACTTGTCTTGAGCTCCTGGCCTCAAGTGATCCTCCTGTCTCAGCCTCCCAAAGTGCTGGGATTATAGGTGTGAGTCACCATGCCCAGCCTAAAGAATTTTCAACGCATTCTTTAAGAGACTGTTTTCCTACTATCTCTTTCTCTTACACAGCATCTTGAACAGGCCAACATATTTGGAGTAGGGGAGGGAGAAAACTTTCTGCTAGATATAGATAGGTGTATAATTTGATAAAACACAGAATCTTAGAATTGCTTTTGAAGATTTTGGAGATTCAAAGGCCAGAAAGATCACATGACAAAGCAGAAATGACACTACCCATGGAGAGGAAAGTTGTTGAGATCAGACTGAATATTAGTTACAATGTCCACCAGCATTCTAAAACCCAGAGGCCATTCAGAAAAGTTTAATTTTCTACTTAGCCACAGTATCTATTAAAAGACTCTAGCTTAAACTGAAAAAACATAAATAAAAAGAATAATTTGTTAGCTATCTGTAATTAAAATCCATATCAGAGATATGTAACAAGCAATGTAGTCATACAAACTTCTACCTAGAGACTGTGTGCACATTAGTAAAATAATTGGAGCAGTGGGGAGGAATAAGAAGCAAAGGAATATTGAAGGCAACAAGAAATAAATAAATTTTTTTGTCTTCCCATAAAGATGTTTAAAGTAGTTCAGGAAACCTAGCTTTCATTCTCAGGTTAGGTACTTTTCTTTTCTGGAGGGACAGGAGTCTGTCTCACTTTGCTGCCCTGGCTGGAGGAAAGTGGCACAATCATAGCTCCCTGCAGCTTCTAATTCCTGGGCTCAAGCAAGTCTCTTCCTTCAGCCTTCCATGTAGCTAGATAGGCAAGAGCCGCCATGCCCAGCTAGGTACTATTTAAACAGGTTAACACAGCTGTAAGAAAGTATAGCATAGGCTAGTCTTTAAACGTAAAGACTGGTAAAATATTAATTATTGAAACTGGACAGCAGGTATATGGGAGTCCACTACTGTGCTTTTGCGCACATTAAACATTTCCAAAATGAAAAGTTGAAATAGTATACTAGTAATTCCATCAGCCTGGCTTGGTACCCTCCAAGGAAGAAATAAAAAATAGAAAAGGCTTTGGCTATAAGCAGTATGGGTTTCTATACATAAGTTTTAAACAAAATATAGAAATCTTAAATAAAAGCAATATGTGCTCAATCTATTTCCAAAGAAACAAATATTTTAAAAGTAAGTAGCATTTTACATTTGAACATAAACATTAATACGCATGCTAAGTGACAAGGCTGGCTGGGCGTGATGGGTCACATCTGTAACCCCAGCATTTTAGGAGGCCAAGGCAGGTGGATCACTTGAGGTCAAGAGTTCGAGACCAGCCTGGCCAACATGGTGAAACCCTGTCTCTACTAAAAATATAAAAATTAGCTGGGCTTGGTGGCAGGCGCCTGTAATCCCAGCTACTCAGCAGGCTGAGGCAGGAGAATCACCTGAACCTGGGAGGCAGTGGTTGCAGTGTGCTAAGACTGTCCTCCAGCCTGGGCAATAAGAGTGAAATTCCATCTCAAAAAATAAAAAGTAAAATAAAATAAAATAAAGTGATAAGGCTATTCAAGTACTAATTTATGATGAGTAGCTTTTTTCAAACCATCTGAGAAATTCACATAAAGCCTACAACATACAAGTGAAGTTATATTTTTAAATGTTACATAACTAGATACGCAGACAACAAATCCATCTAAATTGCTTCTGTTTTAAAAAACTGATTGAGTTCTAAAACTTCTTACAAAATCCAAAGATGATATAATCAACAAAATGATGCTTACCTTAGACATTCATTAAGAACCTTGGGCTCATCTGGCTGCACATTTTGAAAAGAATCATTTTTCTCAGGTTGTAATATGACATCTTCCTCTTCAAAATCTTTACATGATTGATATTCCATGTGTTGAGGAGTCTTAAAAACAAACACATTTTTCTATGTTTTAGGTTTCACAATGAGGCATAACAGATTTCATTGAAAATGTTGTCCAATTTAAGTATAAAATGGTAAAAAAAAATTCAAAATTATAAAATGGTGACTTTAAAATACTTTTAACGTATTTTCTTTAGTTATCTTAGAAAATTTCAAGAGCTACTCCTTTTAGGATATCTCAAAGTCCCATTCCTCTCCTCCCAGTCAAAAAACAAGTTAACTGTCTTGGTTTCATCTGTTAGAAATACCCCTGTGGGGTCTATTTTTCTGAATTATTTTGATTATTATAATTGCATTATAGATCACGTGAATTTTTTTTTTTTTGAGACAGAGTCTTGCTCTGTTGCCCAGGCTGGAGTGCAGTGACGCGATCTCGGCTCACTGCAAGCTCCGCCTCCCAGGTTCACGCCATTCTCCTACCTCAGCCTCCTGAGTAGCTGGGACTACAGGTGCACCAGCTGCCACCTGTGCCACCACCACGCCCAGCTAATTTTTTGTATTTTTAGCAGAGACAGGGTTTTACCATGTTAGCCAGGATGGTCTTGATCTCCTGACCTCGTGATCCGCCCGTCTCAGCCTCCCAGAGTGCTGGGATTACAGGCGTGAGCCACTGCGCCAAGCTGGAGTTTTTTAAGACTGGGTCTCACTCTGTCACCCACGCTAGAGTGCAATGGCATAATTACAGATAGCTCACTGGAGGCTTGAACTCCTGGGCTCAACTGATCCTCCTGCCTCAGCCTCCCAAGTAGCTGGAACTATAGAAGCACACCACTAAGCCCAGCTAATTAAAAAAACTGTTTGTAGAAACAGAGTGTCACTATGTTGCCCAGACTGGTTTCAGACACCTGGCCTCAAGCAATCCTCTCACCTCAGCCTCCCAAAATGCTGGGATTACAGGCATAGGTCAACATGCCTGGTCTACAGACCACGGGAATTATAACGTAAGAAATTGAAATCTCAAAATATGCCAACATTTATCTGTATCACAAAGACTATGTAAACCAAAATTCACAGTCTTTGTTCTTGGAATTGTATCTTAATAGGGAGCTTTTAACATTTTATGCCGTTTAAGCCAATGTTAAAACTCACATATGTACTGATCTCTTCAAAAGAGAAGGTTAATTCAAACATCCACTAAGTGATAGTGAAAAGCAAGTCCAAATATGAGGTCAGGTGAAACAGATTATTTATCATGTAAATGCCCAAAATCTAAAATGGCTTTACAACTAGCAAGGCTGTTGGCTATGAGATTTTGACCACAAATTTAATAAATGATGCACACAAATTGTGCAGTACTGTTTTTAAAAGGGGGTAAAGGGGTTGGGCACAGTGGCTCATGCCTGTAATCCTAGCACTTTGGGAGGCTGAGGCGGGTGGATCACCTGAAGTCAGGAGTTTGAGATCAGCCTGGTCAATATGGCAAAACCCTGTCTCTACTAAAAATACAAAAATTAGCCAGGCCTGGTGGTGTGCGCCTGTAGTCACACAACTAAAAATACAAAAACATTATAGATCATGGGAATTTTTTTGTTTTTGAGACAGAGTCTTGCTCTGTCACCCAGGCTGGAGTGCAGTGGCACAATCTCAGGTGGCTGAGGTAGGAGAATCACTTGAACCTGGGTGGCAGAGGTTGCAGTGAGCCAAGATCGTGCCACTGCATTCCAGTCTGGGCGACAGAGTGAGACTCTGTCAGAAATAAACATATGTATGTATGTATGTATGTATGCATGTATGTGGGTGAAGGGAAGCTTATATTAAGGCTCACGTACTTCACAAAAATGTGACGAGGAATCAGAGTACTTACATCTCTATCAGCACGGGATTCATTTTCATTCTTTTCTACATTGGCCCCAATTTCTTCCTGTGACATGAGAATTTCTTTTCTTCCAGCAGCTTTACCTGCATTTGGCTTTGGCTTTTGCATTCGGCCCCTCACTTTTGCAGGTGTTAAAGTCTTTAGCTGACTCTCTTCCTGCAGACAATTTTTTTCACCCAACCTAGAACCACAAAGAAATAAAATCAATGTTTATTTTGAAGTCACCAATTTCCTTCTCCCTGGCATGAATAAGTAAACCATGTGGAATATGAAATAATTCACAAGTTTTCTGAAAAGACATAATCTTCCCAGACGTGGTGGCTCACACCTGTAATCCCAGCACTTTGGGAGGCCAAGGCGGGGGGGATCATTTGAGGTCAGGAGTTCGAGACCAGCCTGGCCGACATGGTTAAATCTGTCTCTACTAAAAATATAAAAATTAGCCGGGCGTGGTGGTGGGCGCCTGTAACCTCAGCCACTTGGGAGGCTGAGGCAGGAGAATCACTTGAACCTGGGAGGCAGAGGCTACAGTGAGCAGAGACTGCACCACTACTCAACAGAGTGAGACTCCAACTCAAAAAAAAAGGAAAAAGAAAAAAAGATATAATCCTGAAAAGCCCATTTGAAAAAGCACTTTTAAATAGAATTTTATTACAAAATTGGAAAAATCTACATCTGTCAAGCATAAAATACTACTCCTGACTAAGGATACTATAGAATACTGTAGAACTCCAGGGGATTAGTCCCAAAGCATGGTATAAATGGTAACCCCTGGAACAGCCCAGAATCCACCAGTCAGATTCATATTCTATTTTAGATTTCCATTTCAAGTTAAATATTCCCTTTTAAAATCTCTTACTATAAATAAAATTATCCAGGAGCACATATTATAAACATTCAAATGTAATGGCTACCTCAACAGACTTAAAAAATTCATAGAAGCAATATCAAGCAGAGAGAGTATTATTAATGTTTCAAAACCACGTATGGTTGAAAACGAACTTAAAGTATGCCACTTGAAAATTAAATTCAGACCTTATTAAGCAGAAAACAAATTATTACCATCATTCCTAAGAGTTACTTTTTTTTACTATTTCCTGAATACTTACATAGATACAGTTTCAGCTTCTGGATTCTCTCTCTCCGTAGTCTCCATTCTCAAAATGTCCAATGTATTCATCTTATCCTTTTCCAGGTGGTCCTGTGAATTTAATTTGCTACAATTTATCTGCTTACCATAAAAAGTTCAAACTTTGCAATAAATAAATGGAAATTAAAACAACAGAAGTGGCTGGGCACAGTGGCTCAAGCCTGTAATCCTAGCACTTTGGGAGGCCAAGGCAGGCAGACCGCCTGACCTCAGGAGTTTAAGACCAGCCCAGGCAACATGGTGAAACTGTGTCTACTAAAATACAAAAAATTAGCCAGGCGTGGCAGTGTGCGCCTGTAGTCCCAGTTCTTGGGAGGCTAAGGCAGGAGAATTCCTTGAATGCGGGAGGCAGAGGTTGCAGTGAGCTGAGGTCATGCCACTATACTGCAGCCTGGGTGACAGAGTGAGACTCCATCTCAATAAATAAATAAGAACTTCATTTATTGTACTTCTAACTAGATGAGATTTTCTAAAAATCCTAAATGCAGATGAAATTTTTTTTTTTTTTTTTTTGAGACACGGTCACGCTGTGTCACCCAGGCTAGAGTACAGTGGCATGATGATAGCTCACTGCAGCCTTGACCCCAGAGGCTCAGGTGATCCTCCCATCTCAGCCTCCTGAGTAGCTGGGACTACAGGTGCACACCATGCCCAGCTAATTTTTTCATTTTTTGTACAGACCAGATCTTGCCATGTTGCCCAAGCTTGTTTCAAATTCCTGGGCTCAGATGATTAGCCCACCTCAGCCTCCCAAAGGGCTGGGCTTACAGGTATGAGCCACCACACCTGGTGTACATTTTTTTTTTTTTAACAAAACTGGAATCACACTAAATATTTCAGAAAAATATTTCTGAAATGTTAATTACCAAAGGATACAAAACTGTATTGAAACCATGATTCAGTTGTGTAAAAGAAAATATGTAACAATATATGTGAAAAGATTGGTTGCATGTAAATAATGAAATTACAAGTATTAGAAGGAATGGTTGGGCATGGTGGCTTATGCCTGTAATCCCAGCACTTTGGGAGGCTGAGGCGGGGGATCACCTGAGGTCAGAAGTTCGAGACCAGCCGGGCTAACATGGTGAAACCTCGTTTCTATTAAAAATACAAAAAAATTAGCCGGGCATGGTGGCACATGCCTGTAATCCCAGCCAGTTGGGAGGCTTAGGCAGGGGAATCACCTGAACCCAGGAGGCGGAGGTTGCTGTAAGCCGAAATCACACCATTGCACTCTAGCTTGGGCAACAAGAGTGAAACTCCACCTCAAAAAAAAAAAAAAAAAAAAAGAAAAAGAAAAGAAACAAGATTACAACATTTCAAAGAAAAAAAGGTAAAGAAAAAAAATTACAAGTGATTTTTGTTTTAACTTTTACATGAATCTGTATTTTCCAAATTTTCTAGAATTCAATAAACATCAAATTAGAATGATATAACTATACTATAAAGATTATGATAAAAGATATTTCACAAAACAGTAAAAAGCAAACCAACATCTTAAAAAGTGTTTTAGTTAAAAAAAAATTGTAGGCCGGGCGCGGTGGCTCAAGCCTATAACCCCAGCGCTTTGGGAGGCCGAGACGGGCGGATCACGAGGTCAGGAGATCGAGACCATCCTGGCTAACACGGTGAAACCCCATCTCTACTAAAAAAACACAAAAACCTAGCCAGGCAAGGTGGCGGGTGCCTGTAGTCCCAGCTACTCGGGAGGATGAGGCAGGAGAATGGCGTAAACCCGGGAGGCGGAGCTTGTAGTGAGCTGAGATCCGGCCACTGCACTCCAGCCTGGGCGACAGAGCGAGACTCCGTCTCAAAAAAAAAAAAAAAAATTGTAACAATATAATTCTGGAAGTTATAAGGAAACAGAAAGATTCACTTAGCAATGTAAATACATTATTTATGACTGTCAGTTTGACAATGCATAACAATTCAGGAGACTCAGACATATCAGAAAAATTTTTAAAGTAATAAACATAACAAATAACAAAAGACAACACATAACAAGAATCATAAAAATATTTAAAACATTATTTGACCCAACAATCCCACCAGTCTGTAGAAATTTACACTTTGTTTCCTTGAGAAAGCCTTACTTACAAAATTGTTTGCTTCTTAAGTATAAGAGTTAAAAAAACAAATAAACAAAAATATAAACAATCTGAACATCCATTAGTAGAAAACTGATTAGGTAAATCAATAACATGTTAACATGATATAGCTATTAAAAAGATCAATTGGACCCAAAAAAGTGTAAATTAATAGTTTCAGAGGAAGAGTTTTTTAAAATTTTTTATTTTTTTGAGAGTTTCGCTCTGTTGCCCAGGCTGGAGTGCAGCGGCGCAATCTTGACTCACTGCAACCTCTTCCCTCCTGGGTTCAGATGGTTCTCTTGCCTCAAACTCCCGAGTAGTTGGGATTACAGGCGTGTGTCACAACACCCAGCTAATTTTTTGTATTTTTAGTAGAGATGAGGTTTCGCCATGTTGGCCAGGCTGGTTTCAAACTCCTGGCCTAAAGTGAGCCACCGGCCTCGGCCTCCCAAAGTGCTGGGATTACACGTGCGCACCACTGTGGCCAGGTAAAAAAGGTTTTGGCAGGGCGCAGTGGCTCAACATAGTGAAACCTTGTCTCTACTAAAAGTACAAAAATTGGCTGGGCGTAGAGGTGTGCACCTGTAATCTCAGCTACTTGGAAGGCTGAGGCAGGAGAATCGCTTGAACCCAGAAGGCAGAGGTTGCACTGAGCCGAGATCACGCCGTCGCACCCCAGCCTGGGCAACAGGGCAAGACTCCGTCCCAAAAACAAAACAAAGAAAAGAAAAAGGTTTTAAATATTATACACATAATGGTTAAAAATTATAGAAATGTGTGCATACATAGATAAAGTTATTGGCCAGGCATGGTGCCCTCACACCTGTAATCCCAGCATTTTGAGAGGCCAACGCGGATGCATCACTTGAGGTCAGGAATTCAAGACAAGCCTGGCCAACATGACAAAACCTCGTCTCAACTGAAAACACAAAAATTAGCTGGGCGTGGTGGTGCATGCCTGCAATCCCACCTACTTAGGAGGCTGAGGCACGAGAATAGCTTGAACCTGTGAGACAAAGGCTACAATGAGCCAGGATCATGCCATTGCACTCCAGCCTGGGCAACTGAGCGACACCCTATCTCAAAAAAAAAAGAGGGCAGGCATGGTGGCTCATGCCTGTAATCCCAGCACTTTGGGAGGCTGAGGCAGGTGGATCACATCAGGTCAGGAGTCCGAGACCAGCCTGGCCAACATGGTGAAACCATGTCTCCACTAAAAATACAAAAATCAGCCAGGTGTGATGGCACGTGCCTATAATCCCAGCTACTTGGGAGACTGAGGCAGGAGAATTGCTTGACCCTGAGAGGTGGAGGCTGCAGTGAGCCAAGAACGTGCCACTGCACTCCAGCCTAGGCAACAGAGCAAGACTCCATGGCAAAAAAAAAAAAAAAAAGAAATAAAGAAAGAAAAAGAATAAAGAAATTTATTGACCAGGTGAGCTGGCTCATGCCTATAATCCTAGCACTCTGGAAAGCTGAGGCAGGAGAATCACTTGAGGCCAGGAGTTAGAAACCAGCCTGGTGCACATATACTCCATTCCTAATTTTTGCTAATTTAAAAAAGAAAATCAGGCCGGGCGCGGTAGTTCACGCCTGTAATCCTAGCACTTTGGGAGGCTGAGGCGGGCAGATCACGAGGCCAGGAGATTGAGACCATCCTGGCTAACACACTGAAACCCCGTCTCTACTAAAAATACAAAAAATTAGCCAGGCGTGGTGGTGGGTGCCTATAGTCCCAGGCACTCAGGAGACAGAGGCAGGAGAATGGTGTGAAATCGGGAGATGGAGCTTGCAGTGAGCCGAGATCACGCCATTGCAGTCCAGCCTGGGAGAGAGCGAGACTCTGTCTCAAAAAAAAAAAAAATTATCTGGGTTTGGTGGCACACACCTGTATTCCCACCTACTGGGGAGAGTGATGTGGGAGAATTACTTGAGTTCAGGATTTTAAGTCTGTAGAGAGCCGTAATAGTGCCATTGCACTCCTGGACTCTGTTGCCTTGGCAATAGAGCAAGACCCTGTCTCAGAAAAAACAGTTTGTAAAAGACAGAAATGTGACTGCCTATGTGTGGATGAGAACGTTGTGGGCATAATTTAATATATAGCTGGTTTATGAAATATTTTAAATAAAAATTTTATATAAGTAAACAGAAGACAGATTTATCACCACTGAGGATATCTGAAATGATTATATACCAGGTTAAAGAAAATGTGTAAACAGGAGACTAAGATAGGAACAAATCTAATGTTAATGTAAGTTCTTGTATCTGTTTTAATATCAGCAATATTACTTTGTAATTACAAGTCAAAAACTTTTATTCCCAACTATTTAAAGAAAATTTTTATAATTTTAATTTCCATGAAGTCTCTTACCCCATACCTTTTCAACTGAAGTTTTTGAATGTGAATTCTTGCTCTCTGCCTCTGTTTTGCCTTGTGAAAGAACCAATTTCTTCCCAGTCCTTGACAAATTGGGTTTAGGTCTCTGGAAGCGACCTCTCAACATCGGTTTAACATTTTCTGTTTGATCAATTTCCCTGAAAAATTAACATTATTTAAATAGCATCAAACATGCAGTCATGTCCAAATGAACTTCTAAAATAACCTACTGAGAACTAGGAAGAACTCCTTTAAGAGCTTACTTAGAACAAGAGTAGCAAAGAAAACTTAAAGAGACTAATTTGTTCTATCTGATATTAAAAATATACTATTCATCAGTAATTAAAACAGTGTGGTACTAATATATGAGTAAACAGATAAATGAAACAAATTTAAAATCCAGAAACCAACTTCAAAATAGACATGATTTTGGCATATATTGAAGGTAGCAACTCATAACAGGGAGGATAAGATGAAATGCAATACAATACAGTGAGGATAAAACTTAAGAAATATTAAGCAAGATTAAGATGATGGGAAGGCCAGGCATGGTGGCTCACACCTATAATCCCAGCACTTTGGGAGGCCGAGGTGGGTGGATCACCTCAGGTCAGGAGTTCGAGACCAGCCTGGCAAACATGGTGAAACCCTGTTTCTACTAAAAATAACAATAATTAGCCATGCATGGCGGCATGTGCCTGTAGTCCCAGCTACTCAGAAGGCTGAGGAAGGTGAATCCCTTGAACCCGGGAGGTGGAGGTTGCAGTGAGCCAAGATGGTGCCACTGCACTCCAGACTGGGTGACAAGAGCAAGACTCCATCTCTGGATGTGGTGGTGAGCACCTATAGTCCCAGTTACTAGGGAGACTAAGGTGAGAGGATCACCTAAGCCTGGGACCAGGTCGAGGTTACAGTGAGCTATGATCACACCACTGCACTCCTGCAACCCTGTCTCAAAAAAAAATCATAAATATTTATGTACGTATGTATTATGTATGTATACACACACACACATTCTGTCAGCAAGCAATTCAATTTTCAGGAACTTACCCTATATACTTGTATATAGGCAAAAAGAGGGGCAAGACTATAAGCACTGTTTAGCAACACAACCTACATAGCAGTCAATAGGGCACTGGTAATACAAACTATGATGCATACATATACAGAACACTATTAAGCTATAAAAAGAACAAAGAGAGTTACTACATAAGAATATGAAGACAGAAGAAAACCACTGCAAAATGTTATATATAGTATCATTAGGTTTATAACAATAGCAAAAAATATAAATTTGTATTAGCTCGAAGGTATTTTTTTAATCTCTGAAAGAATAAATAACATGGATTATTTGTTTGAGTGAAATGGGACAGGGTAAGAGGGAGAGCTCAATTATACCTTTTTATACTTGTTGATGTTTGAACCCTATGAATGTATAGTCTATTTCAAAGACTGACATTTTGATTTTTTAAGAGTTTGATTTCCATTGTGACAGTACTTTACTGAAAAATAAGAATTGATGAAGTGAATAGTTTTTGTTTGTTTTTTTTTTTTGACGGAGTCTCGCTCTGTCGCCCAGGCTGGAGTGCAGTGACGTGATCTCAGCTCACCGAAGGCTCTGCCTCCTGGGTTCACGCCATTCTCCTGCCTCAGCCTTCTGAGTAGCTGGGACTACAGGCACACCGGCTGCCACCTGTGCCACCACCACGCCCGGCTAATATTTTGTATTTTTAGCAGAGACAGGGTTCTCCATGTTAGCCAGGATGGTCTCAATCTCCTGACCTTGTGATCCGCCTGCCTCGGCCTCCCAAAGTGCTGGGATTACAGGTGTAAGCCACTGTGCCCAGCCCATAAACTGAATAGCTTTTAAGCCCATATGAGATGAGGAATTATGAGTGAGATTAAAAGGAAGTATAAAACCTTCAGATATCTCTTCAAAGGGAGATTTTTATGATGCTTTTAATAGTTTCTTGAGACGATATTAATTTAACCAGTATCTGCATACTGGAAGATACACTTCCTTGAAATCACCAATATTAAAATCTATTATTTTGACACCAGGCATAAAAAATAACTCAAACCGAGCAAAAGTAAAATCTCAGGGCAAATATTTAGGCTTCCAAATTGTTTTTGAATTTCATAAGTTACCACCTTCCTAAAATTCATATATTATACAACAAATATGAAAGAGAATCTTTCTGCAATTAAATATAAAAACACCTGATGTTACACTCTGAACAGACTACAGTATAATTACATATTAAATGATTCCCTCAACTATTAATAAACTATGTATTAATAGTCCCCTTGAATCCCTAAATAAAGCAACATTATTATCATTTAAGAACCTTATCAAAATTTTATAAATAAATCCTATCGTATAAAATACTCACAGTGAATTATTTTTTAGGTCAACATTTCTTTCTTCTGTACAACTACCCTCAACATCATTCACCTCACACGATGCTCTAATTCCAACTTCTAATGAAGGCAAATCTGAAGTGCTTGATTCTGAAGACTTAGTTGCTACTGATGCGGTATCTCGTTGATTACTAAAAAAGTGAAAATATATCAGAGAGAAAAGAATTCCTAAAATATATATTTTATAATAATTATTTTTAAAAATTTTAAATACACAAAATCACCATTTTGCAAGATGCTGCTTCAAATTACAGAATAATACAAACTGCTGTATTAGCTTTTCTATGATCCATCTTGCATCATGTTACAAAAACTGTACCTCCAGAGAAAGCAGCAGCCACAAATTTACACGTTTAGGAACATGCTCAAGAAATTTCAAAATGAAGGCCAGACAAAGTGGCTCACGCCTGTAATCCCAGCACTTTGGGAGGCCTGGGTGGGTCGATCAGTTGAGGATAGGAGTTTGAGACCATCTTGGCCAACATGGTTAAACTCCATCTCTAATAAAAATACAAAAACTAGCTGGGCATGGTGGTGCAGGCCTATAATCCACCTACTTAGGAGGCTGAGGCAAAAGAATCACTTGAACCCGGGAGGTGATCACACCACTGCAATCCAGCCTGGGTGACAGAGCCAAGCTCTGTCTCAAAAAAAAAAAAAAAAAAAAAAAAAAAGGCTTCAAAATGAGAAATTATTAAATGTGGTTCACAAATCAAACATGCGTAAAATAATAGTAACATTTAGGAATTAGCTTTCATTAAAATTTATATAGGCAATCCTTGCTATGCAGGGTACTGTGTAACCAAAAGTCATATAAAGCAAAGACACAGCTCCAATAAGCTCAAGTTGCAGTTAACACAGTCCTATGCAAAGTGAGAACTACTATATTAAAAAATATTTCAATTATCAGCCAGGTGTTAAAGAACGTGCCTGTAGTCCCAGCTACTCAGAAGGCTGAGGTGAGAGGACCGCTTAAGCCCAGGAAGTCGAGGCAGCAGTGAGCTGAGATTGCACCACTGCACTCCAGCCTGGGCGACAGAGCAAGACTCGGTCACAAAATAAATTTCAACTAACAATAATATAACTGAGAGTCATGCACTGACCATTTCAACACATATTCACATTTAGCCATACCTTTTTTTTTTTCTTTTTTCTCGCTCATTTTTTCTACTAGGTGTTCATCTTTTCCTGACTTATCAGCAAGAGTTCTCTATATATTTTTATTGTCTAAATATTACACATAAAATCTCCCGATCAGTAACTTGCCTTTTATTTTCTTTATGGAGGATTTGTTAACAGAACTATTTAATTTTACTACCATCAAACTTACCAATCTTATCTTTTAAAGTCTGTGTTTTCTACGTTTTAATAGAAATGTCTTACCTCAGGCCTTGACATTACAAAGATATTTTTCTACATTTCTTCTAAAAGTTGTAAAGATTTGTTTTATACATGTAGTCTTCAATCCATCAGGAAGTTAGCGGATATGGTAACACGAGGATTAAATATTATGGTTTTCAAATCTGAGCTCAATCTGATGAATAGTTAGTTCAATCTTTGCCCGCTAATTTCTAAAGCTACCTCTGCCATATGACAGATTCCTAAATGTCTCTTCCTAAACTCTATATTCAGTTCCGCTGAGTCAATTCATCTAACCCTGTACCAATACCATGCTGCTTTAGTTACTGTAGCTTGAAAATTAGTCTAGGACAGTCCCTCTCCAAAGCTGGCGTTTTTTAAACCTGTCTTTACCATTCTTGAGCCTTTACTCTTGTGTACACGACAATTTTAGAATCAACTCTTTGTTTTCCAAAACCAACTGGGACTTTAACGATCATTACAAGGTTGTTTTCCCCTAAAGTAGAAAAAGTTAGGGCCACAGTGGCTCATGCTGAAGTGCGAGGATTGCTTGAGCCCAGGAGTTTGAGACCAGCCTGGAAAACATCTCCACTAAAAAATGTTTTTAAAATTAGCCAGGCATGGTGTCCCATGACTGTAGTCCCAGCTACTCGAGAGGCTGAGGTGACAGAATCATTTGAGCCCAAGAGTTCAAGGTTGTGGTGAGCTATGATCATGCTACTACACTCTAGCCGGAGCAACAGAGTAAGACCCTGTCACAATTTTTTAAAATCATTTTAAAAATTAGAAAAAGTCATGAGTAGTTTTGTGTAGTTTACGAAACTAGGTGTATCTCTGAAGTCACACTTTAGATATCTGTCACCTAGGAACAAACAACTATGAGAAATAGCATGATTCCACTTATGTGAAATATCTAGATTAGACACAGAAACAGAAAGTTGTCTACAACCTTACCACTCTTAATGGGCCTAATTTGGTCTCAAACTAAGCAAGTCTGGTCCTGATTAGTACATGGATGGGAAACAGAAAGCAGATTAGAGATTATCAGTGGTTGCAGCCAGGGGAGAATGAGGAATTACTGCATAATGGGTGCAGGTTTTCTGTTTGCAGTGATAAAACAGCTTTAGAAATAGTGCTGATGGCTGCACAACAATGTAAATGTAATTAATGCTACTAAATTGTATGCTTAAAAACAGTAAACAGCTTTAAGTTTGTTTTTGGCAATAGTTTCTTAGATATGACACCAAAAGTACAGGCAACAAAAGCAAAATTAGACAAATGGGACAACATTGAACTAAAAAGCTTCTGTACACCAAAGGAAAGAGCAGAGTGAAAAGGCAATCTATGGAATGGGAGAAAATGTGTAAATCATATTTCTGATAAGGGGCTAAAATCCAAACTACATAAATAATTCTCAAAACTCAACAGCAAAAAAGAAAATAACCTAATTAAAAACTCGGGCACAGGACCTGAACAGACATGTTTCCAAAGAAGATACACAAATGGCTAACAGCTACGAAAGATGTTCAACTCAATAATTATCCGGGAAATGCAAATCAAAACAACCATAAGAAACCACCTTCTACCTGTTCAGAAGGACATTATTAATAAAATGAAAGATAACAAGTATTGAAGAAGATGTGAAAAAAACTGGAACCCTTGTACATTGTTGGTGGTTATGTAAAATGGTGCACCCGCTATTGGAAACAGTATGAAGGGTCCTCAAAAAATTAAAAGTAGAACTACCACATGATCTAGCAACCCTACTTCCAGGTATTCATCCACAAGAACTGAAATCAGGACCTCAAAGAGATATCTGCACCCCCATGTTCAGTGACGATAACAGACAAAAACAACCTAAATGTCCATCAACCAATGAATGGATGAAGAAAATGTGGCCTATACATGTACTGTAATATTATTCGGGCATAAAAAAGGCAATCTTCTTATATGCTACAATATGGATGAAAGTTGAGGACATTACATTAAGTGAAATAAGCCAGTCACAGAAGGAAAACTACTGCATGAGGCTGGGCGCTGTGACTCACACCTGTAATCCCAGTACTTTGGGAGGCCAGGGCAGGTGGATCACCTGAGCTCAGTTCAAGACCAGCCTGAGCAAAATGGTGAAACTCCATCTCTAACAAAAATACAAGAAATTAGCCAGGTGTAGTGGTACATGCCTGTGGTCCCAGCTTCTTGGGAGGCTGAGATAGGAGGATTGCTTGAGCCTGGGAGGTGGAAGTTGCAGGGAGCTGAGATCGTGCCACTGCACTCCAGCCTGGGTGACAGAAACCGACCCCATCTCAAAAACAAAACAAAACAAACAAAACAAAAAAGAAAAAGAAAGAATCATGATTGCCAAGGGCTGGGAGGCAGAGGAAATGGGAGTTGCTGTTCAATAGGTACAGAGGTACAGTTATGCAAGGTAAAAAAAAATTCCAGAGATCGGCAATACAACACTGTGCTTATAGTTAACAATACTGTATAGTACATATAAAAAAATCTGTTAAGAGGGTAAATCTCATGTTTTTACATTACAAATTAAGATTTTAAAACACACACACACACAGAGCAGGACACATCATATTCAAACTAATGAAAACCAAAGACAAAGAAAATCATTATAGAAAATGATAAACCCATGTAAACACCAACCAAAAGAAAGCTACAATGGCAAAGTAAACTTATCAGAAAAAAAGAGCAATACCAGAAGGATAGTACACAATGATAAAGGGAATTTCACCAAAAAGACAAAACAATCCTAGATATGTACACACCTAATAACAGAGCTTCAAAATATATGGAGCAAAAACAAATAGAACTGAAAAAAAGAAACAGGCAAATCCACAATTACAGATGGAGACTTCGACACTCCTTTCTCAGTAATCAACAGATGTGGGTAAAACCAGAAAACACACAGAAAATACCTTAATGAAAGGATGGGGTCAGTTCTTTTCTCAACTTTTTCACTGGAGGCAAAACCCACAATGCCATCTACGTTTTGTGTGCAGGAAAGCATCTGCTCCTTACTGCATTCACCTTCCTTTACCTCGGGCCTTATAGCCTGACATTTATCTACAAATACAAAATGCATGTTATTCTAAAAAATGACAGCAAAAACATATTTTTTAAAGCACAAAGGAATTTACCTATAACACTGTCTTTTCCTACAAAACCTTAATTCATTCAACATTCAAATTCCTATTTGCAAGGCACACATCTTATTTTTAGACCACAATAAAAACTTAACATAGATGAGGATCAGCCCAAGCTTCTTGGACAGTTTATAGCATCTTTCTTTTATCTTAAATTCTAAGTATTTAAAGTGGCTTATTTTATATGTCAAGTAAGGAAACTAAAAGTTGACTTAACTATTCTTTTGCTCCTTCAGAAGTATACCAATTAGTAACAAAGTAATAGCTATCGTTTATTAAGTACTTATTAAGTGGCTGGAACTCTTAAGTCCATCAAATGCATTATCTCATTTAATACTTGAAACAAACCTGTTAAAAGACATTAATATTAACCTCATAGAGAACCCCCTGAGTTCAGAGATCTTAAGTAACTTGTCCAAAGCAATACTTAAGCAAGTAAAAAAGCTGGAATTTAAAGCAAGGTCTGTTTGATTTCTAAAATCTGGTTGTGAATCATTAAGCTGTTCTGCATTATACGTAATGACTCTAACGATAAGCCAAAAAAGAGCATAATATTGTGATGCCTACAAAGCATGCTATGTTAGCTACTAGGACTCTTATATTAAAATCAGATTGGTAAATCTGAACTACAGAAAACATAAATTTTATAGAAAGGTTGTTCTGGTCTGCTCCTACCTTTTCCTTGGTTATCGGCTTTAAATAATGTACATATGAATTCTTAAGGAAAGGGACCAAGACTCCCCCTCAAACTCTTAGCCCTCATCCCAAGCAACTCTTAAGTGGCAATATGTTTGCTTTCAAAGAGTAAAAAAGAAAAATGGAAGAAACACATATTCCTCTAGTTCTTTCATAGGAATTAACCCCTTGTGGGTTCACAGAGGTGCTCTGTAGAGGTACAACATGAAAACCTGTGCTTTATTAACAGACATAAGCAACACACTTCAAACTATATATACATGTGATTTCTAATCATAGTTAATGGGAATGCACAGGAGTTGACACAACTTAGAAACAAACTTTAGAGAACAATCTCCCCACTTTAATTTGTTTAATTTTCTTTTTACAACAAACTTTTTTCTTTAATTACATGAGTACAGAACCAATTAATAAGCACCATTAATTGCTATCTAGACAGAAAATTAAGTTACATACCATATTGCTGTACATGTCTTCTCAAGTAATATAGAGGCTTTTTAAATATGTAAGAAACTTACTCTTGTGTTTTTCTCCTTTAGAAGGACCCGCCTGAACAGTGGCATTTTCTAAAAGATTGTTTACTTCCAGTTCATTAGCTCCATCTTGCTTCTTCCTTCTTCTTTTCTTTTGATTTAGGTCTACTTCTTGTGCAACCTGTTCTGCATCCTTCCCTGATAAGGTCAGAGACTCTTCGTCAACTGTCTGAGCATCCTTCTGAGATCTTTCTGTGTCTGAAATTCTAGAACTCATAGACTCATCTGGATCATCATTCACTCTTTCACAGGCAATTTTTTTGACTGAAAACAAGAGAAACGACTATAAATATGCAAACAACCTAAAGAAAAATTTGTGAAGGTGGAAAAGAGACTCAAAGATGTCCTCTGTAGTATTTATTTGCAAGAACAAAAAGCCTAAAGACAACCTAAAATGTCCAATGGGAAATGACTAAATAATATATAAAAATCCATGGAGCCAATAATAGTAATGAGGTAAGTTTATATGCAGTCACGTGAAAATTTCAAAGGATACTGTTGCATTAAAAAAATCAAGCAGAACAAGATACACATAAAATCTTTTTTTTTTTAATCTCATTTTTATTAAACAAAAACAATTACATATAGAGATGCTCCTTGACTTATACTGGGTTTCATCCCAATAAACCCATCATAAGTTGAGTATACTGTAAATTGAAAATGCATTTAATACAGGCCGGGTGCGATGGCTCACACCTGTAATCCCAGTACTTTGGGAGGCTGAGGCGAGCAGATCATCTGAGGTCAGAAGTTCGAGACCAACCTGGCCAACATGGTGAAACTCCATCTCTACTAAAAATACAGAAATTAGCTGGACGTGGTGGCAGGCACCTGTAATCCCAGCTGCTCAGGAGGCTGAGGCAGGAGAATCACTTGAACATGGGAGGCAGAAGTTGCAGTGAGCCAAGATCGCATCACTGCACTCCAGCCTGGGCGATAACAGCAAAACTCTGGGCTGGGCATGGTGGCTCATGCCTGTAATCCCAACACTTTGGGAGGCTGACGCAGGTGGATCACTTGAGGTCAGGAGTTCAAGACCAGCCTGGCCAACATGGTGAAACTCCATCCCTACTAAAAATACAAAAATTAGCTGGGTATGGTGGCACATGCCTGTAATCCCAGCTACTTGGGAGGCTGAGGCAGGAGAATCGCTTGAATTGGAGAGGTGGAGGCTGCAGTGAGCTGAGATGGTGACAAGGCACTCCAGCCTGGGCAACAAGAGCAAAACTCCATCTCAAAAAAAAAGTTCTGGTTGGGCATGGTGGCTCACACCTGCAATCCCAGTACTTTGGGAGGCCAAGGTGGGCAGATCATTTGAGGTCAGGAGTTTAAGACCAGTTTGGCCAATATGGTAAAACCCCATCTCTACAAAAAATTACAAAAATTAGCCAGGCATGGTGGCATGTGCCTGTAATCCCAGCAATTCAGGAGGCTGAGGCTGAGGTGAAAGAACTATTTGAACTCGAGCAGTGAATAATTCAGTGAGCCAAGATCGGGCCACTGCATTCCAGCCTGGGCAACAAAGTGAGACCCTGTCTCAAAAAAAAAGTTCTTACATTAAATAAGATACAGTGAGTTACTCATGTTATCACCTGTAACATGATAATCACAAGAAGATATATATTTTAATCTTCTAGGATTATGTACAAGTAAAAAAAAAAAAAAATTACTGAGAATAAAGGTATTTTGCAGTTATCAATACTACTTTTTAAAAGATATGCTCCAGAAGAAGAAATTCTAGCCCAGCTTTGAACAGAAAAGAGTTAATTTAGCAGGCTTGACTGCTATCCTTTGAAAATCCTCCTTACAAGGTTGGCCCTCAGGTCATGTCTCAGAATTTGGTTCTGGGAACGGTTCCTACCACCCTAACTGATAAGAGTGGTTCACTGTGCCTTAGCTGTATAATGTGGTTTATGCTGAACTGCTTTCCTTTTGAATATCTGAAATTTTGGTATGTTCCAGGCAAAGGATGCTGAATCCTTAGTCTTCTTGGTGAATACTCAAACCCCGGTGGTGGTCGTGGGGACCCCCAACACAGGCTCTCACAATGCTAGGTTTCAGTTCTGCCTCTGCCACTACTCACACTGTGAGTCCTTAGGAAAAAGTGTCTTACGATCGCTGGGGCTGTTTCTTGGTGATTAAAACCAGTACAAAAGGGGCTAAAACGTAAACTAGCTAACATATAAGGTTCCCTATAGTTCCAAGCATCTTCTTTATGTGATTACAGCTAAACATTGTCCTCATAGATCAGAGTTCAAATAGTTAAGAAAACATAAGCCTAAAAATAAAAATACCTACATATATACAACGTCTTTCTACCTTTTACAAGTCAACATTAGCCTTCAGAAATGTTATGCTCAACCAATACAGTCTAGTCACAACCCCAAAAGATTAGAGTTCCATGTTTTTAATACTAGAATTTTATACCAGATTTGTTTTACAGAGGAAAATGATAATAAATAACCAAACATGAAATACGACACTCCAAATTCTGATGCTCTTTGACTGGCTACAACTATCCTCTATGCTAGAAAGATATCAGATAACCCAATCATGCCAGTTAAAAATTTTAAAAGAAAGCTATTGTTTTGGACCAGATAACTAATTGATTGAAAAAAAGATATACTCCCTCCAACTAGATGCGTTGATGATCTTAACCACCTGAGCTATACACAAACTCTCAAAGGCCTGAGGGACAACATTACGAGTTTATTACTACTAAGTAAACTAGCACACTTTCCTTTAAAATCAATACCTTTTACATTTTTCCGTGGTTTGGTGGATTTCTTCTCCTTTAAACTGTGATTTTTAACAGATTTTTGTTTTCTTTTCTCTTCTTCAGCAAGAACTTTCTGAAGCAAATGAGCAAAAAAATCGAAGTCAAAAGGGCGTTTTTCCTCTGTTTAAAAAAAAGGAAAAGAACTTTCAAGTTTTTATTTTTCAAAACTACTTCTAGCTTTTCAAGTATCATAACATCAAAAGCAAATGGGTTTGTCTATCAGCAGGAGAACAGATAAACAAGTACACAACAGAACACCACTCAGCAATAAAATAGCTTTGTCTTAGCAGAGAAATAGGTAAATTCACATCAGAACACCACTCAGCAACAAAAGGAATAAACTAGTTTATTACAAATAATAATTTGTTTACTACAAATTTGTAATAATTTGTTTATTACAAATAAACTAGTTTTAAACAAAAGGAACTACTGCTACATGCAATAATCTGAGGCAATCTCAAAAACATACTGAGTGGAAGAAAACAGATACTAGGGTACATACTGTATGATACCATGTATAAGATATTCTAGAACACACTAAGCTATCTATGGTGATTAAAATGAAAATAGTGGTTGCCATGGGCCAGGAAGACAGCATTTGATTGTCCAGAAAGGGACATAACAGGCCTTGTGAAGTGATGAAAACATTTCCTCTATTGTTTGGGATAGTGGTTACCCAGGCATATTCTTTGTCAAAACTCGAACTATACTTTGAACTATGTGTAAATATAAATCAATTTTTTTATGGGCTGAGAAGTCCTTGAAATGCCTATTCACCACCATATGCCCTACCTTTATCACAACCATTTCACCATTTACTCTTATAAGAATCAACAAAGTGGGAAGTAAACGAATTTAATCAGGAACATGCCCACTAAATACCTATCAATAGCATTATATCTGAAAGTAATCAGTGAACACTCCAAGAATGAATCCAGGCCAGGAGGCAAATCTTTTCTTGAACTTTACATCTAATCTTACAGTAAATGTAGAGAAAATGGTGCTCTATGCACATAAGCCGAAGACTGGTTTGATTACAAGATAGCCTCAGAAAAGAAGGTATATACTAAAATACAAAGAATTTCAGGAAACTAAACCCAAATCTGGGATTCCTAAAGGCCCTATTTCACTGTTGACCCAGACTTAATTTGTTCTGACTCTCCACAATGATTCTGAAAGACATAGACTCAAAGAATCATAAAGGATCTCCACATGGTTCTCGGAGAAATTCAAAACGTAAGTTCTCTTAAAAAACCTATATAGGTTTTAACTAAAAAAAAAAAAAAAAAAAAATCCAACAGAAAGCCCCCAAATCAATGAGTTGTTTTTAGTTTTGAGATAGGATCTTGCTCTGTTGCCCAGGCTGGCCTCGAAATCTTGGGCTGAAAGGATCCTCCTGCCTCAGCGACCGCTGAGAATAGCTGGGACTACAGGCATACAACACTGTATCGTGTTTAAGATCAATAAATTTTAACGATATCTACTATAATGGTCTATAAAAGGCTTCACACTCTAAATAGACTGTTTATAGATTTATGAATTATTTTCTGACTATAATGTGTTAAACTTAATGAAAAGTTTCAGGACCACTTCTCTAACACGGAATGGGCCGAGGAACACAATATTCCAGATCTTCTAAGAACCATTCCGCAAAGCAGTTTCCCTAAAGACCCGATAAAACACTGGGCATAGGATCTACCCACCTACCTTACTGTCTACTCATAAAATACATGTACATGCTGCATAATGTAAGTACTCTCTACATTTGGATTTTTTTTTTCTAAAATTAGCACTATGGCTAATCTTATGACTAAATGGACATTGAATATATTCATTAATAATAAAATACTGATAATTATAAATCCACAAAAAATATATTCCTGTCCACCGGTGTGGTGAAAAAGAAAAAGACCTATCTTCCAATAAAAAATTACAAGAACTATTTTAAACAGTAAATTTATTTTTCTTTACAGATCCTTAGATGTCTTTCTCTAGACTTAAAGAAAAATGTTAATTTTAATGAGGATTTTAGTTAGAAATTGAAAGATACATATCATTCCTTCAGACGAGATCTAAATTCAAATGCTAGTATATCTCTTCAGACAGAACTTCCCCCCAATGATCATTAGGAAAAAAGAGATCTAAACAGCCACCCTCTCTTTTATCTTCTTTTTGGAAATGAATCACTACCTAAAATTATGCTTATCTACTATCTTTCTTCCCCCGTCCAATTAGACTTAGGGCTCTAAATGCAGGATTCTCATCTGCCATATATCTTCCACCATTACATACTCAATACCTAGAACAATGACTACCATAGAGTAGGTGGTCAGTGTTATAGACTGAATGACTGATTAGTCATTCAGAACTAGAAAGAACCATCTATATAACTAATAGTACTGTCTTCCAGAAACAATTATCTCCTCCAATACAGTTCCTTCAGAATAAATAACACTTAGAAGTGGTAGCATCAATCCCTCCATAACTTCTTGGACTTAGAACTGTTTACCTGCACCTAGATATTCTGGATAATCTCCTGCCTATATATTTGTAGCAAGTACCAGACCCATACTGCTAAACAGAAAAATTTCAGACTTCTTCCTCTTATGCCAATACAGGAACAAAACAAATCTAAAACACACTGGAGCCAAAGACAAAAGACTGGTCATTTTTTAGGCTCTCCAAGCAATACTTTGTAAAAGAGGTCTTAATACTTACGGAATGCTTTGTCTATTCTCCATCCATTTGTTTTCTCTTCACGTTTAAATTTATTCTGTTAACAACAACAAAAAACCCTATGGTAATTTTCTCCCATAAAACAAGCTTTTTTTCCTTAAATGCAGTAAGCATTAAAATGAAACTCTTAGGAATAACATACTGTTCTCTACTTAATATGTCTTTGCCAATAGGCAAGTTACTTAAATCTTTGGCTTTTTAAAAATAAGGATGAAAGATTTTTACTGAGCTTCTTGATTCTCATTACCAGTAGCATCAATCAGCAATGAAAGCTGGATTTACAAAGGACAGAAAAACATAAAGTCAACATACACGGAAGCAGATCAAACCTATGATTAAGGTAACTGGTATTAACTTTTAAAAAATTAAGTATTCGTATCAGGTTAAACCTCTGACATCATCGTTCTAATATATTTCAAGTGGCATGGAGAGAAGACTATAGAGAAACAAGTGAAATTTTGAAGCAGGCCAAGTTTATCTTGACAACCTTCTATATATTAAGGCACATTTCATCACGTTTTTCTCAGCCCCCAAAATCCCTGTCCTCAGTTTACTACCAGATTACTTCCATTAAGAGGGAGATGTTTAAGGCTTAAGGCTCAATCCATCCTAAGGTCATTAGGAAGACTGAGGGCAAAAGTTTGTGTCTGAAGATGTCTGATCATACACACATCGTAGGAGAGGAAACAGTGAGCCAATGTTTCCCATCTATACGTCAATGATCTACAAGTTTTTACTAAAAGCAAAAAAATAAAGCTTCAAAAAAAAAAAAAGAGAGAATATCACATAAAACAAACGAAGTACTTCATGCTCCCTTCCTCCCTTCAAAAGAACTTAACCACTAATATGACTTGTAAAGCAATCACTTTCTTGTATTTCCTTATTGCTTATGACCCAAGTGTGTACTCTTAGATGCTATAGTTTAGCCTTACCCACAGTTTTAAAACCTGATATGACATTAACATCTTTTAATGTACAGGTTGCCCTTCTTTCCCATTCTTTATTTTTCTTCACAAAACTTATTACCAATACAGAAGTTTTCAAAGATAATCTTATTTCTACCTTAAAAGATCATACTGTTATTTAAACATTTCCTCAAAAGTTAACAAATGTTACCTCCACAAAAAGTGACTGGCTATAAACATTAAATTAAATGTCCTAAAAGAAACATCAATAGGTTTCAGGCATTTAATTCTAAAACAGTGCTACCTCATATTTTACTTAATTGGTAATATAATTCAAAACAATTTAAAACTTTCTCGAAGAATGTATTGAAACTAGTTATTGATTTCATAGGTAAGAACCAGTAACAGGTCAAATTCCATGATCACAAAACAAATCCCATAATTTCCACTACTGGCCCTGACAAAGTAACTCATTATGGATAATATCCAACTCCACCACGAATGACTTTTAACACTGACAAAATATATACATCAATTATTTTCAAGCAAAGGACAATAGAGCAAGACTACAATCATGGAGAGAAGAAAAACAGACAAGATGTGCCTATGTTTACCTTGGCTCTCTGCCTGGGCTCAATTTTCCAACCAAGGAAAGGGAGGTGAAGGCCAAACAGGGTACAGCAATCCCACTAAGGCTGCAGAAGTAGGGAATCTTTAGGAGCATAGTTCTAAAAAGGAACTGTGTAGAGGGGCACCTCACAAGCCTGGGTGGAAGTACTCCATGGTACCTTGGCCTAAGTATGGGTTGCATATGTCCAGAATATAAGGCCTAAAAGAGAACAGCTGCTAAAGGGATGAGGGCAGAAGGAAGACGCTAAAAGTCACAAAACACCATACAACAATAGAGTTCAGGTGCATCTTAATGGAAAGACCTCACTAACACCCAAATACATTCACCTCAGACACCAGAAAGGTCATCATTAGAGATACAGACGATACCCTAGAGTAGCCTTTCTCTACCAGGGATGTAGCATGAGAATTAAGTACTAATGCATTAAAGCAGCTACTGTATGCAATGCATTCCCTTCTCTCATTTATCTATTTACAGTATAGTATTAGTATAACCATACTTAGAGAACTTGGAAAATAATAACTCATGCCTACCATGAGACTGTTCTGGAAAAAGAAGAAAATAATATAATAGTAACTCAAATTATTTTCTGTAAATCAGATGAGAAATCCCATTGGAGAAAGGATGTCCTAGATTAAAGACCAGTCTAGATCTGCCTCAACAAAGCTTTAAGCCAAGCCTTAACAGGAACAAAGAGGTCGGCAGTAAATTAACGACTTTCCAGAACAAAAGTCAACACTATTTTTTATTTTGTTTTGTTTATTGAAACAGTCTTGCTGTCTTCCAGACTGGAGTGCAGTGGTGTGATCACAGCTCACTGCAGCCTTGACCTCCCAAGCTCAAGCAATCCTCTTGCCTCAGCCTTCTGAATTGCGTGTGCCACCACGCCTGGCGTTTTTGTTTTGTTTTGTTTTGTTTTTGTAGAGATGGAATCTTGCCATGTTGCTCAGTCTGGTTTTGAACTTCTGGGCTCAAGCAATCCTCTCGTCTCAGCCTCCCAAAGTACTGGGATGAGAGGTGTGAACCACTGCACCTGGCCCCAATGCTCTTTAAAACAAAAGAAAAAACAGAATCCAGACACTATACAACACATCGTTCATAATGTCTGGTATGCAATTTCCTTTTTTTTTTTTTTTGAGACAGAGTCTTGCTCTGTCTCCCAGGCCGGAGTGCAGTGGCGCGATCTCAGCGCACTACAACCTCCACCTCCCGGGTTCACGCCATTCTCCTGCCTCAGCCTCCCGAGTAGCTGGGACTACAGGCGCATGCCACCACACCCAGCTAATTTCTTATATTTTTAGTAGGGATGGGGTTTCCGTGTTAGCCAGGATGGTCTCAATCTGCTGACCTCGTGATCCGACTGCCTTGGCCTCCCAAAGTGCTGGCATTACAGGCATGAGCAACCATGCCCGGCCTAGTATGCAATTTCAAAAAAAAAAACTCATGGCTGGCCGGGCATGGTGGTTCACTCCTTATAATCCTGGCACTTTGGGAGGCTGAGGTCACTTGAGGTCAGGAGGTCAAGGATCACTTGAGGTCAGAAGTTCGAGACCAGCCTAGCCAACATGGTGGAACCACATCTCTGCTAAAAATACAAAAATTAGTCAGGCATGGTGGTGTGCACCTGTAATCCCAACTTGGGAGGCTGAGGCAGAAGAATCACCTGAACCCAGCAGGCAGACGTTACAGTGAGCTGAGATCGTGCTACTGAACTCCAGCCTGGGCAACAGAGCGAGATTCCATTTCAAAAAAAAAAAAAAATGGTGGGGTACGATGGCTCACGCCTATAATCCCAGCACTTTAGGAGGCCAAGGTAGGTGGATCACTTGAGGTCAGGAGTTCGAGACCAGCCTGGCCAAAATGATGAAACCCCATCTCTACTAAAAATATAAAAATTAAGCTGGGCACAGTGGCTCACACCTGTAATCCCAGCACTTTGGGAGGCCAAGGAAGGTGGATCACAAGGTCAAGAGATTGAGACCATCCTGGCCAATATGGTAAAACCCTGTCTCTACTAAAAATACAAAAAAAAAAAAAAATTAGCTGGGCATGGTGGCACGTGCCTGTAGTCCCAGCTACTCAGGAGGCTGAGGCAGGAGAATCACCTGAACCCAGGAGACAGGTTGCAGTGAGTTGAGATAGCGCCACTGCACTCCAGCCTGACGACAGAGTGAGACTCTGTTTCCAAAAAAAAAAAAAAAAAAATAGCCAGTCATAGTGGTGCACACCTGTAGTCCCAGCTACTCAGGAGGCTCAGGCAGGAGAATCGCTTGAACCTGGGTGGCGGAGGATGCAGTGAGCCATGATCATGCCACCGTACTCCAGACTGGGCGACACCGCGAGACTCTGTCTCAAACAAAAACAAACAAACAAACCAACCCATGACAGAGACCAAAAAATTAATTGTTTGTTAAAACCCACATGACATGAGAAAAGATAGGAAAATGTGATAGTCAGGAAAAGAAAAAGTCACAAGAGAATGATCCCATTCCCTGGCAAGCAGACTCAGAAAAAAAAGAAAAAAATTAACAGATCTCAATGTGATCTAGATATTAGAATGAACAGACAAAAAAGTTAAAGGATCCATTAATTATACAGATGTTTGAGGATTTAGAGGAAAGTATAGTGAAGAGATGGGGAAATCTCAGCAGAGGAATAGAAACTATAAAAAATAACCAGGAGGCAGCCAGGCGTGGTGGCTCACACCTGTAATTTCAGCACTTTGGGAGGCCGAGGCAGGTGGATCACAAGGTCAGGAGATCAAGATCATCCTGGCTAACACGGTGAAACCCCATCTCCATTAAAAAAAAAAATAAAATTAGCCAGGCGTGGTGGTGGGCACCTGTAGTCCCAGCTACTCAGGAGGTTGAGGCAGGAGAATGGTGTAAACCCAGGAGGCAGAGCTCGCAGTGAGCTGAGATCACGCCACTGCACTCTAGCCTGGGCGACAGAGCGAGACTCCATCTCAAAAAATAAAATAAAATAAAATAAAATAAAATAAAACAAAACAAAACCAGGTGGAAATTACAGAAATAAGAAATACAATATCAGAAACAAAATATTCACTAAATGGGCTTAACAGCAGACTGAAGATAAAAGACAGGGTCAGTGAACTTGATGCTACGACAATAGAAACTATCAACACTGAAATGAAGGAAAAAAGATTGGAAAAAGGTGGTCAGAGCTTTGGTAACCTATAGAATGTCACCTGGGGTAAACTATGTTAGTGGAGTTCCAGAACGAGAGAATTAAACAGAGAAACTATTAAAAGAAGTAATTTAAAATTTCCCAAATACAGGGAAAGATGCAAGAGGCTCAGCAAACTCAAAACTAAAGCTAGGCATATCATCATCATACAGCTGAATACTTAAAAAAAAAAAAAAAAAAGAAAAAAAAAAAAAAAGAAATCTTGAAAAAACAGCCAGAGAAATACAATTAATCATATACAGGGGGAAAAAAGATATGATTTTACTGTCGACTTTACAACAGAAACACTAAAAGCCAGGAGAAAACAGAATGACATCTTGAAAAGACCCAAAAAAAAAAAAAACTGTCAAACCAGCAAAATATATCATTCAAAAAAAAAGGTTGAAATAAAAACATTCAGACAGATGAAAGCTCAGAAAATTTTTCAACAATAGACCTGTCATTCAGACCTACAGGAAGAAATGAAAACATCAAAAATGACAAATATATAGTTAAATGTTAAAAACTAGTTTTTCTACTCAATTTCCTTAAAAGACAAAAGACTCATATATATCTATATACAGAGAAGGAAAACTGCTTTTTTGTTTGTTTGTTTTTGTTTTTGAGACAGAGTTTCTCTCTTGTTACCCAGGCTGGAGTCCAATAGCATGATTTCAGCCATCGCAACTTCCACCTCCAAGGTTCAACCAATTCTCCTGCCTCAGCCTCCCGAGTAGCTGGGATTACAGGCATGTGCCACCACGCCTGGCTAATTTTGTATTTTCAGTAGAGACAGGGTTTCTCCACATTGGTCAGCCTGGTCTCGAACTCCCAACCTCAGGTGATCTGCCTGCCTCAGCCTCCCAAAGTGCTGGGATTACAGGCATGAGCCACCGCACCCAAGCTATTTGTTTTTGTTTTTAAGGCTAGTCAAGTAAAGCAGTGGAAGTAGAGTAGGGTAAAAGAAATTTATCTGGGCCAGGTATGGTGGCTCAGCCTGCAATCCCTGCACTCTGGGAGGCCAAGGCAGCAGACTGCTTGAGCCCAGGAGTTTGAGACCAGCCCGGGCAACATAGCAAAACCCCATCTCTACAAAAAAAATACAAAAATTGGGTGGGCATAGTGACACGTGCCTGTACTTGGGCACTTGGGATGCTGAGATGGAAGGATCACTTGAGCTCAGGAGGTTGAAGCTGCAGGTAGCCACAATCATGCCACTGCACTCCAGCCTGGCCAACAAGAGAGTGAGACCCTGTATCAAAAAAAAAAAAAAAAAAAAAAAAAACCTGAAAAGAAGTTGTTTGTCTGAACATGGGTCAGTTGGTTTTTTAAAAATTTTAATATTAAAAAAGAAACAAATCTGTAATCAGTTGTGATCATTTAGTTGTAAACACCAGTGCACTTGGACCAGCTGCCTCATTAAACTATTATAAGTTCATTGTAAGGTGAATTTAAAGATATATAGGGCTAAGTGCAGTGTCTCATGCCTGTAATGCCAGTACTTTGAGAGGCTGAAGCAGGAGGATTGCTTGAACCCAGGAATTTGAGACAAGCCTGGGCAACATAGTAAGATCTCTTATCTACAAAAAATAAAAAATTTAGTCAAGCACGGTAGCGCACACTTGTGGTCCAGGAGGCTGAGGCAGGAGGATTGTTTGAGTCCAAGAGGCCATGGCTGCAGTGAGCCATGGTTACACCACTGCACTCCAGCCTGGGCAACAAAGACCCTGTCTCCAAAAAAAAAAAAAAAGGAAATGAAAGGGAAGAGAGACTGGGTGCAGTGGCTCACACCTATAATCCCAGCACTTTGGGAGGCTGAGGTAGGCAGACCACTTGAAGTAAGGAAGTTCAAGACGAGCCTGGCCAACATAGCAAAACTCCATCTCTACATAAAAAAAAAAATTAACTGGGCGTGCTGGCACGCGCCTGTAATTCCCAGCTACTTAGGAGGCTGAAGCAGGAGAATGGCTTGAACCTGGGAGGCAGAGGATGCAGTGAACTGAGATCACATCACTGTACTCCAGTCTGGATGACAGAGCGAGACTCTGTCTAAAAAAAATTTAAAAAAGGGAAAAAAAGGCAAAGCTGGCCATGTTCTTTGGGGCTACTGAAAAAGCAAGCAAATAAAAGGCTCAGATTTTCAGGAGCTTCATGGTTGTTGAATGCAACCATGTGCTGGGAGGTCAGTGCACCCCAACTCCTCCAGGACAGAAGTGCCTTCATTCAAGACCCTTCCAGACCTTACTCTATGAATCCTTCATCTGTATCCCTTACAATATCCTTTATAAGAAACCAATAAACAGCTGGTTCAGTGTGCTGAACTTTGCTAGAAGCTGAGAAAGGAAGCGGGAAAGAGGCAAGCTCCTGGTGCAAAGGTGGCTGTGCAGCATAATTTAGGCCTTGGAGAAGCTGGGGTTTTAACACTTTGAAGATGTGCTTTCTCAAAGCTGCCAGTTCTTTTAGAACTCATTAAATTGAGGCTGCTCCAACTAGCTTTACAGGGAATGGATTTAAGGCAAATCTTGTGTTTAAAGAGATTTAGAGGAAGCCTGAAGAGGAAAGCAGACAGATTGTGAAGAAAATTGGTGGTATTTTTGCCTTGAAGGTGAAGAATGCATGGCCTAGGGGGTAAAGAAGCCACCTAGCGGTGGATGTAAAGAACAGCAAAGGATCAGTGCTTTCCAACTCAGATGAGAAAGCTGACCACACAATCACAAATACTAAGACTTACTGGCTTTAGTGATTGAACTGGTAAAATGAATCCTCAGTTCACCTTCTTTCAAGGCAAAGGGAAAATCACTGGCAATATGAAGTTACAAAGTTTTCAGCTTCAGCCAGGCAAAGGTAAGCTATGAGGAACTCTCTTTGGCTACTTTTGAAAATCAAGATGATATCTCATCTCACAGATACAAATCTATATAATTTCATTGTCAGAATTTAGGCTGAAACTACACATTGGCAAATAATATGAGATAGATTTGTTTTAAAAGGTGTGACCAATCCTGGTTTTCCTAACCTCTGGGTGAATACAGCCTGATGATGAACTACTGTTTTGCTGAATTGGATACAACTGTGCATCACAAAGTTAATACGTTATTTATGGCCTGGAGTAAAACTGAGTTTCAGAATAAAATTAGGAACAGTAATATCCAAACAAAAGCTTCCATTTTGCTTATGAAGTACACTGAAGGGCCAGGCACAGTGACTCACGCCTGTAATCCCAACACTTTGGGAGGGCGAGGCAAGAGGATCACTTGAGTTAAGGAGTTCAAAACCAGCCTGGGCAATATAGTGAGACTTAGTCTCTACAAAAAAAAAAATTTTAATTAGCTGAAGCATAGTGGCATGTGCTGTAGTCCCAACTACCTAGGAAGCTGAGGTGGGAAGATCATTTGAGCCCAGGAGATAAGAGGCTGCAGTGAGCCAAGATAGAGGCTGCAGTAAGTCGTAATCATGCCCATGCACTTCACGCTGTGTAACAGAGCGAGGTCCTGTCTCAAAAAAAATTAAAGTACATTTAAGGATTATTCTGCTGAAGACGTAATTTAAGAGTTCCCTGGATGAACTAGAGAAGAAAAAGAGTACCAACAGCTGGCAAGTAATTAGTGTTATGCATTTAATAACCTTAATCAGTAATAATTAATAATTCTTAAAATTTTATAGTGGGGGCCAGGCATGGTGGCTCATGCCTGTAATCCCAGCATTTTGGGAGGCCAAGCCGGGTGGATCACTTGAGGTCAGGAATTTTAGACCATCCTGGCCAACATGGTGAAACCTCGTCTCTACTAAAAATGCAAAAATCAGCCAGGCATGGTGGCAGGCACCTGTAATCCCAGCTACTCAGGAGGCTGAGGCAGAAGATTCACTTGAACCCAGGAGACGGAGGTTGCAGTGAGACAAGATCACGCAACTGCACTCTAGGCTGAGAAAAAGAGCAACACTTCCAAAAAGAAAGGAAAGAAAGAGAAGAGAAGAGAAAAAAGAAAAGGAAAAAATTCCATACTGGGATTAAAAAAAACACAAACACAAAACTTTTAAATTTTGCCTTTTGTACCATCAGAAATAGTATTTTCTTCCCAAATCAAAATAAAATAAATATGATCAGAGCCTAGGAGGAAAAATCTAAGCTGAATACAGGCCTTTTTTTTTTTTTTTTTTTTAAACAGGGTGTCGCTCTATTGCCCAGGCTACAGTGTAGTGACACTATCTCAGTTCACTGCAACCTCCGCCTCCCACGTTCAACTGATTCTCATGCCTCAGCCTCTCAAAAAGCTGGGATTACAGGCACAAGCCACCACGCCCAGCTAATTTTTGTATTTTTAGTAGAGACGGGGTTTTATCATGTTGGCCAGGCTGGTCTCAAACTTCCAACCTCAAGTGATCCACCCACCTCACCCTCCCAAAGGGCTGGGATTACAGTCGTGAGCCACTGCATCTGACCCAGGTCTATTTTTAAAATAAACCTGGTTTCAAAGTGGGTTTCCTTCTTTTAAAAAAAATTCAGTATATCTGAGTCATAAAACACTGTTGTTGATTAAATGAAGTTTGTTTTCAGATGTAGTTTTTAAATTATAATCTCATTAATTTAACTAAATGTATAAAGCTCAGTCTTTTGTTATAATTTTCCATTTTCATGTAAGTTTAATTATCTGTATCTTTTTTCCTAGTTTTTCTAAGGCTGATGTTATTTCTTATAAACCAGTGAGATATACAGTAAAGTAATGTTTTTCTAAGAATGTTTACTAGAAAATTTACATAGTTCTTCCCGGGAAAAAAAAAGGGCAGAGGATTTCAGACTAGATAAAAAAGTATGACCTATGCTCCATTCAGTAGGACATATACTAAAATTGGAACAATACAGACAAGATTAGCCTGGCCCCTTGACAAGGTTAAAACAAACAAATAAACAAAACAAAACAAAACAAAACAAAAAACCTGCATGACCCAACTATGTAGTCTATAAAATGTGTACTTACAATGTGAAGACACAGGTTAAAGAAATAATTTTTAAAAATCATGGACCAGTCAGGATGGCTCCCACCTGTAATCCCAACACTTTGGGAACCCGAGGTGAGAGGACTGCTTGAGCCCAGGAGTTTGAGATCAACCTGAGCAACAAAGTGAGACTCCATCTCTGTAACAATAATTTAAAAAAATACAACCATGCAGGAGCCCGGCACTGTGACACACATTTGTAGTGCCAGCTATTCAGGAGGCTGAAGCAGGAGGATCTTTTGAGCCCAAGAGATTGAGGCTGCAATCATCCCTATAAATAGCCACTGTACTCCAGTCTGGGCAACATAGTGAGACCCCAGTCTCTAAATAAACAAAAATAAACATTTCCTAATGGTAAAAGAATAAATTCATCAGCATGCTAAATGTCAACATCCAACAAACCAACTTTAACATACACAAAGTAAAAACTGATAGATCTAAACAGAAATACATCCATAGTCATGGTTGGAGATTTTAATTCCTCTCTTAGTAACTGACAGAACTAGATACCACCACACCCAACAAATGCAGAATACACATTAACTTCAAGTACACCAGAAACACAAACCAAGATGGAAATATGCTAAATTTCATTTTTTAACATGCTAAATTTTAAAATAAATCAATATATTTTAAAAATATTAAATTACAAATTATATCAACATACAAAATAAAATTAGGTTACTAAACAAAAAGATATTTAGGCCCAGCACAGTGGCTCATGCCTGTAATCTCAGCACTCTGGGAAGCCAAGGCAGGCAGATCACTTGAGCCCAGAAGTTCAAGACCAGCCTGTGCAACATAGCAAAACCTCATCTCTACAAAAAAAAAAAAAAAAATTAGCTGGACTTGGTGGCACACACCTATAGTCCCAGCTACTTAGGAGGATAAGGTGGGAGGATGGTTTGTGGCAAGGAGGCAAAGGTTGCAGTGAGTCAAGGTCGCACCATGGCACTCCAGTCTGGGAAACAGAGCCAGGCTCTGTCTCAAAAAATAAAAAAAAAAAACGTATGTCCCAGATGCTTAGAAATTAAGCAACCAACTTTTAAATAACTGAAAAGTAAAGGAAGAAATCAAAGGGGAAACTAGAAAATATTTTTAACTGAATAGTAACAACATCGGGCCAGGCACAGTGGCTCATGCCTACAATACCAGCACTTCGGGAGTCCGAGGCAGGAGGATCTGCCTTGAGCTCAGGAGTTTTTTGTTTTTTGTTTTTTGTTTTTTTTTGAGACAGAGTCTTGCTCTGTCACCTATGCTGGAGTGCAGTAATGCAGTTTCGGCTCACTGCAACCTCTCCCTCCCGGGTTCAAGCAATTCTCTTGCCTCAGCCTCCCGAGTAGCTAGGACTACAAGAGCTTGCCACCACACCTGACTAATTTTTATATTTTAGTAGAAGCGGGGTTTCATCATGTTGGCCAGGCTGGTCTTGGACTCCTGACCTCAAGTGACCCACTCACCTCAGCCTCCCAAAGTGCTGGGATTACAGGCATGAGTCACCATGCCTGGCCAAACTCAGAAGTCAGAGACTCGCCTGAGCAACCTGGTAAAAACTCATCTGTACAAAAAAATGCAAAAGTTAGCTGAGCATAGTGGTGCACACCTACAGTCCCAACTTCTTGGGAGGCTAAGGCAGGAGGATTGCTTGAGCCTGGGAGGTGGAGTTTGCAGTCAGCCAAGATCATGCCATTGCACTCCAGCCTGGGCAACAGAGCAAGACTGTCTCAAAAAAAAAAAAAAAAAGAAAAAAAATCAAAATTTGTGGGACACAGCTCTAGTGATGCTTAAAAGGAAATGTACAGGCTGGGCACGGTGGCTCATGACTGTAATCCCAGCACTTTGGGAGGCCGAGGTCAGCATATCATGAGGTCAGGAGATGGAGACCATCCTGGCTAACACAGTGAAACTCCATCTCTACTAAAAGTACAAAAAAATTAGCCGGGCGTGGTGGCGGGCGCCTGTAGTTCCAGCTACTTGGGAGGCTGAGGCAGGAGAATGGCATGAACCTAGGAGGCAGAGATTACAGTGAGCTGAGATCCGCCACTGCACTCCAGCCTGGGTGACAGAGCGAGGCTCCATCTCACAAAAAAAAAAAAAAAAAAAGGAAATGTACAGCTGTAAATGTCTACTTTAGAAAAGAAGGCTTTAAAATCAATGCTTTAAGTGTTCATCTTAAGAAGCTAGAAAAACAAGTAAATGGAAGTGCTGAACAGTAAATTTACAAAAAGTAAATGGAAGTGCTAAACAGTAAAAAAAAAATCAATAACAACACACAAACAACTGGAAACTTAAAACTGACATTAAGAAAAGTTGGTTCAGGCCGGGCGCTGTGGCTCAAGCCTGTAATCCCAGCACTTTGGGAGGCCGCGACAGGTGGATCACCAGGTCAGGAGATCGAGACCATTCTGGCTAACACGGTGAAACCCCGTCTCTACAAAAAAATACAAAAAAACTAGCCAGGCGAGGTGGCGGGCGCCTGTAGTCCCAGCTACTCGGGAGGCTGAGGCAGGAGAATGGCATAAACCCGGGAGGCGGAGCTTGCAGTGAGCTGAGATCCGGTCACTGCACTCCAGCCTGGGCGACAGAGCGAGACTCCATCTCAAAAAAAAAAGAAAAGTTGGTTCATTAAGGAGGCTGAGAGAAGTGGCTCACACCTGTCATTCCAGAACTTTGGGAGGCCAAAGCAGGCAGATCACTTGAGCCCAGGAGTTCCAAACCAGCCTGAGCAACATGGCAAAACCCAGTCTCTCCAAAAAATACAAAAAATTAGCTGGGCATTGTGGCACACGCCTGTAGTCCCAGCTACTCAGGAGGCTGAGGTGGGAGGACCACTCAAGCCCAGGAGGTTGAGGCTGTAGTGAGCCACAATAGCGCCACTGCACCCCAGCCTGGGTGAGAGTGAGACCCTGTCTCCAAAAAGAGAGAGAGAGAAAAAATACAAATTATCAATGAAAGAGTAAATTTATAAAATAAACCCTTCCTCCAAAGAAAACTACAGAATCAAATAGTTTCACAGATAAATTCTATCAAATGTTAAAGACAAAATAATACTAATCTTCAACAAATTACTTCAGAAAATAGAAGAGGGAGCACTTTCCAGCTCAATTTCTGTGACCAGTATAAGCCTCATATCAAAATAGGACAGACTTTGTAAAGGAAAATTACAAATCAGTATCCCTAATGAACAAAGTGGCAAAAATATTCTCAAGAAAATGTAGCAAAATAGAGCAACACAGAAAAATACACTACGACCAAATGGAGCTTATACAGGAATATAACATTAGTCCAATATTTGAAAATCAATGTAATGTAATTCAGTAGCTTCAAATACAGTCTATTCTCATTTTTGAGATGGAGTCTTACTCCTATTGCGCAGACTGGAGTGCAGTGGCACAATCTCGGCTCACGGCAACCTCCACCTCCAGGGTTCAGGCGATTCTCCTTCCTCAGCCTCCTGAGTAGCTGGAATCACAGGTATGCGCCACCATGTCAGGCTAATTTTTGTATTTTCAGTAGAGATGGGATTTCATCATGTTGGCCTGGCTGGTCTTGGACTCCTGACCTCAGGTGATCCACCTGCCTCGGCCTCCCAAAGTGCTAGGATTACAGGTGTGAGCCACCATGTCTGGCCTACTCTCACTTTTCTACACTTTACCCAACGACCTGCTAGAGCCGTAGTAACCTTTTAGGAAAAGAATCTACATGATTTTTGAAACAAATAGCCCAGTGACAAATTTATAATTAATTACTCAGAGCAGCAGAGAGCTCCAATTGTAGACAATTTCTAGCCTTCACAGAATTTTAACATTTTGTTCTTTTATCAAAGATCAACATCAGAAAATGAACATAAAGAATATAAACAGTTCTTCATCTCTTGCAGAAATACAAGACTATTTCATTACACTGTACAATGCCCCTTATGTAATGTCCCCAGACAATCCATGCCTAATTTAGTTCTAGAGGAAAAAACATACCATCCTTATGGTTCCTTTTATTAATGTAATGAACATGACATGGATGAGAAACAAAGGAAAAAGCCCATGGTTGGGTAAAGATCTCACTATCAATTGAGAATGCATTATGGCAACATAGTGTGATGACACTCAAATGCCCTTAAACCCAGAAAACTTATATAAGTTTCTCAAGCAAAGAAACTAAAAAACAGAGACAGCTCATCCTCTGGGGCATATAATAGCTGTAACTGACATCACTGTTGTTATTAGTGCCACTGGTTGTCCCAGAGTTAAGGGTGCCTAGGAAAGCAGTGGATCAGAAAATGAGAACTGTGTAAACTCAAGATTTCTTCTCTTTAAGCTTTCCTAGGAAATTCTGAAATACATTTTGTGTTCAAAAAGCTACCCTTGGCCAGGCATAATGGCTCACGCCTATAATTCCAGCACTTGGTGGGAGGCTGAGGTAGGTGAATCACCAGAGGTCAAGAGTTCGAGACCAGGCTGACCAACATGGTGAAACTCCCTCTACGAAAAATACAAAAATTAGCTGGGCATGGCAGTGTGCGCCTGTAATCCCAGCTACTAGGGAGGCTGAGGTAGGAGAATCACTTGAATTTAGGAGGCAGAGGTTGCAGTGAGCCAAGATCACACCACTGCACTCCAGCCTGGGCAACAGAGTGAGACTCCATCTCAAAAAAAAAAAAGCTACCCTTAACCAAGGTTCTCTGGTACATTTATCTTCTCTTTTCATTATGTAACTCTTCTATATCTTAGTTGCAGTGCGTTTTTATTGGTACTGCCTCAAATTCATTTTAGAAATGAATTAGATATAAATAAGAAAATATGAAACTAACATAAAGAAGACTGTACCCAAATAAGAATTCATAAATACTACTTTTCAATCAATAAAGAGGGATAAATGTAACAAAAACATCATAGGGCCGGGCGCGGTGGCTCAAGCCTGTAATCCCAGCACTTTGGGAGGCCGAGACGGGTGGATCACCAGGTCAGGAGATCGAGACCATCCTGGCTAACACGGTGAAACCCCGTCTCTACTAAAAAATACAAAAAAAACTAGCCGGGCGAGGTGGCGGGCGCCTGTAGTCCCAGCTACTCCAGAGGCTGAGGCAGGAGAATGGCGTGAACCCGGGAGGCGGAGCTTGCAGAGCCGAGATCCAGCCACCACACTCCAGCCTGGGCGACAGAGCGAGACTCCGTCTCAAAAAAAAAAAAAAAAAAATCCTAATAGTTAAAAAAAAAAAAAAAAAAAAAAGATGGGCTGGGAGCAGAGGCTCTCGCCTGTAATCCTAGCACTTTGGGAGGCCAAGATGGGGGGATTACCTGAGCTCAGGAGTTCGAGAGCAGTCTGGGCAACATGGTGAAACCCCATCTCTACTAAAACACAAAACAAATCAACCAGGCGTAGTGGCAAGCGCCTGTAATACCAGCTACGTGACACGCTGAGGCACGAGAATTGCTTGAACCCGGAGGCAGAGGTTGCAGTGAGCTGAGATCGTGCCATCGCACTCCTGAGCAACAAAGTGAAACTCTGTCTCAATGGAAAAAAAAAAAGATGAACTGAGATTTAAACCAAAGGTAAACAAATAATACTACTAACATTTGTAATGTTTGGTCTCTTTCCAATCAACAAATGTGATGGGTTTACTTTACCTTAATTTCTATCCTTGCTCTGTGAGGAAAAAGTTGTCCGATCATAGAAAAGTCAGTTCCTACCATGCTGATGGCTAAAAAAAACATATCTGTTTCTGTGAAAATAAAAGATTTAGAATGACTGAAAATTAATCCTATCAATATTTCAGAGAAAAGAAATCTTACAAAATTTGACAGTACTTAATTTTACTAGAAAGATCCCCATGGAATACCTAAAAACACCTTATTATAAATAAAAACTTTTCAGTATAAGAAATCATAGGCTGGGCATGGTGGCTCACACCTGCAATCCCAGAACTCTGGGAGGCCAAGGCGGGCAGATCATTTGAGGACAAGAGTTGGAGATCAGGGCCGGTTGCAGTGGCTCATGCCTGTAATCGCAGCACTTTGGGAGGCTGAGGCGGGTGGGTCACCTGAGGTCAGGAGTTTGAGACCAGCCTGACCAACATAGAGAAACCCCATCTCTACTAAAAATACAAAATTAGCCGGGCATGGTGGCACATGACTGTAATCCCAGCTACATGGGAGGCTGAAGCAGGAGAATCGCTTGAACCCAGGAGGCGGAGATCGCGGTGAGCCAAGATCGCGCCATTGTACCCCAATCTGGGCAACGAAAGTGAAACTCCATCTCAAAAAAAAAAAAAAAAAAAAGAGTTCAAGACCAGCCAGGCCAACATGGTGAAACCCCGTCTCTGCCAAAAATTAAAAAAAAATGAGACGGGCATGGTGGCATGCACCTGTAATCCCAGCTACTGGGGAGGCTGAGGCAGAAGAATAGCTTGAACCTGGGAGGTGGAGGTTACAGTGAGCTGAGATGGCACCACTGCACTCCAGCCTGGGCGAAAAGAGCAAGACTCCACCTCAAAAAAAAAAAAAAAAAGGAAGAAAAAGAAATCATACAAAAGCAGCTGGATTTTTTTTTAAGACATTCATTCTGCCTAGCTGATTTTATTCGAAGTGCTCTGAAGAAAACTATGAGTCATAGTCAGGATAGGGTTACACTACGTAAGCAACTAAGATGTGCTAAGCAGTATATAAAGAAAGTAGCTAGAAAAATACAAGAGGCCAGGCATGGTGGCTCATGCTTGTAAATACCAGCACTTTGGGAGGCCAAGACGGGCAGATCAGTTGAGGTCAGGAGTTCCAGACCATCCTGGCCAACATGGTGAAATCCCGTCTCTACTAAAAACACAGAAATTAGCTGGGCATGGTGACACATGCCTGTAATCCTAGCTACTCGGGAGGCTGAGGAAGGAGAATCACTTGAACCTGGGAGGTGGAGGTTGCAGTGAGCCAAGATCGCAGCACTGCACTCCAGCCTGGGTGACAGAATGAGACTCTGTCTCAAAAAAAGAAACCATTAACAGAAGTTACACCTCAGGAGAATAGGAACAGGGAAGTGAAACATGGGAAGTATAGAATCTTTTTACTCTATATTCTGCTGTTTGAATTTTTCCCCAAAACTACTGTTTTTAAAATAAAAATAGTAAGTGCCAACATGCAACAGATTTTTAACAGCATAATATTTATCTATAGAAACTTTATTATACAGTATTATCTGAGGTAGAACATTATTCACATTAGAAATATTGTCTTGTTGGCCAGGCACAGTGGCTTACGCCTGTAATCCCAGCACTTTGGGAGGCTGAGGCAGGCGGATCACCTGAGGTCAGGAGTTCAAGACCAGCCTGGCCAACATGGTGAAACCCCATCTCTACCAAAAACACAAAAATGGGCTGGGCATGGTGGCAGGCACCTGTAATCCCAGCTGCTCAAGAGGCTGAGGCAGAAGAATCGCTTGAACCCAGGAGGCAGAGGTTGCAGTGAGCCGAGATCGCGCCACTGCACTCCAGCCTGGGCGACAAAAGCAAAACTCCATCTCAAAAAACAAAAAAAAGGAAATATTGTATTGTTAATTTTGACTTAAATGGTATTTGTTGTACAGAGATTTGACAGAGAGGAACATTCCAGCCAAAATGACTATAACGTTAACTCTTAAAAAATATTTCTTTAAGCAGAACAGTGACTAAAAGAAACTTAACAAAAAAAAGAAAAAAGAACAGATTCTGGGCAGGGCACAATGGCTCACATCTGTAATCTCAACACTTTGGGAGGCAAAGGCACGAGGATCGCTTGAGCCCAGGCATTGGAGACCAGACTGGGCAACATATTGAGACCTCATTTCTTCAAAAAATCCAAAAAACAGGTCAGGTGTGGTGGCTCCTGCCTGTAATCCCAGCACTTTGGGAGGCCAAGGCGGGCAGATCACCTGAGATCAGGAGTTTGAGACCAGCCTGACCAGCATGGTAAAACCCCATCTCTACTAAAAGTACAAAAATTAGCTGGGGTTGGTGGCAGGTGCCTGTAATCCCAGCTATTTGGGAAGCTGAGGCAGGAGAATCACTTGAACCCAGGAGGCAGAGGTTGCAGTGAGTCGAGATTGCACCATTGCACTCCAGCCTGGGCAAAAAGAGGGTAACTCCATCTCAAAAAAAAAAAAAAAAAAAATTCCAAAAAATTAGCTGGGTATGGTGGCACATGCCTGTAGTGCCAGCTGCTCTGGAAGGCTGAGGCAGGAAGATCACATGAGCCCAGGAGTTCCAGGCTGCAGTTAGCTATGATCGTTTCACTGCACTCCAGCCTCCACAATCATCAAGACCCTATCTCTACTTTCTAATTTTTTAATTTTTTTGTAGAGATGAGGTCTTGCTTTGTTGCCCAAGTTGGTCTCAAACTCCTGACCTCAAGTGATCCTCCTGCCTCCACCTCCCAAAGTGCAGGAATTACAGGTGTAAGCCACTGCACCTGGCTGAGACCCAGCTGCAATAAAAAAATAAAATTTTTTTAAAGATTTGTAAGATAAAGTCAGAGATACCATTCCATGGAGGGCATAAGACAGAGGTGTCAATAATAAAATTAGCTAGAATAAAATGGCAGTCTGCATTTTATTTACTTAGGGGAGAACTGATTTAATTCCGAAACAGTCACTTCATTTCAAATAAAGAACTTACACATTTTTAAATGAAAATTAGTTACCTTTGTTTGACCATGGCTTAGAGTAATAATTTTTCCTAAAGCTGGAGTATGTAGTTGTAGAACCGCGCTCAAATATAGGGTCATTTTCTTCAACAACACAAGGGCCTTTCGTTCTTAAAACTTCTACAGTTAAACTGAAATAAATACATTTTTAAATAGAGCTATACTAAAAACAAGGAAACAAATAGTAAAAATGAGATGTAAATAGTTATATTTTGAGGTTTAGCATGGCAATCATATCAAAAGTATAATAATATTTATGTGAAATATGGGTATTTTCCAAGCATCTGCTAAGTTTTACCTAAAATGTGATTTCAAGAGAGTAGAAAGAAGTGTCAACTCATTTTCAAACTCCATAACAGCAATATATTTAAAAAATATCTTTGGGCTACGTATTATAAAAAGGTATTTGTATTATTGATTTCTACATGTCTTTGATATTCAATATGTATTACGGTGCTGGAATCAATGGAAATTTTGAAAAACATAAGCACTTTATATTTTACATTCCTGCAGACAAAGCAGTTAAACATGCTCCAACTATTAAATGACTAGTAAAATCATCATTACAAACTAATGGAAAACAGCACACAAAAACAACTATTATTAGCAGTATTACATTTATGTTTAATTATAGAATGTAAACGCTGTAAAATTATTTTTCACTAGCTAAACATTCAAAGATCTTCCATTGCTCTATTTATTTACTTACTAATTTATCATCTTTAAAAAAAAAATACCCTTAAAACAACTAAATTCCACGATGCTCAATGTGAGAAATTTAATGTTATAACAGAAATTAAACCAGAAGATGAATTATACCACACCGTAACAAAAATCATAAAATATGTTAAACCTACATTTCACTGTATATCCATCAGTTATCACCACACATCAGGATATGTTAAAAATATGAGAACCTGAATATTGACTTCAAGACTGTGTCAATCTTAGAAATTTATCCTCAGTGGAAGACAGCATATGATTAGTTCAACAGCCTGATTCAATGACCAGTAAAGATGATAAAACAATGGTGTTAGGTTAATAGGAGATAGGGCAGCATCTCATACAAAACAGAGTTATTAAAATTTATAAATTAATCTAACCCACTTTTCCATTTACAATATTCATTATGCAAATATAAATGTCAAGGTCTAAGTGACAAAGGCCGACATAGAAAGAGGACCTCTTTCACTAGACAAAGCATGTTTGTTCTCATATAACTACAATCTCACTTTCTCTCTTTTTTAAATACCTTTCTTCATCCAAAATAATAGACCCATCTTCTGCCACTTTTACTCGAGGAACCAGTAATGGCCCATCATCTGTCTCTTCTTCCATTTCATTATCTTCAGCATTAGCAGTACTCTTACCTTCTTGCCTACCAGATATAAAGATAAGTTAATTCACAAAGGCATAAAAGTAGTCCCTGAATAGTATAAAACTTAAAATAAATGATTACAAACTCAACCTTCTAGCTATTTCCAACTTTTCCTATAATCCAAATGAAAACAGTATGTGTTGTTAAAGACACAATTAGGATTTTCTCAAGTTTTATCTCAACTCCTGGCCTCAAGTGATCTTCCTGCCTTGGCCTCCAAAAGTGCTAGGATTACAAGCCTGAACCACCATATCCTGCTTGTTTCTCTTCATTTTAAAAGAGAGTAAAGACTTCTTGGGCCAGACGTGGTGGCTCATGCCTGTAATCCCAGCACTTTGGGAGGCCAAGGCAGGTGGATCACGAGGTCAAGAGATGGAGACCATCCTGATCAACATGGTGAAACCCCATCTCTACTAAAAATACAAAAATTAGCTGGGCATGGTGGCACACACCTGTAGTCCCAGCTGCTCGGGAGGCTGAGGCAGCAGAATCACTTGAACCCAGGAGGCAGAGGCTGCAGTGAACCGAGATCGCGCCACTGCACTCAAGCCTGGCGACAGAGTGAGACTCCATCTCAAAAAAAAAAAAAAAAATTTAGCCAGGCATGGTGGCACACACCTGTACTCCCGGCTACTCAGGAGGCTGAAGCAGGAGGATCATTTGAGCCCAGGAGGTCAAGACTGCAGTGAGCTGTGTTCACATCACTGCACTCCAGCCTGGGTGACACAGCAATACCCTGTCTCAAAAATTAAATTAAAATTTTAAAATTACCAAAACAAAAGTCTAACCAAATGTAATTTTTTTTTTTAAGAGACCAAGTCTTGCTCTGTCACCCAGGCTGGAATGCAGTGGCATGATCATAGCTCACTACAGCCTTGAACGTGTGGGCTCGAGTGATCCTCCCACCTCAGCCTCCTGAATAACTAGGACTACATGTACACACCACCATGCACAGCTTATTTTTACATTTTTTGTAGAGATAAAATGTCACTATGATGCCCAGGCTGGTCTCAACCCCTGGCTTTGGGCAATCCTCCCATCTTGGTTCCACAAAGTGCTGAGATTACAGGAGTGAGCCACTGTGCCCGACCCCAGTCAAATGTAATTCGACTATAACAGGAAGCACCATTTGATCTCATTTAAAAAATGTAACAACAGAATATATTCAAAAATAAAATAAAATACTTACTCTCTTGTCTGGACTGGAGTCGATGACTTTTCAGTTTTCTTTTCTTGTTCCAGTGAAGAACTATTGAACATAAATAACAATACCTTTAATAAATTATTAATCTATATCCTCTCAATTCTATCTGTAGGCAGAAGAAAATTATTCTAACTTCTAATTTTTAAAGATATGCCATAGCATTTTGTTAATGACGGTGCAATCCAACAACCGATTTTTCAGTCAAAAGCTTGTCATCACGTACAAACAATTTGTTAGGTCCTAAGTAGAGAATACTCTTTTTTTTTTTTTTTAATACAACAATAGGGTCTTGCTGTGTCACTCAGGCTGAAGTGCAGTGGTGTGATCTCAGCTCCACCGAACCTCTACTTCTTGAGCGCAAGCAATCCTCCCACCTCAGCCTCCCAAGTAGCTGGGACTATAAGTGCGTGCCACCACACAGGGCTAATTTTTGTCTTTTAATTTTTTGTAGAGACAAGGTTTCACCATATCGCCCAGGCTGGTCTCAAACTCCAGGAATCATGCCATCCTCCCACCTTAGCTTTCCAAAACACTGGGATTACAGACATGAGCCACCACGCCCAGCAGAGAATGTTCTTATCCTCTAACTCCCCAGTGAAAGGAGGCTCCCAATCCCAAGGCATGAAGCCACTTAGGTGACTTGTCTTCAACTCCTAGATGTTAAACAACTCAAAACCTAGGTTTCTGGCCCTTTCTTCAACAGGGCCAAAGACCTGGTGAATCTGAAAAAGGACTATGCTAAGCAACTGTCCCTACTCCTACCTCTACCTGCCAAACCATCAACAATACAACAATGAGATTATAAACCTTCTGCCTCAGAAACCCCAGGCTAACTTTAATAAAGAAACTTTGTTCTTGGAGGATTTATTAATCACACTATTACTGTCTTTATTAGAAGCCAGGGCATAAAACTTCGATCACTCCTTTAGATCAGTTTATAGTATGTTAAAAATAGAAACTGCAATCCTTTCAAACTTTTTTTTTTTTTTAAATGAGACAGAGTCTCGCTGTCTCCCAGGCTGGAGTGCAGTGGTGCAATCTTGGCTCACTGCCACCTTGAACTCCCAGGTTCAAGTGATCCTCCCACCTCAGCCTCCTCCTATGTGCCACAATGCCCAGCTAATTTTTGTATTTTTTGTACAGATGGGGTCTCACTATGTTGTCCAGGCTGGTCTCAAACTCCTGGGCTCAAGTGATCCTCTCGCCTTGGCCTCCCAAAATGCTGTGATTACAGGGGTGAGCCACCTCACCCGGCCAAAATTGCAATCTTGACTACAGAAAAGTGGCTTAGTTGGTTTTACTATGCCTTGGTAATTTATATAACAAAGAAAAAGAATTTTTTTTTAAACAGGATCTCACTCTATCACCCAGACTGCACCCAGAATGCAGTGACATGAACATTGTTCACTGTAGCCTCAAATGCCAGGGCTCAAGCAGTCCTCCTGCCTCAGCCTCCCAAACAGCTGGAACTACAGGCACATGCCACCATGCCTGGCTAATTTTTGTATTTTTTGCAGAGATAAGGTTTCACCATGTTGCCCCGGCTGGTCTCAAACTCCAGGACTCAAGCGGCCCACCTGCCTTGGTCTCCTAAAGTGCTGGGATTACAGGCATGAGCCACTGCGCCCAGCGAGGAAATTTATTTTTAATCTCAGAAATAAAGGGCATAATTAAACATCCCCAGCTGTTGAAATACAGCAGATTTTGGTTATGAAATTATATTTAAAAGGACATATGTGTTCCAAATTTTGTCAACATGCTTTTGGAAAACAAAAAACTGTACTATAAAAGTGATATTTATATAACTACATACCCAAAGAAAATAAAACAGAAGGCCAGACATGGTGGCTCACGCCTGTAATCTCAGCACTTTGGGAGGCCAAAGTGGGTGGACCACCCGAGGTAAGGAGTTTGAAACCAGGCAAGCCAACATGGCGAAACCCAGTCTCTACTAAAAATATAAAAATTAGCCAGATGTGATGGTGAGCATCTGTAATCCCAGCTACTCGGGAATCTGAGGCAGCAGAATCACTTGAACCTGTGAGGCAGAGGATGCAGTGAGCCAAGATTGTACCACTGCACTCCAGCCTGGGTGACAGAGCAAGACTCTACCTCAAAAAAATTTAAAAAAAGAGATAATAAAGCAGAAATAAATTTTACTTACGTCATTGGATTGTTATCTGGTAGATAATATATGAAGTCTCTCATAGTCATTTTTGAACGATCTGGTGGCCTCTGACTTTCATTTATAGCATATTTGTTTTTCCATTGTTTCTGTATACATAAACACACACAGATCCACTTTTATAAATATTAAAGAATTTCAGACGTACTATATGCAAATATACAGTCCACTGTTGCATTCACTATAAGTGCTCTAATATTATTCTCACCCCAGTTATGTAATTTTGTAGATGGAATATTAAAAAGTTGTAGCACATTACCCTTAATAGTTTTTAGTTTTTATTTACCTACTTTTGAGATGGGGTCTTGCTGTGTTGTCCAGGCTAGAGTGCAGTGATGCAATCATAGCTCACTGTAGCCTTGAACTCCTGAGCTCAAGCAGTCGTCCCACCTCAGCCTCCCAAGTAGCTGGGACTACAGATGCTTGCCACAACACCTGGCTAATTTTGTGGGGGTTTTTTTGTTTTGTTTTGTTTTGTTTTGTTTTTGGTAGAGACGGAGTCTCCCTCCGTTGCCAAGGCTGGTCTCAAATTCCTGGGCTCAAGGGATCCTCCTGCCTCAGCCTCCTAAAGCACTGGGATTACAGGAGTGAACCACACACCCAGGCAGCATTTAGATTTTAACAACTAAAGTGACTAGGACTAGATAAAAGCTCAATGTGGCCAGGCACAGTGGCTTATGCCTATAATCCCAGCACTTTGGGAGGCTGAGGCAGGAGGATCACTTGAGCTCAGGAGTTACCAGCCTGGGCAACATAATGAGACCCTATCTCTACAAAAAAAATACAAAAAAATTAGCTGGATGTAGTGGCATATGCCTATAGCCACAGCTACTTGGGAGGCTGAGGTGGAAGGATCACTTGAGCCTGGGAGGTTGAAGTTGCAGTGAACTGTAATCATACTAGCGCACTCCATCCTGGGTGTGCTTGTCTCAAAACTAAATAAATAATAAAAGAATAAAACTAATAAAGCTCAATGTATAAAATGCTTACTGATGCCTTCTAACTAAACATCTTAATAGCTCACTGAGAATTTATGCTTACACAGCTTTTTTTTACCCTGTAGTGAACTGAAATTCTGTGTATTTTGTAAAATTCTTGAAGCAAATGTTTAATCTTTAATTCCCCAATATAAATTAAATACGCAAGTAAGCAGTTTCTGTAAAATATAGAACTTTTTTTTAATCCCCCACCCCCAATTCCCAACCCATAAAACATTTTTAGAGGCTTACTCTTTTTTTTTTTGAGACATAGCCTTGCTCTGTCACCCAGGTTGGAGTGCAGCAGCACAATTTTGGCTTACTGCAACCTCTGCCTCCCAGGTTCAAGCAATTCTCATAAGGCTTACATTTTAGAAGACATTCAAAGCTTGTTTTCTCCTGTGTAAAACAGTGATATCTACTTCACACAGTTGATATAATTACATAACATAATAGACATAAAGCACCAAGCAAAATGCCTTCCCTTAATTTAAAAAAAACTAAATAAAAGAGGCATTTTATAATTCATAACAGGAGCTGACACTGGTTGGGCACTTACTATTTTCAAGACACAGTTTTTCTGTTTGATTTTTTTTGAGACAGAGTCTCGCTCTGTCACTCATGCTGGAGTGCAATGGCGCAATCTTGGCTCACTGCAACCTCTGCCTCCCGAGTTCAAGTGATTCTCCTGTCTCAGCCTCCTGAGTAGCTGAGATTACAGGCATGCACCACCATGACCAGATAGTTTTTGTATTTTTAGTAGAGACAGCGTTTTACCATGTTGGCCAGGCTGGTCTTGAACTCCTGACCTCAGGTCATCAGCCCACCATAGCCTCCCAAAGTGCTGGGATTACAGGCATAAGCCACCATACCAGGCCCATTTTAAGTGTGTTTTACATGTATTGACTCATTTAATCTTCACAACCCTCCAATGAGATAGACAGAGGTTGAGCATCTCTTATCTGAAATACTTGAGACCAGAAATTATACACATTTTGGGTTTTTTCACATTTTCGAATATTTGCAGAATACATACTGGCTAAGCATCTCTAACCTGAAAATCTGAAATCCAATATGCTCCAATGAGCATTTCCTTGGAGCATCACTTTGGCACTCAAAACATTTTGGACTTTGGAGCATTTTCAATTTCAGGGATGCTCAACCTGAACTATTATTGGTCTTATTTTACAGATGAGGAAATAGAGTAATTAAATTACTCAAGGTCACATAGCTAGTAAAGAAATGAAGCTGAGGTTCAATCCTTAAGTATTTAACTCCAAGGCCAGCACACTCTACTGCTGTTACCTGTCCTTCTAGAAAAGAAATCAATCCTCAAGATTAAAAAGAATATGAACTCTACTATATGCATACCACAAATTTTTCCCACTTGTAATTTTCCATATTGTCAATTTAGAAAACATTACCAATTCATTCTGCTCAACTACATTTGTCTTTTTTTTTTTTTTTGGAGACCGTTTCACTCTATCACCCAGGCTGGAGTACAGAGGCACAATCTCGGCTCACTGCAACTTCCACTTCCCAGGTTCAAGCAATTCTCATGCCTCAGCTTCCCCAGTAGTTAGGATTACAGATGCATGCCACCAGGCCCAGCTAATTTTTGTATTTTTAGTAGAGACAGGGTTTTGCCATGTTTGCCAGGTTGGTCTTGAACTCCTGACCTCAAGTGATCTGCCCGCCTAGTGCTCCCAAAGTGCTGAAATTACAGGCATGAGCCACCAAGCCCAGCATATGCTTGCCTTAATTCAAATAAATACATCGCTTGTCACTTGGATATCTTTATATGAAAAATCTGACTGAAGGTTTATTTTATAAATATGTTTGTGTATGTATATCTATGTGTATGTGTATGAAACTTATTTGTGGCCTTTACTAAAAACAGTGAAAACATAAATAAATAATGTAAAAATTACTATCAGTGAAAAATGTAATTTAAGTCCATGGTGTATCAATCAATCCATTAACAAGAAGGGATGTTCTATTGACTAAGGGATGTTATGTGGTTTTGTTCCCCCATCAAAATGCTACAAATGCTTTTCTTCCCAATGATTCCTTACTAACATAAACAGAAGGCAACACCAAAATCCTGATTCTCCTCCCTTACCTTCTCTTTTCTCAATTCTTCTTTTAACATTTCCCTCAGTTTCTGGGCTTTGTATATTCGGTATCTGTCTGAGCACGGCTGTTTCTCTTTTGTTGAAGTGGCAGTTGGCTGTGCAGCCTCTTGATTAACTGTAGATAAGGGATGAGATTCTGAAGGAACACTGACACTAGCCTTAACCAGACTAGAAGTACTTGATATTCGCTTTCTTCTCTGTGAAGCAGTAGGGGAAGATCTACTGGATTCTTCAACATCATTGTCACTACCAGTCTTTTCAGAACTGTTGAAATTAAAAAAGAAAAAAAGAGGGCACCATGAAATCTTCTGTTATACATGCTAGTTTTAAAACTTAGTCTGGTGAAAATCCAAAACCGCAATCTCGTGATTAAAAAAAAATTAATAACTTGAGATGTATGATAATTATGACAGGTTACAAAAAAATTTCTTTAGTAAATCTTTTAAATATACGTAAATTCTAATAGACTCTTAATCTTTTCCAAACATAAAGTCCCTAGGCACATTAGAACACATAATTATAGGCTTAGTTCCCTCAAAACAAATAACCAAGTTACAGAACAAAGCTTAATCAACCTAATTTGAATTACTAAGTAAAAAAGTAATAATTTATAATTAAATTAATTTATATATAAAAATAAAAAAAATTTTAATTCACTCCGACATTTTAAACTGGTCTAAACTACCGGCATTTTACTTATCAACCAGAGGTCAAATCAAATATGCAAAACTTCAAACCTCTGAAATACCTATATTGCAGTGTTTGAAGAAAAACATTTAGTTACAGTAGCCAAACTCAGTTCCCTTTGAGGCAGAAATCATTTATCTTTTGTCAGGTACAACGCTACTTATACAGCTATCAGAATAAACTCTTCAGTCAAAAAAAGTACTGAGTCACCCCAAATTGCATATTAGATATGGTACACCTCAGATACAAATATTTCAGGAATGGTCTACAAATGCAACTTAAGTCAAGAAAAGAGGTAGTATAAGTCAATAATTAAAAAGTCTACTTTTTTCATATTTTACAATTACTTATAAAAAATTAGAAAATGCCTTAACTTACAGAATAACCTTTCCAGGAAGATTTCAATTTAAATTCGTATCTTAGCTGTTATGACAATGTGATACATGCATTATCTGCGTTTCACTCAATAATGTTGAGTGCATAATGACAGAATATATACCCTATAGATTTTTACAACTAGCAAAGACCCACAAAAAATGTATAAAAAGAGGCCGGGCACGGTGGCTCACGCCTGTAACCCTAGCACTTTTGGCTGAGGCAAGTGGATCACTTGAGGTCAGGAGTTTGAGTACAGCCTGGCCAACATGGTAATTATCCTCTCCTTTAAAAAATAAATACTTTATATTTTGAAAGACAAAAACACTTCCCTGCAAAGCACTCCAGAAGGATGAAAACTATGGTGACCTAAACTCTCAAATGAATAGTGTGGCTATTCTTCACTTCAGGACTGCCATACCCCGATTCTTCCCACCACCACTTGGAAGACATGGTCTCCTCGGAGAATCTACAGCCCGTGACAAAATCCACATAAGCCACACCCTGCAGGTCAGACAACCAAACTGCAGTCTGGGGTGGTTTCATCAAGCCTCAACTGAAAGGCTTACTGCAAACGACAGCGGACTCCTATGATAAAATTCATTTGCTCAGCTTCCAGGTGACAGGCCCGGAGAAGCGGGGCAAATGAAAATTCTTCCCTCTGCAAGCTCTTACCTGCTCCTAGGAGCCTTTTCTGGGGGCTCCGCTCCACCGAAATCGACTGCAGGTACATCTGTGGGCTCCGCTGGCTTGGAAGCAGAGTCCGTGGCAGGCTCCGGCGGCCTGGGAGACTCCTGTCCACGCTGGGGATTGGGAGCTGTGGAGCCCCTGGCGCCTACACTAGGCCTGACATTCGGCTTCACGCTAAGGCGTGCCCTGCGGAACATGGCGGAGGCAGGGGGCCCGGGGAGGCAGCCTTGACGGCCGCTCACAGCCCCGAGCCCCGGCGGCTGCCCGAAAAGGGGATTAGGAACTACGCCCTCCCCACAAAGCCACACTACCAGCCCAGGGGGCAGCTACCGCAGTTTCACTCCGCCGCCACCGCCTCCTCCTCTCTCCCGCCGCCGCCGCTTTTTCATGACCCTGCCACACACTGATGGCTAAATTTCACCCTCCTCCCAGCTCCCCCGCCCTCACAGGGCGCCGGAACTGATTGCGCCATCAGCCAGCGCCGCAGAATGACGTCAGACGCACAGCACTGGGAGCCATGGTAACTACCAAGCTACTGAGACTGGGTTACCTGCGGACCAGAAATTGAGATGCAGAGGTATTTGCTCTTTCTTCTCCAGAAGTCCTTAGGAGTAGTTGAAAAGAGGAAAAGAAGAAAGTCGACTTCTCAGCTCAAACCTTTACTGGAAGTATTAAAATCGCTGGCCGATTTTGTTTTTAGAAGGTCATGAAGGGTTTAGAAATTCTAAATTGAGTAGACATAGATTAAATGCTGGTGTGAAGAAACTGATAATAGTTACCTCCCAGGAGAGGAATGGGTTTCTGGAAAACACATCGTGGTAGGAAGACTATTTACCGTACGCTCTTGTGTACTTTTTTGTTTTTTTCCTTTGAGACAGGATCTTACTCTGTCCCCTAGGCAGGAGTGGTACAGTAGCGCGATCTTGGCTCACTGCAGCCTCCACCTCTCGGGCTCAGGCGATTCTCCCGTCTCAGCCTCCCAAGTTGCTGGGACCACAGGCGCGCGCCACCAGAAACGGCTAATTTTTTTTTTTTTTTTGTATATTTACTGGAGACGGGGTTCATCATGTTGCCCAAGCTGATCTTGAACTCCTGGGCTCAAGCGATCCACCCGATTTGGCCTCCCAAACTGCTGGGATTACAGACGTGAGCCACCACGCCCAACCTCCTTGTGTACTTTTTTTTTTTTTTTTTTTTTTTTTTGAGACGGAGGAGTCTCGCTCTGTCTCCCAGGCTGGAGTGCAATGGCGCGATCTCCGCTCACTGCAAGCTCCGTCGCCTCCCGGGTTCACGCCATTCTCCTGCCTCAGCCTCCCGAGAAGCTGGGACTACAGGCGCCCGCCACCACGCCCGGCTAATTTTTCTGTATTTTTAGTAAAGACGGGGTTTCACCGTGTTCGCCAGGGTGGTCTCAATCTCCTGACCTTGTGATCCGCACGCCTCAGCCTCCCAAAGTGCTGGGATTACAGACGTGAGCCACCGCGCCCAGCCCTTTGTGTACTTTTTAATATGAATGTATCACCCGAGATCTTGCCACTGTACTGCAGCTTGTTTAAAAATTATTATAGTTGAAACTTTGTAAATTATTGAGTATTCTTAATCTGCTTCAGGAGGTAGCAGTAAACAAGACGTTCTGGATTTGGGAGGAGAAAATATAAAAAAGAAATGAACAAGATATTTTTAAAATGTATCAGGCCAGGCATGATGGCTTATGCCTGTAATCCCAGCACTTTAGGAGGCTAAAGCAAGGCAGATTGCTTGAGGTCAGGAGTTTGAGACCAGCCTGGCCAATATGGTTAAACTCCGTCTCTACTAAAAATACAAAAATGAGCCAGGCCTGGTGGTGCAAGCCTGTAATCCCAGCTATGGGAGGCTGAGACAGGAGAATCACATGAACCCTGGAGGTGGAGGCTGCCAGAGCCAAGATGGCACCACTGCACTCCAGCCTGGGCGACAGAATGAGTGAGAATGTCTTAAATGAATTAATTACAATAAAATAAAATGTATCAAATGTCGTGAAAGAAATTTAAGGGTTGAACGCTGGGCATGGCGGGGCACGCCTATAATCCCAGCTACTGAGGAGGCTGAAGTGGGAGGATCTCTTGAGCCCAAGACTTCCAGATCAACCTGCGACCCCTAAAACAAATTACCCACATGTGGTGGCTGTGATGGCTGCCACCTCTAGCCTCAGCCACCCGGAAGGCTGAGGCAGGAGGTCCAGGCTGCAGTGAGCTATGATAGTGCCACAGCCCTCCAGCCTGGGTGACAGAGAAAACCTCGTCTCTAAAACCAAAATGTAATAATAATAAGAAAAAAAAAGGCCAGGCGCGGTGGCTCAAGCCTGTAATCCCGGCACTTTGGGAGGCCGAGACGGGTAGATCACAAGGTCAGGAGATCGAGACCATCCTGGCTAACACGGTGAAACCCCATCTCTACTAAAAAATACAAAAAACTAGCCAGGCGAGGTGGTGGGTGCCTGTAGTCCCAGCTACTCAGGAGGCTGAGGCCGGAGAATGGCATGAACCCGGGAGGCGGAGCTTGCAGTGAGCTGAGATCCAGCCACTGCACTCCAGCCTGGGTGACAGAGTGAGACTCCGTCTCAAAAAAAGAAAAAAAAATGTACAGGACAATGTGATAGAAACTAATGGGAGGGAGGCTGGCAGTAGAGTGGCTAGGGAAGTCCTCTATGATGAGAGGAAAAATAGCCAGAGCTGAGGTTGTCCTTGGAGGTATTGGGCCAACGTTTGAACCAGTGATACAAATCCCCTGACTCATGGGAACACAAAGGTGTGACTTTCTTCTTGGAAGGAAAAGAAAATCCTACAAGAATATGGTAATACATTAATAACAAAATGTCAAAGGAATAAAATCCTGAACTGACTGAAGAAATAGATCACCTAAAGGGAGAACAAAAAAGAGGCAAGTGCTTTTGAGAGTAGGAAGGCAAGACTGAAAGCAGAGAAGAGAAAAGATATGTCTCTAAGGCTATGAAGAAAATGAAGATCTGGAGGCCAGGCACAGCTTGTGCTTGTAATCCCAGCACTTTGGGAGGCTGAGGCGGGCGAATCACTTGAGCCCAGGAGTTCAAGACCAGCCTAGCCAACATGGTGAAACCCCATCTCTACCAAAAATACAAAAATTAGCTAAGCATGGTGGCTTGCGCCTGTAATCCCAGCTACTCAGGAGGCTGAGGTTGGAGGATTGCTTGAGCCCAGGAGGCAGAAGTTGCAGTGAGCCAAGATCACACTACTGCACTCCAGCCTGGGTGACAAAGTGAGACCCTGTCTCAAAAAAAAAAAAAAAAAAAAGAGAAAGAGAGAGGAAGAATGGAAGGGAAGGGAAGGTCTATGGATTCTGTGGGCTCCCTGCAATACTCTGGAAAAGGAACGGGATCTCAGTTTTATCTAAAGAAGCTCAAGAATTCGAGAGAATCCCCCGCTACAGATGTCTCAGGAATCTTGAAGCCACTGCCAGGACTACACAGCTTTGAACAGCATATTCCGATACAAACCGAAGACATAGGGCCTTTCCCCAGATGGGCTTCTGTTCCACTTAAGAAACTAGGGCATTCTCCCAAGTTTTTACAGGTCAGAAAGTAAATAGTGACTAAGATTCAATTTCCCACCAGTAAAGGGATGGGATCAGAATCAGATTAAGTTTTGTTATTAAATATAAAGCCATAAGACATTTGTTACACAAGTTTGTGGAGTAAATTCTCAGTGGCATCATAGTAATTTTTTAAATCTCTACTTTTCTCTGAGAGACATACCCAACACGTTTTGTGTACATGGGGTATATCATGTGTAGCCCTATGACTTAAAAACTGCAAAATTTTTCAGCTGCAAAGAAAAATGTTCAGTGACATTAAATTGAGAGAACATACAAAAACAACTCTATCACCTACCGGCCAGGTGCGGTGGCTCGCGCCTGTAATCCCAGCACTTTGGGAGGTCGAGGCGGGTGGATCACGAGGTCAGGAGATCAAGACCATCCTGGCTAACACGGTGAAACCCCGTCTCTACTAAAAAAAAATTAGCCAGGCGTGGTGGTGGGCGCCTGTAGTCCCAGCTACCGGGAGGCTGAGGCAGGAGAATGGCGTGAACCCAGAAGGCGGAGCTTGCAGTGAGCTGAGATTGTGCCACTGCACTCCAGCCTGGGTGACTAAGCGAGACTCCAGCTAAAAAACAAAACAAAACAAGCAAACAGAAAACCAACTCTACCACTTACCTTCCAATCCCACCCCATTCCCTCTTTAGATGATCTTATCTCTAAAGATCTAGTAATCCTGGCTACTGGGAGGCTGAGGCACAAGAATTGCCTGAACCCGGGAGGCTGAGGCTGCAGTGTGCCGAGACTGCACCAGTGTACTCCAGTCTGGGCAACAGAGTGAGACACTGTCTCCAAAACAAAACAAAACACGGTGCTAGAAAGTCAATCTTTTCCTTTCAAGTTACTTCACTCAGTGGAAACAGACGTTAGCAGTATTAAGGAAGAAAGGTGGGGTGTGGGGATAGCATAGTGATGTGTGCCAGGCTCTCTGAATTTGAAGGAATAATGACAGTAAGAGCTAACATATTGAGTGCTACCATATGCTGGGGACCTAGTACTTCACATACATTAATTCAGTTAATGAAGGAGGTACATGCCTCCCCATTTTACAGATGAGAAAGCTTTAACATAATGAAATAGTGTCCAAGTTGACATAGCTACTAATAGCTATGTATACTTAGTATACTATGTATACATAGCTCTCATACTTAGTAGAGATGGACTTTCAACCCAGACAGTTCATCTCCAGAGCTCCTCAGTCTTTACTTTCTCCACCTTCTCTAAAATAGACGATTGTATGAGGTAATAATTGAAGTTTGGTCGCATCTCCTTGAGGATTCGTTATCCTTGTTACTAACGCTTTTGTACTGTATAAATGTCAGATCTTCCATAATAAAAGTTTTTAAAATATAGGGCAATGTGGGGTATCCAAATCATCTCAGTTTGTAACAATGTTATCTTTTGTTTATATTCTTGTGTGTGTGTGACAATGACAGAGGTGAACAATGTAATTATATGCCACATGAGCCATAGAAGCATCTCTACACGTGTTTCTACCAATGACGGATGGTCCACAGCTTTTACGTAGGTTCCGAGGTTATTCTGGGCTATTCTGAATGGTGGTTAAGACTGCACTCCCTGCCATCCTCTCCCCACCAAACAACCTAAGCACAGAGTCAGTAGCCTAAAACTACTAAAGCACTGTGGACCGTGACAAGGGCACTGGGATAAACTGGAAAATAAATAGGCTTTAGAGTCCGTCTTAAATTTTATTCTCATAACAATTCCTACTCGGTTAAGTCTGTCTCTTCTGCAAAATGAAAACAATGAAGCCTACCTTGCAGGGTTGCGTTTAGAATGAGGAAGGAAAATATGTAAAGGATAAGCAGTGCCTTTTGCAGAGTTAC